CTCAGATCCCAACCATCATCAACACACAAATTCAATTCAGGTTCCCCTGCCCTAAACATCGATCATCAATCAAATACCGTATTCCAAACAATCAATCACATAGCGTTTCGTAAACATTGAGAGAAAGTAAATACCAGATGAGATTATACCTTCCTGCCTTTATATGCAAATTGGGAGCGATTGTCGCGGACGTCCTCGTCGGTTTCGTCGAGCCGCAATCGGACCTCCGCCAGCAGCAGATGGTTGGGCTCGCCGTCGGAGGTGTGCGTGCCGAGAATTAGCTTGTGGATTGCGAAGTCCGTCCCCGGCGGCTCCTCCTTTTCCGGCAGCCACTCGACGGTGAGTGAGGGCCAGTCGAGGGCGTGCGTGATGACGGTGTCGTAGAGGAATGGGACGTTTCTCTTCCAGTCCTTGTACTCTTCGTTCATGAGGCGCTCCTCCGCCGGTCCCCTGACGTCGGTGCTTTCGTTCTTGGCCATATTGAGATTGCAGAAGGAATGAGAGAGATTTTGGGGATGGAGAATTGGAGGGAAGGCGGAGATTCCAGAGAGAGAGAGAGAGAGCTGAGAGTGCAGAGTGCTCGTTCTCTAGCTCTCTGTTTCACGCGGAAGGAAGGATGGTTTGTTTTCTGAATCAGCACTATTTATTAATATACGTTCAAATTTCGGACACCAGCTTCTATTATGACGTTTTTTTTGTTTATCTAAAATAAATAAACAAATAAATAGTATTTACATGTGATATTTTGTATTATTTTTTACTAATGATATTATATAATTATCTAAATTTTATCATTTTTATTTTAATAAATAATACTCCCTAGGTAATGTAAAATTATGTTTATCTGATTGGCAGAGTTTTAAAAAAAAATGAATAAAACAAATGATATTATTTTATTAAAAACAAAAGAATAGTAAGTTTGAAAAATAATACAAAACGAAATTAAAAATAAATTTGGATGACTCAGAAAAAATTTAAGAAAAAGTTGTTGTAGAATTACTCAATATCTACCTAACAATATTTTTACAATTTTTTTTAAATACTATTTGCTGACATGTAAATTTGTTTTTCTTCACAGCATTTAGTGCACCCGCAATCAAGATTTTTACCTAAGGGATCTCCTCCTATTTAATTTACACATCGTTTTTTCTACCTCATACTTTATTTCCTCCACATTAATAAAAAAATATATAATTATTTATATTTTTATGAAATTATTATTTTTTAAAAATTTGAATTTTTTAAAAATATCAATATCGGTGTTATTGTATAGAAAACAAAATTTTATATGATACACAAATATAAAATATAAAACAATAAATATATTATAATAAATATATAAAAATAAAAATGTAGAAATTTCTCCGAATATCTGCAGAGATGCCTAAGATAGTTTTTAATTATTTTTTTTAAAAGTATTGCTTATTTGTAGCTACCTGGAAAGGGATATGGGTATGTCCGCAGTGAAGATATCACCGCTGTGTATAGTCTTGCAAGGGTCTTGTTGAAAATTGATTTTGAAATACTGCCGTGTCAAGTCCAATGTATGTGATCGACGGATAAAAGTGAAATATTATACAATGATCTTATTTTCTTTCATTCGTTCTATTTCTCAGTAAAAAAAAAAATTTGGAGTCTTTTGTTCAAAGAGATAAGACCTTGTCCCAAATCCATTCCTTGTCCAAATTTGACGGCCGATTTTCTTGTTAATTCTCTCGTCAATGCTCTCAAATTTGCTCCCCGATCACAAGTTGATTTGCTTCCTAATTTGCTCACTAATTCTCACACCGATGCTCTCACATCGATTTTCTCTCTGATTATTCTACGCGGCTGAAAGGCATTTGAATTCTTTTGAGAAGAATGAGAAGAGAAATTCAAAACTCCCTTCGACGTTCTTGTTTTTGTGGGAGAAGAGAAAATAAAATCCGAAACGCATCTTCGTGGTTTCGGGGAAGAAAGAATTAAGAATGCATCGACGCCACGTCTACTGTATAAAGCTGGGACGATTTGATATCGAAACTTCACCATCTATTTTAAAGCTACTGCTCAACAATTTTTTTCCGATTCTGTACAAAAAAAGCATTGATGGGAAGAAGAAGCCTACGATTTGTGATGCAGCGTATCTTGGTCAGTGGAGAAACACTCAATGTGACTAGTCTAATATTTTAATTTTATTTAATATTATAATTTTTTTAATTTTTTTTTGTGTTTCATCAAATCTATATAATTTTATCGAATGAATAAAGTAAAAAAAAAATTATTATAATTTTCGTGTTCAACCAAATATTATACTTTTTCCTTTCCGTCCAAATGACTCTTTTTTATTTTCAATAAACATATTCATTTTAAGCATAGTTAACGAATATAAATTAATTTAAATAAATTTCCAGTAGAACTCACTCAAAATTGATTTATTTCTATCTCTCTTCTCAATAAATAAATATCTTTTGTTTTTAATTAATAAATAAATATCTTTATTTATTTATATTATATAAAATTTTATTATTTACAAATAATATCAGTATTGTATATATTTATTTTAGATATAATGTTAAAAATATTTAAACGCATATTTATTTATTTTTAATTATATATATTAATTTATATATTTAGAATACCAAATATATCACTCATATAAAAATAATAAAATAATATTATTCCCTCCGTCCCATTAAAAGATTATTATTTTCTATTTTCGTCTTTCCCAAAATAACGTTATCATTTTCCTAATTTAGTAACTGGACTAACTATTTAACATAATAAATACCCTTTCAACTTACAATATATTATACAAATGTCATTACTTTTATATTACACGAGATATTTTTTTCTTTTTCACTACAATCCAATATAATACTAATATTAAAAAAATATCAAACGTGAAAAAATAATGTCACCCTTTCAATGGGACAGAGTGAGTATAATTTATTATTTAATTTATTTTCTACATCTAAATTAAGTTTTGTTCTCCCCCGTAATATTGTTATCTTACTATTATTTTTATAGTATTATTTGGTTCCTTTATTGTGTTCTATAAGTCTATATTTTAGTTATTTGATTTGATTATTTATGTTTAAACTATTAAAAATGTAATCGGTTCTCTGTTTTTTTTTTTTTTCTTGTAATGTTTGGTAATAATTTTGTACGTTGATTGAATAAAATAAATTATTTTTTATGTTAAGAAATCTCAATTTGTGAAATACATATTTCTTATATTTGTAGGAAATTTATCGAGAAAGAAGATAGCAATAACACTACAAATAGCAATAACATGACAATTTAATTTCGATGTTGCACTGCATGTTTCTCATCAATTATATCCGAATTGGAATCATTAATGGCACCGAATCATCGAACCTCGGACATTTTTTGCAAATGTCTTCTGATTACATTGGTTGGGAATGCATAGAGAGACAATTGTACATTGTTATAATTTTGAATCCAACTGATATTATATTGGTGATGGTGTTTTTATTCCCATTTTGAAGAATAAATTTTCAATAGTCATTGGGCTACCTTTCAAATGACGGTCCATTCCCGATAAAGTAGAAAATAAGTCTTCATTTGTTAACTATTTCTTTGAAGGGGAGGACACCAATGTTCGAAGGAAAGCTATTCTAGAGCGAATGAGAAGTACTCTTAGATTTGACAATAGCTTATGGAACATTCAAGAATTTTTACAATATTATATCTATTTAAATTTTTAGTATTTTATTTCCAACTTCCAATTACGTTATTCCATTTTTTTTATTAAACCATGTAGATAAGTTAGACTTAATTAGCAAGTATACATGAGGAATAAGTGTTTACTATTTTCTTTCACCATTCTTTGAATGGGTATGCAAATGTTAAAAAGTACTTGATGGATACATTATTGGATTTTGGTAAGTATGCTATCAATAAATGAAAGATATTTACTACTATTATCATGGTTTAATTACGTTTGTATCAATAATTTGCAGGCATTGTTACATAAGCGAATGCGCACCTTCGCTCCATGTAAAGACCTTTTAGATGTGCCTCGATGTTCCCAATGGGTTAAATCAAGAGGGCTAAAAAGCATTGGAGAAACCAAAAAGTTATTGATAAAAATTACTTATAGTAACATATTAGATTTTATCTCAATAAAATACGAAGAAAAATTCATCAACTCCATGGTGGTTGGAGTAGCAACGAATATAAATATATTCTTAATAGTTTCTTTTAATTTAATGTCATTTATGTTTTACTAATAAAATTACAATTGTGTTGTTTAGAAATGTTGAAAATATTATATACTAAGACCAGAATTTAACTCAACCTCTCAAGGAGTACAAGAGGAGGAATGAGCGTGATTTTGATTGTTGGGGAACAAAGAGACGCTTGTTTCTCACTAGAACATTGCACCTATAATTCTGCAGTTAATACAAGGAAAATATGAAAAAATGGTTAGAACCATCATCAATTACCCATAATATTAGATCATGAGTGAATAAAAAAACAAAGTTGGATGATATTTTCGTTCATTTGAATAGCACTAATCCGCCTAAAAAGTTCAAAGGAAACACGAACGACAATAGAAAGAAATATTTTTGTGCATATATCGTAACTATTTTGAAAATGATAAATAAATTATTTTGGTATGTATCCCATTTTAGGTTGGTTGTGAAAATAGAAGATAAAATTGATTTGAACAAGATAGTTGAGGGATCAAAGCTCGAGGTAAATATCGTACTTCGGAACGCCATTGAGAGTCGGAGTTGGACAGAATTTGTGAAGCACTGGGCAGAGAATTCTTCGTGGGAGTGCGAGAATTTTATGTAAACGGATATGTATTACAGTACTACAAGAGCATAGTGTAAGAAATTACAATAAACTATGATGCAAGAACTATAAACGAGTTCTTTAGGGTAGTCTCAATGCCAGAGGCCACCAACTTTACACGCCACGTTACGATGATATCAATGAGACTGTATATAGCCAAACAATATTACACTCGTTATATCAACAGGCAGGATAAATCAAATGGTATAGAAATTTCAAAGACCGACTATAATCATCAAAGATGGACACACCTGCATAGCAATAGTTCTTAATATGTTGCGGGAAAATTTATGCATCATCACACACTACGGATCCAAAGGTGGTAAATGTGTACCCGATCTTTTGCATCATGCGCGGAGTACCAATAAATATTGGTTAGTTGATACAGGACGACATCAGCCATCGTATTGCATACTATGATGGACGAAGTGAATTGCTGGAGTCCCATCGCACGACTATAATGTGAAGTAAAAGATGGAATCGCCTATCCGGACTTTAGTGGCTATAGAACCATGTCACCCTTTGTGCAGTACTTAATTGCAGGAACGGTCGTCATCCTCATCGTCGTCATAGATGCTCTCAGCCATCTCCCACACTTGCACAATGTTGTCTTCGGCTACGCTGGCGACGACCCAATCCGTGTTCGGGTTCCACGAGAAGTCACCAATTCGGTTGGTGTGGCCGCCGTGAATGAATAGCAGCTCCGGTGGCCCTTCCACATCGTCCTTCGGGTTCTGTTCTTGCCCGATCCTATCAGCAAAAACAAGATCGACGATGCAGATGAAATTAACAATCTTCATTTTACTCTCCGGTAATGTAATTCGATGAAAAAAGAATGTTACCTGCTGAGATCCCAGATGATCATTCTACTTCCAAGACAAGAAGAAGCTAAGACGGTCTCGTTTTTCGGATGCCATCCGACCTGGGTCACCTCGCTCCTGTCGTGAAAAAACGAAATCGAATTAGTGCGACTTAAGAGGACGTCGTAGACATCATCTGTAGCTAAAGTTCACTCACTTGTGGCCGATTAAAGTGTGCATTGGTATGGAAAGCTTGCGGAGGTCGAACAGTTTAACGGTCTTATCCGTGGATGCAGTCGCCCCAATGTACTCGTTAATTGGACTGAACGATACCGAGTTCACCTACGGTGGAAATAACGGTCTCAGTCATGCAGTCATTACAAGAAAACACGAGGCGAACGCTAAAATTCATCGACTGAATCAAACAGCGGCACCAACCTCGCCTTGATGAGCAGTCACTTTGTGACAAGGCTTTAAAGGAGACGGCATTCGCAGATCCCATAAATGGAGGTAACGGCTATCTCCAACAGAGCCAAACAAGTGCTCGTAATTGTAATGCCAGGCGATGTCTTCGACTACATTGCCATCAGTCTGATCTCACACACAAAAACAGAGATATACATTCGTATACATAGTTAGCCGTAAGTAAGAGTTTACAAGAACCTGGATAAAAATGATAGGATGATCGAATAGCAAAACCTTGAATATCTGCTTAGCATTCGGAGTCTTATCATTCGAGGCAGAGTTAATATCCCATAAACATATCTGCGCATCGTCCGAGCCACTCAATAAGTGACCGTGTTTCGAGTGACTCCAAGAAAGGGCATATCCTTCAGCAGTGTGGCCGGTGAGCTTCAAGTCGGGGTTGCAGGTGCCATTCGAGTTAGGTTTAGGCGGATGTTTGCTATAATCGAAAATGTAGATTGCTGAACTGATGGTCTTGGTCGCGATAATGTATGGATTTTGAGGCATTTGGCGTGCACGGTTAATCTCTCCGTCATGGCTGATTTGTTGGATGATCTGCACCTGTAAGGACATACAAATAAACGACAAAAACGCCTTTATATCGTTGGAACAAGACAAGATATATTTGTCGCCCGTTAGCCATAAAAGAAGACATATTCAACTTAATCTGTATAGCCATTAAATGGTACTAAATGTATACGACAATGTGCTCCGCTTAGCTTGGAGATCAGCTCATAGCTCGATGACAACAACTTGCCGAGTAACTCAATGAGAAGCAAACATCAATGAGCCATCAATGAAATGGCTCAAAAAGCTATGAGAATCTGCCAAGCCAGCGCTGATCAAGGAACTTACGCAAGAGTTTTTGTCGCATTCGAGACAAAAACAAGCCAAGTCCGTGAGGCATTTAACGTCGCGATAATGATTTCGAGCTTGAAGATGAGCATTGTAAAGCATATCTTCTACTCGATCTCACACTAACTCCAAACAAACAGAACGTTTGTCTTGATCATTAGCATCTTCACTAATCTCACTTATGTTAGTCGATTATCTCAACAACCAATTCCTACACTTGATTTCGATTCTTTCAAATAGCCAGAGGAATTAAGTTTATTGTTTTATATGCTATTTATAAATCTGAGAAACGAATCTGGAACTAGAACTCGATTACAGTAGAACAGAATCGTGTTCATGCAGCAGAATTAGGGCATTCTCAGATCCCAACCATCATCAACACACAAATTCAATTCAGGTTCCCCTGCCCTAAACATCGATCATCAATCAAATACCGTATTCCAAACAATCAATCACATAGCGTTTCGTAAACATTGAGAGAAAGTAAATACCAGATGAGATTATACCTTCCTGCCTTTATATGCAAATTGGGAGCGATTGTCGCGGACGTCCTCGTTGGTTTCGTCGAGCCGCAATCGGACCTCCGCCAGCAGCAGATGGTTGGGCTCGCCGTCGGAGGTGTGCGTGCCGAGAATTAGCTTGTGGATTGCGAAGTCCGTCCCCGGCGGCTCCTCCTTTTCCGGCAGCCATTCGACGGTGAGTGAGGGCCAGTCGAGGGCGTGCGTGATGACGGTGTCGTAGAGGAATGGGACGTTTCTCTTCCAGTCCTTGTACTCTTCGTTCATGAGGCGCTCCTCCGCCGCTCCCCTGACGTCGGTGCTTTCGTTCTTGGCCATATTGAGATTGCATAAGGAATGAGTGAGATTTTGGGGATGGAGAATTGGAGGGAAGGCGGAGATTCCAGAGAGGGAGAGAGCAGAGAGTGCAGAGTGCTCGTTCTCTCGCTCTCTGTTTCACGCGGAAGGAAGGATGGTCTGTTTCTGAATCAGCACTATTAATTAATATACGTTCAAATTTTGGATACCAACTTCTATTATGACGTTTTTCTAATTTTAAATAAATAAATAGTATTTAGAGGTCATATTTTGTTTTGTACTGATTTTTTTTACTTATCATATTATATAATTCACTAAATTTTATTCGTTCATAATTTTATTATTTTTATTTTAAAAAATAATAGTCTTTCAGTCATGTAAAATAATCTTCATTTGATTGGCTAGAGTTTATTAGGGTTTAGGGTTTAAAAAATAAATAAAAATAAAATAAAAATAATATTTTTTTACTAAAAATATACTATGCTTAAAAAACAATACAAAACTAAACTAAAAATAAATTTAGATATCCCGTACGGGATAACTGTGTGGAATTGAATGTGTGATTGTGAGATCATGAATTCAAATCTCTAATGCCTCGTATCACTGCTACACATGATTCCCTCGTGATTTGCCTATCGGATCATGTCATAAAAAAATTAAAATAATATATATATTTAGAATTTTACTATTTTATTTACTCTTTAGTAAACTTTTTATAAGACCATCCCATTATTAAAGAACCACACCAAAAATTTCCAACACTTCCTCATGGGTATATATTTGTTTTAAATCATAATTTTTTTCTATCTCAACAAAAAAATATATATTTTTTAATATTTATTTCAATATAGTTTATTTTTAAAAATTAAATTTAAATAAAATAATATATTAATATGCATATTATTTGTAAAAAATTAAAATTTATATAATACAAAATTATTAAAAAATAAAAAAAATAAAAAAATAAATTTAAAAAAAATATAGAAAGTTGTTGTAGAATTACTCTGCACAGTTAAGCAACAATAATTTTACAATTTCTTTTAAATGTTATTGGCTGACGTGTGAATTTGTTTCTCTTCAAAAGCATTTAAGGCACCGGCAATTAAGATTTTTAATTAACACCATCTTTCTTTTGCCTCATACTTTCTTTCCTCTACGTCAATAAAAATATTACATAAATATTTATATTTATATCAAAATTATTTATTTTTAAAATTAAAAATTTTAAGAAATATCAATATGAATATAATTTATAGAAAATAAAATTTTATATAATAAATAAATATTAAAATATTAAAAAATAAATATACTCCCTCCGTCCAGCAAGAAGGTTGTCATGACCTTTTTGCATATTGATCTTTGAATATTAATTATTATATCAATACGCCGTAGAAATCAAGAGAAAAAAAAAAGCAAAAATACGTTTATTAGTCTCTTATATTACAATATTTTTCGAGTAAATTATTAAAATATAAGAATATTTTTAATTTTAAGTACAATGACACAAAAATCAAATGACAACCTTCTTGCGGACAGAGGGAGTATTATCGTAAATATATATAAAAAAAAAAAAAATGTAGAAATTTTCTGAAAATTCTGTAGCGATGCTCAGCAGATTTTTCAATTTTTTTAAAAAAAATTATTACTAATTTGGCATGAGTTGGAAGGGGGTGTGGATATTCTTCGGAGAGGAGATATCACCGATATGTATAGTCTTACAATGGCTTTATTGAAAACTGACTTTGAAAGACTAAAATGTCAAACCCAATGAATATGATCGATGGATAAAAGTGAAAATATTATACAATCGACTCTTTTCTTTCGTTCATTTGAATTTTCCCTAAATAAAATTAGGAGTTTTGTACAAAAAGATAAGACTGTAGTTTCTCCTCCTCCAAAACCCATTTTTTGCCCAAATTTGATGGCCCGATTTGCTTGTTCATTCTCTTGCCAATGCTCTAAAATTTGCTCAGCGGATCTCAAGTCGATTTGCTCACTAATTTGCTCACCCATTCTCACACCGATGCTCTCACCTCGATTTTCTCTCCGATTCTACCACGCCACCAAAATGCCTTTGAATGTTTTTGAGGAAGAATGAGAAGAGAAATTCAAAACTCCTTTCGACATTCTTTTTTTTGTAGAAGAAGAGAAAATAATATTCCAAACGCATCTTTGTGGTTTTCGTGGAAGAAAGAATTGAGAAATCCGTCAAGGTCGATTCTACTATATATGAAGCCGGGGCGATTTGATATCGAAATTTCACCCTCTATTTTAAAGCCAGTATTCAATCATTTTTTTCCGATTATGTGCAAAAAAGGCATCAATGGGACGAATAAACTTTCGATTTGTGAGTCAGTGTATCTTGCTCAATGGAAAAACCCTCAATGTAACTAGTCTAATATTCTATTTTTTGTTTTTTTTTTTTTATTTATTTTAGTTTAATGTTATAATATTAATGTTTTTATATATATTTTCTAATTTCTTCATTCAATAAAATTATATAAATTTGATTGAATACAAAAATAAAAATAAATTAAGTGAGCGAATAGACTTGAGTTCAGGCTAACAAATCTGAGAGCATTGGTGATCGCATCTATTGGGCTTGACATGTCAAGTCTTTCAAAACCAATTTTCAACAAGGCCATTGTAAAATTATGCATACAAGTGTAATATCTCCTCTGCGGACATAACTACACCTCATTCCAGCTCAGTGCCAAATAAACAATAATTAAAAAAAGAAAAATTAAAAAACTTTCTTGAGCATCTATGTAGAAAATTCCAAAAAAATTTTATTTTTTATTTTTAAATATTTATTATACATCTATGCAAAGAATTCCAAGAAATTTCTATCTTTTATTTTTAAATATTTATTATAATATATTTATTGTTTTATATTTTATATTTGTGTATTATATAAAATTTTGTTTTCTATACAATAACACCGATATTGATATTTTTAAAAAATTTAAATTTAAAAAAAATAATAATTTTATAAAAATATAAATTGATGTGGAGGAAAGAAAGTATGAGGTAGAAAAAATAATGTGTAAATAAAATAGGAGGAGATACCTTAGGTAAAAATCTTGATTGCGGGTGCACTAAATGCTATGAAGAGAAACAAATTTACATGTCAGTAAATAGTATTTAAAAGAAATTGTAAAAATATTGTTGGGTAGCTATTGAGTAATTATACAACAACCTTTTCTTAAATTTTTTCTGAGTCATTCAATTTTTTTTTTTAATTTAGTTTGGTATTATTTTTCAAACTTATTATTCTTTTGTTTTTAATAAAATAATATCATTTGTTTTACTCATTTTTTTAAAACTCTGGCCAATCAAATCAATATAATTTTACATTACCAAAAGAGTATTATTTATTAAAATAAAAATGATAAAATTTAAATAATTATATAATATCATTAGTAAAAAATAATACAAAATATCACATATAAATACAATTTATTTGTTTATTTATTTTAGATAAACAAAAAAAACGTCATAATAGAATCTGGTGTCCGAAATTTGAACGTATATTAATAAATAGTGCTGATTCAGAAAACAAACCATCCTTCCTTCCGCGTGAAACAGAGAGCGAGAGAACGAGCACTCTGCACTCTCAGCTCTCTCTCTCTCTCTCTGGAATCTCCGCCTTCCCTCCAATTCTCCATCCCCAAAATCTCACTCATTCCTTCTGCAATCTCAATATGGCCAAGGACGAAAGCACCGACGTCAGGGGAGAGGCGGAGGAGCGCCTCATTAACGAAGAGTACAAGGACTGGAGGAGAAACGTCCCATTCCTCTACGACACCGTCATCACGCACGCCCTCGACTGGCCCTCACTCACCGTCGAGTGGCTGCCGGGAAAGGAGGAGCCGCCGGGGACGGACTTCGCAATCCACAAGCTAATTCTCGGCACGCACACCTCCGACGGCGAGCCCAACCATCTGCTGCTGGCGGAGGTCCGATTGCGGCTCGACGAAACCGACGAGGACGTCCGCGACAATCGCTCCCAATTTGGATATAAAGGCGGGAAGGTATAATCTCATCTGCTTTTTACTTTCTCTCGATGTTTACGAAACGCTTTGTGATTGGTTGTTTGGAATACGGTATTTGATTGATGATCGATGTTTAGGGCAGGGGAACCTGAATTGAATTTCTGTGTTGATGATGGTTGGGATCTGAGAATGCCCTAATTCTGCTGCATGAACACGATTCTGTTCTACTGTAATCGAGTTCTAGCTCCAGATTCGTTTCACAGATTTATAAATAGCATATAAAACAATAAACTTAATTCCTCTGGCTATTTGAAAGAATCGAAATCAAGTGTAGGAATTGGTTGGAGAGATAATCGAGTAAGAACAAGTGAAGATGCTAATGATCAAGACAAACGTTCTGTTTGTTTGGACTGAGTGTGAGATCGAGTAGAAGATATGCTTTACAATGCTCATCTTCAAGCTCGAAATCATTATCGCGACGCTAAATGCCTCACGGACTTGGCTTGTTTTTGTCTCGAATGCGACAAAAACTCTTGCGTAAGTTCCTTGATCAGCGCTGGCTTGGCAGATTCTCATAGCTTTTTGGGCCATTTCATTGATGGCTCATTCATGTTTGCTTCCCATTGAGTTACTCGACAAGTTATTGTCATCGAGCTATGAGCTGATCTCCAAGCTAAGCGGAGCACATTGTCATTTCATTGTCGTATACATTTAGTACCATTTAATGGCTATACAGATTAAGATGTAGATGTCTTCTTTTATGGCTAACGGGCGACAAACATATCTTGTCTTGTTCCAGCGATATAAAGGCATTTTTGTCGTTTATTTGTATGTCCTTACAGGTGCAGATCATCCAACAAATCAGCCATGACGGAGAGATTAACCGTGCACGCCACATGCCTCAAAATCCATACATTATCGCGACCAAGACCGTCAGTTCAGCAATCTACATTTTCGATTATAGCAAACATCCGCCTAAACCTAACTCGAATGGCACCTGCAACCCCGACTTGAAGCTCACCGGCCACACTGCTGAAGGATATGCCCTTTCTTGGAGTCACTCGAAACACGGGCACTTATTGAGTGGCTCGGACGATGCGCAGATATGTTTATGGGATATTAACTCTGCCTCGAATGATAAGACTCCGAATGCTAAGCAGATATTCAAGGTTTTGCTATTCGATCATCCTATCATTTTTATCCAGGTTCTTGTAAACTCTTACTTACGGCTAACTATATATTAGAATGTATATCTCTGTTTTTGTGTGTGAGATCAGACTGATGGCAATGTAGTCGAAGACATCGCCTGGCATTACAATTACGAGCACTTGTTTGGCTCTGTTGGAGATAGCCGTTACCTCCATTTATGGGATCTGCGAATGCCGTCTCCTTTAAAGCCTTGTCACAAAGTGACTGCTCATCAAGGCGAGGTTGGTGCCGCTGTTTGATTCAGTCGATGAATTTTAGCGTTCGCTTCGTGTTTTCTTGTAATGACTGCATGACTGAGACCGTTATTTCCACCGTAGGTGAACTCGGTATCGTTCAGTCCAATTAACGAGTACATTGGGGCGACTGCATCCACGGATAAGACCGTTAAACTGTTCGACCTCCGCAAGCTTTCCATACCAATGCACACTTTAATCGGCCACAAGTGAGTGAACTTTAGCTACAGATGATGTCTACGACGTCCTCTTAAGTCGCACTAATTCGACTTCGTTTTTTCACGACAGGAGCGAGGTGACCCAGGTCGGATGGCATCCGAAAAACGAGACCGTCTTAGCTTCTTCTTGTCTTGGAAGTAGAATGATCATCTGGGATCTCAGCAGGTAACATTCTTTTTTCATCGAATTACATTACCGGAGAGTAAAATGAAGATTGTTAATTTCATCTGCATCGTCGATCTTGTTTTTGCTGATAGGATCGGGCAAGAACAGAACCCGAAGGACGATGTGGAAGGGCCACCGGAGCTGCTATTCATTCACGGCGGCCACACCAGCCGAATTGGTGACTTCTCGTGGAACCCGAACACGGATTGGGTCGTCGCCAGCGTAGCCGAAGACAACATTGTGCAAGTGTGGGAGATGGCGGAGAGCATCTATGACGACGATGAGGATGACGACCGTTCCTGCAATTAGGTACTGATCAAAGGGTGACATGATTCTATAGCCACTAAAGTAGGCTTGAAACAGATATAGGATCCCATCTTGTAGTTCATATTATAGTTGTGCAATGAGACTCCAACCAGCCTACATAGCTATAGGATTAGGCTAAGTTAAGCCAATTTACTTCGTCCATCATAGTATGCTAAAGGTTGGGTACACATCTAACATCTTTGGATTCCTAGTGTGTGATGTTGCATAAATTTTTTTGCAACATAATAAGAACCATTAATAAGCAGGTGTGTCCATCTTTGATGATTATATTCGGGCCCTCAAATATTTATATCATTTTATCTCTCCCGCCTGTTGATACAACGACTCTAACGCCGTTCGGCTATATGCAATCTCATTAATATCATCGTAAAGTTGCGTGTAAAGTTGGTGGCCCTCTGGCATTGAGACTATCCTAATTAAGTCAGTTTATAGTTCTTGCATCATAGTTTATTATAATTTTTTACACTATGCTCTTGTAGTCCCGTAATACCTAGGCGTTTACATAAAATTCTCGCACTCGTACGAAGAATTCTCCGGTCAGTGCTTCACAAATTCAGTCCAACTCCGACTCTCAATGGCATTCCAAAGTACGACACTTGCCTCGAGTTTTGACTATCTAGTTCAAATCAATTTTATCTTTTATTTCACAACCATTCTAAAATGAGATATATACCAAAATAATTTATTTATCATTTTCAAAATAATTATGATATATGCACAAAGATATTTACTTCTATATAGTTGGCATTTCCTTTTAACTTTTGAGGCGAAGCAATGCTATTCAAAGGAATGAAAACATCATCGGTCACCAAATCATATTATATACCGTACCGAATTTTTGGTATATTAAAAAATATATAGATGTCATACCATTATACCAAAATTTGGCATTTTTTATATTTTTTTGGTACGATATGCGCTATTTCGGTAATTCATTATTTTTCATATCGATATACTTGAGAGGTTTTTATTTTAAATAGTAAAATTTTGAATTGAAATAGTTGTTTAATGTTATATAAATATGTATTGACGTGATGTTTTGCATGTAAAATTAGATTTTAGTGTAATAAAATAAATAAAAATTAGGTGTTTGACTTGATATTTTTGGAGGAAAAATAAAGTTAGAATAGTAAAATCATGGCTAAAATCTTACAAGTAAACATAGCCTAATGTGTGTGTTATAAATTTTGGTATATAATATCCAACTATCCCTACCGACAATCAAATTCGATAAACTTGATGTATTGGTTATATTAGAATTTTTATTATTATGGATGTTAATTGGTATTTAAATTAGTAAATTAATTATTTTTTTATCTAATTGATTTACAATCAATATAACAATTTTTAAAAAATAATAGTAATTTAATAAATAAAATATTAAATATTAAGAAAACAAAAAAATATATATTTTAACTTTTATTTCAATATTACATCAAATAAAAATAATTAAAATAATCTTTCATTACAAATAAAAATAGTTAAAATAAATCAAATTTTTCTAAAATTACGTGCCAAAAAAAATTGAACCATTTCGCCGAATATAAAAATAATTAATTATTAAATTTGTTATTTTATTTCGTTATATATTTTTCAAAATGCATATTAAATCTTATGAAAGCAACCCATTATTACATAAGAAATTCCAAAGAGAACACAAATCAAAACACTATATACTCAGTAATAATAATTACAAAACAAAAACTAAAAAATAACCCAAACCTCAAAAGAAGTTCGTAATTAGAAGCAACATAAAAATCTGCTGTCCAATTTCTTGTTCATATATACAGGTGGTGGTGACAAGTGCGGCACCGTGTACTTCCATAATTGCCTCTATTGTTTTTTTTTTTTAATTAAGTTTGATCGAGAATTTACCGCAGGGTAGCGATTGCGAAAGAAATATTTTTTCGTGGCAACTTAAAGTACAAATTTTTTTTTTAAGTTTTGTTTTAACTCAAAAAAAATTATTCCCTCCGTCCCATGTAATATGGGTGTATTACCGTAGATACGGAAATTTAGGTAAAGTATAATTAGTAATTAATTAAGAAGTGTATTAGTAAAAATAATTATTATTTAGTAAAAATAATTATAAATTAAAATTAAAATAAGTAAATAATTTAATTAAAATTAAGAAAATTATAAAATTTAAAATTTAAAATGCGGTTAAAATGCATAATTATATTTCCAAAAATAGAATTGACAAATTATGTGGGACTGACAAAAATAGATAATAAAAACAAATTATGTGGAATGAAGAAAATATTTTCTAATATTATAAAACTAACTGCATATTTATATAAAATTATAAATGATAAAATTATTAAAATCAACTTATATACTTCAAATAACCAATAATTTATTCATAACATATGTAGTGTCACAATTACTATATATATTGATAGTTAGAAGGGCCTGATCAAACAGGTAATTTATATAAAAAAAGTATAATAAATATGATTATTAATAAATATCAAATATCAAAATTTATTTTATATACTTCCATTTAATAATGTGACAGTTACCATAGGACAACGGGCTCATTTCAGGAACAAGGTGAGCAACTGTAACGAATCTATAACTAAAAAATACTATATTTTAAAATATTAGCATATTATTATTATTAAAATTTCAATTCTAACATTAAATTTTAAATTTTAGTTTATATTTTTTAAAATTTTATTAAAAAAATTCATAATTATTCAATTCAATTTAAATTTTAAAATTTTAATTTATATTTTTTCCAATTTTATTAAAAAAAATTATAATTATCCAATTCAATTTTAATTTTAAAATAAAATTTAAACTCTAATTATATATATATATATCTTTTATCTTTCACACCGTCAAATGGTTGTCTTCACTCTTTTATCCAATCAACATATTATTTTACAATTATGTATAATCATATATTTATAGGATCTACTAAATTTTGTTCAAATCTCGAAAAAATTTGAAACGATTGATTTCGAATTTTAAAAAAATATATTAATAAAAATATTATAATATAATAAAATAATTTTAAATTAAAATTTAAAATTATAAAATATAATCAAAAGTTGTAACCATATTTTCGATATGAATGAATATAAACAAAACTGAGATATATGTGGGCTTAAAATTATTACGTTCTAATCTACCTCGTATTGCGACGGTGTTAGTATATTCTTCACAGCATCTTCCTCGTTGCATTCTCCTGCTTCCGTTCCACCACTGTACACATCCCCGGTCCGGTCCTCGCTCCGCCGCAGACGGCGGCGCCGATCACGTTTCAGTTAACTCCGTCTAAGTTAGAATTTCATCACCGGAGTCAAATTACAGTTTACTCTACCCTTAGGAAAAGACGTCAACCCTCGACCCCATAAAGGACAGAACCCCTCCATTAATTTATTCCTTCGAAATCGAGTTCGAGGCTGCAATGGCGTCGTCATTTAGCTACTGTCAGAGAGCTTTCGATTGATTCGACTCTGACTTCCTATTCCTTCGTTTTCGCCTAATTTCGATTTTAGTGAACTCCGAATCTCTTCACTACTGTCCTTCAATGGCTTCCTTCATCGATTGCAACGGTGCCACCGCCACCGCCGCTGCCCTAATTCCCAAATCGAAAGCTAAATCTCAACCCCAGCCAATCACCCAATCGGAAATCCTCGCGGAGTTCGCCCACCACGACCCCACGGTCGCCCGCATAAACAACGGCAGTTTCGGGAGCTGCCCGGCCTCCATCATCGCCGCCCAGCAGCGCCACCAGCTCCTCTTCCTCCGGCAGCCGGATTATTTCTATTTCAACACCCTCAAACCCTCGATTTTGAAGACGCGCCGCCTGATTCAGAGCCTAATCAACGCCGACCACATCGAGGAGGTTTCAATCGTGGACAACGCCACAACCGCCGCCGCCGTTGTTCTCCAGCACACGACGTGGTCCTTCTTCTCCGCCGATTTCCACCCCGGCGACGCCGTCATCCTGCTTCACTACGCCTACGGCGCCGTGAAGAAGTCCGTGCAGGCCTACGTTTCCCGCGCCGGCGGCCACATCATCGAGGTCCATCTCCCTTTCCCTCTAACCTCTAATTCCGAAGTAATTTCCGAATTCCGAAAGGCGCTTGAATTGGGGAAATCCAATGGTAGAAAAATTAGGTTAGCTGTAATCGATCACATTACCTCCATGCCTTGTGTAGTCATACCTGTGAAGGAATTAGTCACAATGTGCCGAGACGAAGGCGTCGACAGGATCTTCGTCGACGGCGCCCACGCCATCGGCAATGTGGCCATCGACGTGAAGAACATTGGCGCCGACTTCTACACAAGCAATCTGCACAAATGGCTCTTCTGCCCGCCGTCCGCAGCCTTCCTCTACTGCAAATCCGATAGCTTATCGGAACTGCACCATCCGGTGGTGTCGCACGAGTACGGCAATGGCTTAGCAATGGAGAGCTCGTGGACAGGGACAAGAGATTACAGTGCGCAGCTAGTGTTGCCTGAGGTGATGGAATTCATTGCTCGATTCGAAGGTGGAATTGAGGGGATAATGCTGAAGAATCACGGGGCTGTTGTCGAAATGGCGGAAATGTTAGTGAAGGCGTGGGGGACGGAGTTGGGGGCGCCGCCGGAGATGTGCGCGAGCATGGCTATGGTTGGATTGCCGACGTGTTTGGGAATTAACAGCGATGAGGATGCATTGAAGCTAAGGGCGCATTTGCGCGAATGTTTTAAGGTTGAGGTGCCGATTTATTACAAGGCGCCGGTGGGAGGTGAGATTGAACGGATAACAGCTTATGCAAGAATTTCTCATCAGGTTTACAACGTGGTCGAGGATTACTATAGGTTTCGGGATGCTGTTAACAAGTTAGTCGAGGATGGATTTACTTGCGCTTGCCTCGGCTGAATGGAGAGGTAATTTTGGCCTTACCTTTTTTGTTTGTTATGCGATCTTTTTTAATCTTTCATATCATTGCTCGATGATTTGTTCTTGAGTATTGCTATAAATTACTCGCGCGACTAGAAACTCGAAAATTTGTCATTGTAGTAATTTTGAGGCACTTTTTAAAGTGCGCGGTCGAACCTACAAACTAGACTCGACTGACAAGTAACACTAGGCGAACAATGCGTGACAGATGGACTTGGAGGCACCTCACGGTCATAAATTCTCTCTCTACGCCGTCAGGCCATCCCTTATATATCTGTTTGCTTGCATTTTGGGTGGTTGTTTTGATTTATGATTGAATTGTATGTATTTGTATGGAATCGAATCGAATAATTAATAGTAATAGGTAATTATTCTGATGCTGATGCAGATGCAGATGCCTTATGGTGCATAACAGGTCGACACGACAGCATTGGGTGCTTATTACAGTGTCTGTGTCAGTGTAGATATGAATTGATGATCAACTAGAGGTTGATTGCATTCTGTCGCCATGATCAACTCAAGGATGGTTCTCTTCTTTTCTCCTAATAAAGTGAATGACGACTATGTAATTGATTATGACTTTATTTTTATTTTTGTTCGTGCCAATGATATGGGATATGCGTGGTCATTTTAGGATCTCACTTTGGATTAATTTTTCAAATTAATTTTTGGCTTCTGTTTTTTCTTTTTTTCATATATTTTATATTTATTTTTTATGGAGATTAGCTTAAAAAAACAAAATTATTATTTTATTATCAATAATAATAATATAATATAGTTATAAAAAAAAAAAACTAATTTATATATTATAATTAAACTAAGATATAAATAAAATTGTATTTTTATTTTTAATTTATATAATATATTTAAATTAAAATTTAAAAATATAATTGATGATGAAAATTGGGCTGTAGTTTGTTTGGTGCTAATTAAGGTGGAGAGCTAAATTTTAGAATATGCTTGATTTTAGATATATTATCATTGGTAAACATCAACAAGAAAATAGGAGATTGTTGAGAAACAGATTGCAATTTGTATTTGATTTTAGTTGATGTTGTCGGCAGATGTTCAATCAACGAACAAACGAATTATGATGGACAAATGAGATCCAATTTAATTTGAGCACAATCAAAAAAATAAAAATAAAAAGATAGATCCAAAATTAATCAATCTAATGATTGAGATTTTCGGAATTGTTGGTTCCACTTGTGGGGATAACAAACCACATGTGGGGAAAAAAAAAATTCGATCGTAACAAAATTGATTAAGATTTTCCGAGCTGTTAGTCCCCACGTGTAGAAATAAAAAAATTCGATTGTAACAAAATTGATTTTACGTGGATGATGCAACAAAAATTTGTTGAAGAATATTTTAGAGATGAGACGTACGAAAGAGATGTTGAATCAACAAATGGAATGAATATAACTAAGTAAAAAAAATAATCTGAGCTTAAGTGCCTATTAATTTAGAAAAAAAAAATGAGAGATTTTAGAAAAAAAAAAAAAATCGTGATGAAAAATTATATGCGTGCTAGGAAGCGTATAATTTCGATAAATAAGGGAAGACATTAGATTGATGGTGAGATAGGATAAATTTTGGATTTGGGAATGTTCAACAAATTGGGGTGTTGATTTCAGTAGCTCGAATTGTATATGTGAAATCTCATACTTCGACAAGTTTATAGTGAATTTCATATGGGTTAAAACTTTCAAATATACGCTAGTTACAGCCGAAGTGAATTATCAATTGTTCGATATTTTTTGTTTTTGTTATCAACAATATATGTGCATTCGCAGTCGGAACATATAACAAACAATCAGACTATGTAACAACTTATTTATATATTTGGTAAATTAGTTTTTTAAATAATTTTTTGAATTCAAAGAATTTATTTCTGAAAAGTTAATTTAACTTTTTGTTTTAGAAAACTTTTACACTTTAATTTTGTTTATTTTTTATTTACTCTTAAAAAATAATCATTTATTTGGTACATATAAATATATTTTTATTACAGTATTAATTAATTATTTTCAATATATTTATTTACTAAATTATAATTTTATTTTTATAAATATAAAATAATTACTATTATATTAGATATAAATTATTTTACTTGTAAAATATATAAATTTATTAAAATTAAATTAAATATAAAATACAAATATTATTAATTTATTCATATATTTTTATTATATAATTTTTATATTAAAAATAAATAAAATAGAATAAATTAATAAATAATAATTAACATAATAAAAATATATGTGAAATAATTATTATTTTATATTTTACACAATTTCAATAAAAAATATTATTTTTTCAATAAAATATTTTTCTCAAATCTAAAAAGAAATTATAATAATATTATAATATTCAATAATTAATAACAAAAACTTTCAAAAATTATAAATCAAAATGAACAAAATTAAATATTTTAAAAAAATAACATAAATGATCTTAATTGTCATTTTCATATAAACAACTAATTAAAAGAGCTAGTGAAAACAGTTGATTGAAAAAACTATATGCTAATGTCAAATATACATCTATTTGTGTTGTATAATATAAATGCGATGACATTCATATAAAATATTATACAAATATTTATTTGAAGTGTATAAGATATTTTAATATTTTTGCCTCTAAAATAAAAAATAAATATTCTTATTAAAATTAAAGGTATTTGATATTTAAATAGAATTATTTTTATTACAATTAAAAATAAATAAAAAAATAAAAATAGTAAAAATAATATATTGAATTAAGAGTATATATCATTTAAGTTATTATATAGTATTAAATATTTAAATTTCCATTTGTTCGGGGGATTGGATCTTAAGTTGGGATTTGAATAGTAAAAATTTTGAATTTGAATAGTTGTATGATGTGATATAAATGGGTGTTGATGTGATGTTTTGAATGTAAAAATAAAAAATCGGTGTTTGTTTTGATATTTTTAGGAAAAAAAATAGAATGAATAGTGTATATTAAATCCAATCCCCCAAACAAACACACCCTCGGTAAATCATTTGAAATTTTAATCTACATATTAAATCAATCCACAAGCCACCGAACCAGGGCCGGCCCTGGGCATGGGTTACCTGGGCCACGCCCAGGGCCCAAACATTTGGGCCTCATTTTCTTAAAAATATATATATTATTTATAAAATGAAATTTATAAATACATGTAAATATAAACAAATATATTAAAATCTTTTATTTGTATTTACATTTAAGTTTTTTGTTTCTATATATTTTAATATGATATACTGTAAAAGAAATAATAGAATATTTTGTTGACAATAATATCAAATAAATTAAAAAAATATTGATTATATATGAAATAAAATTAGTAAGAGCTCTATTTTTTGGTTCAGAACCCTGAGAGCAACACAGCAATGGATTCTTTAAAAATGGGCTTCGTAAAGCTGATGTGTAGAAGCCCATGGATGGAAGCGGATATATTACACAATGGCTTTTATTTTCCATCCCTTCTTTCTTCTCCCAAATCTAATTCTTCTCAAAAATTGGTTGCCATTCTCTCACCGATTTGCTTGCCCCTTGTCTCACGCCGCATCGGTACATCTCCAGCTTCCATCTTCTCGCATAAAGCTTCAACCCGGTGGGAGTTCCTTCGTCGGCCAAAGTCTGGAAGATTTCAACTCACGCAAGGTAAGAAAGCTCTTTTTCTCGCCTTATCTTTTAGTGTTTCGCTAATGTTTGTGTTAATTGGACTTTCATTTGTTGGAGTTTTGGTTTTCAACTTGGGTGAATCTTGAACTGTTGATTTCGTTTCTATTGAATTTTTTGTTGTTTAGTTTCGATTTTGATTTTCTTCTGAAATCTGTGTGCAATAGCGCACATATTTTGAATTGTTGATTTATTTTGCTTTTGCTTTCAAGTTTGAAAGGAATGCAGCGTAGATAGAGTTGGAATACCTTTGAATGGACATGATTGTGGAATACCTTTGCTTTTGCGTCCGACGAAGAACAAAATCGCTTTTGGAAGGAGGAAAGAGAAATGAGAGGGAGAAAAAAAAAGTACGAATTGGCCCTCTATTGGTCCAAGTTGGTTGGGAGAGACATGGACAAAATTGGCTCAATTTCATACCCCTTGTGTGATTTATTTTTCTTAGTTTGCAAAACCAGCTTCGGTACAGTTAAAAAGGGATTCGAAACTTGTATTATTTCTGCTGCTCTAAGGGTGTGTTTGTTTGTGGGTTCGAGATTTTGGGTTTAAATTTTTGAATAGTAAAAAATTTAATTGAATAATTATTTGATGTGATATAAATAGATGTTGATATAATGTTTTGAATGTAAAATAAATTTGTAGTATAATATAAAAAAATAATAATTATTATTATTATTTGATTTGATATTTAAAAAAATAATAATAATAAAAAATATAGAGTAAAACCCACAAAACAACCCAACCTTAAAAACTCCCGGAACCTTTATATTATTATTGATGTGTTTTTTTCAAAAAAAATAAATAAATAAATAAAATCCGAAAATAGGAAATTATCTTCGAATTTGATATAATTAGTACTGAGATTAGGAATCCCTAAAGACTGTAGGATACATAAATAAAATAGATAAATAAAAATACAAACCGGAAAATAAAGTGGTGATCCTTAAATGCAATTCTTTTGAATTTGATGTCGATTGAAGATGATCTGTCAGTTGCCGACCCCAATCCTTAAATATTCCTCGTAAGAGACGTTTCGGAACCGTTGCCAGCAACCGCCGTCAATCGCCCACAACGAAACGTTTTGAAACGTCGTCTGGTCAGTTACGACAACCGTCTTGCCAACCGCATAACCCAATCGACCAATCTGGAGACTAACTGATCGCTGGACCAAACGATTCCTTGGTCACCCCATCAAGCGACTATCCTCTGGTCTTTCCAGACGATTCAATGGTCGCCCCAACCAAGCGACTGAACTAGTGTTCACTTAATTTAAGCGACTGATTAACAGACTTTTTTGCTTGGTCCAAACTCCGTATTAGCCGACTCAAACGATAGCGGACCAACCGACTGCGAATCAACCGATTGCAAATCATTTCATCCGACTGCAGACCATCCGACCTACCTATCCGACAACGGACTTTCCGACCTGCCTATCCGACCGCAGACCTTCCGACCTGTCTATCCAACCGATGACCAACCGACCTGCTTATCCGACTGTGGACCAACCGACCGCGGACCAACCGACCTGAGTGCATATTTTCTCTTTTTTCACCCGACTTCGTGTCATGACTTCCTTTAAGATCCTGCTACCATTATTATTATTTTTTGTACGTAACAATTATATTTTACTTCATTTGTCTCAATACAATAGTCTTGTTTACCATTTTTGTCCGTCCCAAAATAATAATCTTATTTTCATAAATAACTATATCACCGTAAAACTATCCGTACTTTTTCATTTTTATTATACAATTGACTTTACTTTTTACACTAATATACTCGCAAGACCAAAAAAAATATTTTATTTATATTTTTTACCAACTACCAATATAATGTCAATATTTCTTAAATTTTGAAATGCATAATTAAAAGTTAGAAGATAAGCATATCTATCCTATTAGGCCCATTATATGTATAAGATAGGTAGTGTCATTTATTATTATTATTTCTTTATTATTTTCATAAGGTACGTAGTATTATTTATTTATTTATTAAGGTAGGTAGTATTTAAAGTACGGAACATTTTGAAAGGTAACAACAACTCAGTTTAACTAGATAGAGGAACTGGTTTATGTTATTATGGCTACAATCTAACTGCCAATTTGCCAATTAATATCTAATCAATAATATTTCTTATCTTATTAATTCAGCCATGCAAATAAATATTTTTCTACTTACGTAACATTTTATTTCTATAATTGCAAAGGCTCTTATATTTGTAATACTTATTTATGAAATTCTTAACCTTTATTTTACAAGCATAAAATTTTATTCATAATATATTAATCATATATAGTGAATTCCGTAGGTAGTCTAGTGGTGTTAGGATAGATTATGAGATTATTAAAAAAAAACTATTGATTTTATTTTAGTGGGCCGGAGATATTTTGGGTCGAATCAAATTAACTGTATTTTGGGTCGAATTAAATTATTTGTTAAAATATTACTTTTAAATAAGTCGATTCAATATATATGTAAATATATATATATATATATTCTAGACAACAAGAAAAATCTTGATCCATCCTATCAATTGAATTAAATTCTATCATTTAACTCAATCAAGCATTCATTAAATAAATTATGGCCTAAATGTTAAAGATTTTTTACTTTTTTCTTTTCTTAACAATTTCATTACAAAATAAAACTATACTAGTATTATTTTTCTTTCACTACACATTATATTTATTACATTTAAGTCAAAAACCTAATATAAAATACATACTACAAAGACCTGACATTCTTATTTATATATAGTGTCAAATAATTATATAAATTTCGAGTTTTTATTTATATACTTAATTTTGAAGTTGTCAACGGTTTTTGTGTTTTGATTTTTTCTTCAGTTTAAGCATACCATGAATAATGTTAACTTAATTGATTTATCAACCAACATTGGATCATTTGTCCAATTCAATGATTTTTTACAAAGAATATTTTGAAGGACGCGAAGAACATGAAAAATAATACAAAAGAGAGGAAGAGAGCTTCGGCTTCCTTTTCGGATGGTGCCACGTGGCGCATTTCAATTGGCCGGATGGAGGATTTTGCAATCCTTCTTTTATTGTCTGATGTTGTTTTTCATTTTTGAATTATTTGATTGTACAACTTCATTTATTGTCAAAGTTTTTATATCATTTCCTTTTCTTTTTTTTTTTTAGAAGATATTGACTATAATACTTCATTTATTTTACTTCCAAAATTATTATGATTTTGTATATGCCCATAATATTTATGTGATATATTCCATTTTAATCATATTTTGCAATAATAGTTGATAGTTATTGTACAAGAATTAACATATATACATAATTAAATACTATATATTTATTTGATTGAGATTTTATTTTCTTTTAAAAATATATAATATTTAATTGAATCTAGACATTTTAATAGCTACAATAATATTCAAAATTCACACAACATCAAATCAAACAAGATTTTTAAGAATAAATTATTATTAACTCAAAATGACTTGAATATAAAATTCACATAACATTAATCAAATAAGATTTTTAAGAATATGTTTTTATTAACTCAAGATTACTTGAATAGTGAAAAGGTTAAATTTTATTTATTTATTTATTTTTTATTAAATAGAATAGAGTCTAAAAAAGGCAATTTCTCAGTTCAACTAGATGAAGTGGGTTATGTAAGCCACTTTATTATGGTTATAACCTAATTTTGTAATACCAATTAATATATAATAAATTATATTTCTCATGTTATTAGTCTAGCCATGCAAAATATTTTATACTTACGTAACATTTTAATTGTTTATTTCACATTATTAGCCTACCCATGCAAATGTTCTTATACATTGTAATATTCTAATTACAAATATATGAAATATTAATCTTAATTTTACAATCATGTAAATTTAATTTATACTATACTAATTATATATAGTCGATCGATCCACTGAAATTAACGATACACTATCGATTCTACTTAATGGGCCGGAAATGTTGACATACTACTTTAGTACATTATCCGAACTTTATAAGAGTCCATATCGATTAGTCGTATTTTGGGCCGAATACGAGTTATTCCTAAAATATTGCTTAAAATAAAATAAATCAATTCACTATATAAATACAAAAAATTACACATAATATTATTATTATTTTTTTTATATGAACAGTGTTGTTTGTATTTTAAATATTTTTAAGATTATATATCAATCAAATATTACAAATATGTGATATATTTGTTTATATATAGTATCAAATAATAATAATATCAACCAAACAAGATTTTTAAGGATATGTTTTTATTAATTGTTTGTGAATAGGAAATAGTAATAAATTTTTCGTATATAATTATTGGCCCTGGTTCATCGTTTTCACTCCTTCGTATCACCCAAACCCTAACCCTAATTCGCAAACCTAGAGCGAGAAACTCTCTCTCGCTCATTAATCAGAATTCATCACCGGCATCTGCGCCGGCGTGTGATTCACTTCGTTTTTGCATTCGATCGGTGCCGATTTTGCGATTGCTCATCATTTGGCAGGATGGTTAAACCAGAAACCTTCAATACTCGCGTCCCGACGGCCTGTGGAAACTGCGATGTGGTGGACAGGCTGCTGATCCACCATGTCCGCCACCGCGGAACGTTCCGCCGCCTCTGTACGTCCTGCGTCTTGCGCGAGCATCCGCAGTCCTTCTGCCCGACCTGTTTCCAGGTCTACCCTCCGACGCCGTCCGTCGAGGACGCGGTGACTTGCGGTAAGTGCTACTCGTTGTCTCATTCTCGTTGTGTCTCCACCGCCACCGGACCGATTCCTAATCCCTACATCTGCCCACTCTGCGTGAGCCCTAATTCCCCAATTTTTAAACCGATAACCGCCAAAGAAGACCCGAGTCTGCCCGAAGGATTCCGGCAGTTGGATCGAGAGTCGGTTACGATATTGTTGGCTGCAGCGAAGATTGCTTACGCGTCGATGAGCAGAGCAGCAGTGGTTGCGAAAGAGGAGGCAGATCGGAGGGCAAAGGAGGCGGCTTTGGCGAGGAAACGTGCGAAGGAGGCTTTAGAGCACGTGGCGTATTTACTAATGAGGGAAAATATGAGGAGAGAAGCAGCTCCGGCAGCCCCTGGCGGCGCCGGTGGAAATCTTGGTTATGCCGGAGTTGGATTCAACACGGCTGCGAGAATCAACAACGGAATCACTGGTGCAGATGTACTTTCCGCTGTCCGGAATGGAATATCCAGTCCATCTGTGGTTGCAGAGAGGGTCAATCCGGCCGGAAATGCCAACAATATAGTCGATCATCCAAATCAGGTGCTGGCAGCACTGAATGCAGTTGAGCTGAGGGAGACCGGGAAGAAGCTCGGTGGAGTTTCCGGGAAAGACAATCCGGCTGCTATGGACGAGGATGCTGAGAAGGTGGCTGTAGATGACATTGATGACTTCATTGCAGAGACGAACGATGGTAGCGATGACGAGATGTTTGTTGCTGAGCTGGAGGCAGGCTGCGAGGAGGTTCTCGATGTGCAAGATGGTATGATCAGCAATGTGGCGAGTCAGATGGACTGCAAGGAGAATGGAAATAACAGGGCCGGCTCGAGTGAGTACCCTGTAGCCGAGGGAGTTCCAAGAACATCGTCCTAAGGAGGGGTCGGGGCTGGATTGCAATGGACAGTAGCTGTTGAATCTTCTTAGTCTGCTCATTCCCGTCGTCTTCACAGTATCGTTTTCTCATCCCTTTTCTTGGAAAATTTAGATATTTTTGTTGTGATCATCAGGTCATGAACCATGTGCTTTATTTGCTAGAACTCTTGTGTCTTTGGTAAAAACTATTTTAGCATATCTCCATGGTGGATCTGAAGTTTAAACCTTGCAATGTTTGTGTTAATTCCTGTGTGACTCTTGTTTGTTTTGAATGTGAAATCTAAACTTATGCCATTTGGTTCAACCTGAGATTGTTGTGTTCCATTTTGTGTTGCTAATTGTGTTTTTTTGGCTAGTTGATTCTTTTGTTTATCCTATCTCCTAGTATTGAACATGGATGTTCTTTGGTATATGATCCTTGTATCATTTTGTTGGAGATGTGCTTCTGGTCTTAATTAGTAGGGTTATGCATTCTTGGCCTTAGCATTTGTGATGCTTTGTTGTCCTTAACTAGCCGGGTTGTATAGGCTTTGGATGGTATTTTTCATATAAGTTTCACATTACTCAAATTAAGTGTACGGTTTCGTATACATCCTTTTGTTGGTGATGCGCTGTAGGCTTGTATGCTCTTGGCCTTAACTAGTTGTTTCATGTGTGCTCTAGTGATGCTCTGAGTTTGAGTAGAGTTTAAGTGGATTGTTTAAATTATTTATGTCAACCATGTGTATATTTTTTTTTGGAGTCCACACTCTAAAGTTAAAATGTGGTTACTTTAGGATAATTTCAAAATGAGTGATCCCGTGGAAAGTTTAAGGACTTGTGTTGACCTATGGGGATAGTTTATAATCCTCACATGTCCTTCTTGTGTGGCTTGCGGCCGGAGTGTTACGGCTTCTATAGTATTATTTGAAAGGTGTTAGTGAATAGTCAAAATAAGCCTATAGTTTGTATACATCCCTATGCTAACGATGTGCTCTTCGTCTTAATTGGTCGGGTTGGGTTGTGTACTTTTAGTTTTAATATGTTGGATTGTGTGTGCCTCTAATGGTATTATTTCAAATAAGTTGTGCTTAAACTAACCCTACAATTGTATGCATTCTTACATCAAACTTTTGGTTTTAATTGGTGAGCAAGTGTTTGTGGTTTGGATGAGATATTAGTGTATTTCAAACAAGTTAACTATTACTTGTTTGTGCTTCTGATGGTATTATTTTAAAGAACAGCTTACTTGCATAAGCCTACTTGGGACGCATCCTTCTAGTGCCACTCATAGTTGGATTGTAAATTTGAGTCTCTTTAGTCTCTGGAGATTTGTAAAGTTTCAAGATTAGTACTACCTCCGTCCAAGATAAACTTTTAAAAAATAAAAATATTTTTATGTTTATATGATTTTTTTTTGTATAAATATCATTATATTAGTATTATAAAATACTAATATAAGTATTTTTGTCATTTTTCTTTAATTTGTACTATATTTTGATATAATAATTAATATTTAAAGATCAACCTGAAGTACACGAGAAATTTAGTTTTGGACGGAAGGAATAATATATTTAGTGTGCAATTAGTTTGTTTATATTGAAGTGTTTTGGTAAGATAATTGTTTGATATTATTTGTTTATACATAAAATGACAATTAATGATATTATATGTTATTTTTGTAATATTCAATTTTGTTTTTTTGCTTAAAGTTTTTGAAAACTTTTGTTATAAGTAAAATGCGCATTTATATTATATTAATATAATTTATATATTGTTTGTCTCTCATATATTTGTATTATATCAATATAATTTATGTGCTAATTTCTAAATTTGTATTTACTATTTTTCGGGTGCGTTTATCTTTTGGGTCCGCGTCTTAGAGCCGGAAAAATTATATGAGGGTGTGTTTGTTTGGGGGTTTGGATTTTGAGTTGGGATTTGAATAGTAAAAATTTTGAATTTGAATAGTTGTATGATGTGATATAAATAGGGTTTGATGTGATGTTTTGAATGTAAAATTGATTTTTAGTATAATATAAAAAATGAAAAATAGGTGTTTGATTTGATGTTTTTGGGGGGAAAAAATTGGATGAATAGTGAAAATCTACCAAAATCCTTCAAACAAACACACCCTGTGAATTAATGAATAAGAAAAAGCTTTAGATATATTGAAGGTTTGGATATTGGTGGCATCATCTATATTATAGTATTATATACTCCACATCCGTCATATAACAAAATATTCATTTTTTCATTTTAGTCCATCCAATGACAAAGTATTTATTTATTTTTTTTAATAATTGTACTATCTATTTAACATTACAAATACCTTTACAACTTATAATATGTTATACAAATGTCATTACATTTATATCACACACGAACTAATAATGTTATTTTAGTCATTTCTACTATATTTCAATACTAATATTTTTAAAACTACGTGAAAAAACAAATAAATATTTACTTATAGGACGGAGGGAGTATTTAAGATCAGTTTCTAATTCTTGCATTTTCAGATTTTTTTTATTATTTGATTTTTTTTTTTCTGTTTTATAGTTTTTTATCACTATTTTTATATGATAGCAGGGCATTTATACTGTTAGTGGATATAAACAATTTTTTTTTTCTTTTTAAATTATAAAGTCTATTTTAAATCTATTTGTTTAGAGAGTGTATTCAATTAGAATTTTGTTGAACTTTTAAAATTTGTGAGGTATCTATTAATTTTATGGATTTTGATGAAAAATGATGAAAAATTTATATAGTATACAATCTCTCCAAATAAGTAGAAATTTTGATGAATTTTTAAAATTATTATTATTAGTTGTTGTATATGGGATAAATAATAAGATAAATATTTATTAATTTTATTATAATTTTTAATAAAAATAATTAAAACTAAAATATATTAGTGAATTATTATTATTTTTTTTGAAAATAATATATATTTTATATTATAAATATAATATTTAAAAAATATTATTATCATGATAAATATTATATATTACTGTCATTTTTTTTTTCAATTATTGAATACAATATATTTTGTCGTTCCGATGTCGCTCTCACTTTTCAATTAAAGAATGCACTATATTATCATATGGGTGTGTGGAATAGATATTTATGTACTCCCTCCGTCCCGGTGCAAAATTGTCATTTACTTTTTGCACGTAAATTTTTTAATATTAGTACTATAATGAATTTTAGTAAAAATGACGAAAATACATCTATTAGTATTGAGTAATATATAAGTAATGACATTTGTGTAATATAGTGTAAGTTGGGATGATATTTATTATGTTATGTAAATTAGGAAATAGTAATCTTGTTTTGAGACAGACGAAAATAAAAAATGACAACCTTTCATTGAGACGGAGGGAGTATATTTTTTCATTGAACCGTTAGTTTATATTTATTTATTTTAATATTTTTTAAAAAAATCATAAATTATGTATTTTATTTTATTTATATACATATTTACTTTTTTTATGTAAAAAAATTATATAAATAATAATAATAATAACTAATAAAAATTTTAAAAATAATTTAATATATTGATTGTGAATATAATACTAATTATAATTACAATTTTTAATATAATAATACTACCTTCGTCTGGCTCTGAGGTTTTTTTGCGTGTTGATATTTGAATATTAATTATTATATCAAAATGTAGTATAAATTAAAAAAAATTACAAAAATATTTTTATTAGTGTTTTATAATACTAATAAAAGGACATTTGTACAAAAAAATATACAAATATAAAAATATTTTTAATATTAAATACAATCCAATAACGGACGAAGGAGTACAATATAGTAGTGTTATAGACATATAGTAATATATATTATAATATTTTTACATTATTAATAAATATATACCATTATCTAGTTATTAATTTTATTTTATAAAAATATAATAAGTTTATTTATAAATATATAATACTTATAAAATTTGTGTTTATATAATTATATATATTAATAAAAAAAATTATTCTCCAATCATACATAATCCACGGGTGTGTGACACATTGGGGCAGAAGGGGTTGTGTGTGTGGCGCTGGGAGTTTAAGAAATTATTGTGTTAGTTAGTTAATTAATTTGATTAATGAATGTAATAAAGTATTATATTAAATATTTTTTATTTAATCAAATATTAAATTAAAAATTTAAAAATATCTTTTATTTTAATTTTTAAATATTAAATTTTTTATTTACTGATATTATTTAGAAATAATAATAATAATAATTGTATTTATTGTAAATCAATGCATGCATTTAGATAAAATAAAATAAAATTTAATAACTTAAATGTAATTTATACAATAAAAAATGTAATAGAAAAAAGGGAAAGGATAGGGTGCTGAATACAAAATTATATAAACAATACAAAATTATTTTCGAATTTGGTTGTTGTTAGAGATAGTTCGTTATGATATACTAAATTTAATACCACATTGCATATGTACGGTACAAAATTTTTGGTATGATATATTACCTTACTGTACAAATATTTTGGTATATCGAATTTACGAAACATGCATACTTGTAAAAAAAAAATACCGAAAAAATTTCAAAATTTTGATACAATATGACTTTTTTTGTATGATAACAATATACAATAAAATATTTTCAATATATATACATAATTAAAAAAAATTGATATTTTTGTATATATTGATTATTTGATACAATATCGATATTTTTTTAATAAATTAAAAAATTTGGTACGGCATACAATATATTTCGATATTTTCGATATATTATCTTAAACCATCTCTAACTGAATTGTATACATGGTATTAGAATATAACATTTTATGTCAAATACCAAAATTTAAAATTAATTTATAATTTTGCATTATAAATAAATTCTATTTTTTATTATTTTTTTAACAAAAAAAAAATCAATATCAAATTTTATTTTTAATTAATTTTTTCAGCCATAAATTTTCAAATCAAACATCAAATTTTTATTATATATTACATTAAAATTTAAATTTAAAACTAAATGAATATTTACTTATATAATATTAAATATTTATTTTATTTTTATTATTTAAAATTTTAATCTAACTTCTAAATTTACAATTAACAAATAATAAAACTAAAGATATTAGTAAATTAATAAAATATAGTTAAATTTATTTAATTAGAAGTATTAGTTATTAATTATTACTATATCAGGAGAATGAACTAATTTATAGAAGGACTAAAAAAAAATGTACTAATTTGGTGGGAGAAAAGAAGTATATATATATACACATATATACATTATATGATATATATCGTATTTGAGTGAGGATTCCATACCATCTCCATACTCCCTGCTTATTAGATAATTTGTTTTTTCAACTTAAATACACAAAATTTTAAGTATTATATAATTAGTGAATAATTAAAAAATATATTAATAAAAATAATTTTAAATTAAAATTAAATAACTTAACTAATTTAATTAAAATAAAATAAAAATATATAAATTATAAAATTTAAAATATGCATATAATTATATATTTTTTTTAAAAAAATAACAAATGAAGTTGGACGGGGAGGCGGATAAAAATGGGGCCCGATATCGTCCCAATGCAACATAAAATCTAAGGGCATCTATACTTTGTTTGGGGGATTGGATTTTATTTCCACTTTTCATCTCATTTTTTTCTCCAAAAAACATCAAATCAAACGTCTATTTTCATTTTTTATATTATACTAAAAATCAATTTTATATTCAAAAATCACATCAACATTTATTGTCACATCATACAACTATTCAAATTCAAAATTATTACTATTCAAATTCCAACTCAAAATCCAAACCCCCAAACAAACACACCCTAACCCTAAGTGAATCCAATCCTTGGTGATCATCCATCTATCTATCTATCTATCTATCTATCTTCAACATCAACAAAAACAAACTAGCAACAACATGCACCAAATCATAAAATAAAATGTCATATATGTACATAATATATCCACATTTTTTTTCTGAAGAAACCATGACAAGAACACACATCTAAGGAAACAGAGAGAGCCGGAGACATACCACCGATACCGCAAGTGCTCCGTCGTCGCATTCGGTTCGCTTCCTTCCATCGAGCGGATCTGCAAAAACCCATCTGAAAAACATCAACAACTAGTCAAAGAAACTCACATATTCTACTTGCACTGTAAAGCCAAACGCTGAAACACTAACCCGTCCAGCCCAAACGCCGTGCTTCTTTCGAATTCCTGCTCTGCCTCGGCGCCAAGACAGCATTAGTTCTGTATCGACACAGGAACTTATGATCTATCGAAAAACCGTGCAAGAATGGCTTCTTTTATCGCGTTTTGTTTTCCCCAGGCCCTCTTCGAGTATGCAACTCACACTATCATCGTTTCGATGATTCCCTTTCACATCATCTGTTTCGACAGAACCCACGAGCAATGCGTGGGTAGAAGCATCCGGGACCCTACCCATTTCCAGTATTTTATCCAGCACGCGCCTTGCCTCCGTTTCGAATCCCTCGTTCCAGAGACTACGGATAAGTAAATTATACACCACCGGATCTAAAAATTCTGATTCAAGAGCAATCTTATCCATCGAACGCAAAATCGAATGCACACGAGAATTCTTGGCCAGACATGATAATAAACGAGCTAATGCTTCCGCATCCGGCATGACCCCTACGCTCAGCATCAAGTTGAATACCGAAACACAGCTTCCTGCTTGATTTGTTGCGCTCATGTATCGAATAACAATGCTGTAAGTTTCTGAATCGAAAACACAGCCGCATACGATCATTTTTGCAAGAATTGCCGAGATATGACCTTCCCAACCTACTTTCGATAAGCTTCTCAAAATACTATTGTACACATAGCCTAAAGGAAACGTACCGCAGCAATACGCCAATGGTAATAACCCAACTGCTTTGTAAACGTCTCCACCTGCACAGATTTTTCCGATCAAAAAGTTAAATGAGCTCGATCGAAGAGCACAACCTTTGCTTGCCATGTAGCGAAACACATTGGCTGCCTCTCGAACATTTCCCGTCTCACAAAGACATTCCACAAGTTCAGCGTACGTGACAGAATCCAAAACCCAATCTTTCGATTTAATAGAGGCAAACAAGTCCAAACCATTCGAAAACTTCCCTGCTTTGCAGTTGCCAAGAATAAGTGATGAGTATGTATCCGAGTTCGGATGGAAAGAAGAAATAACCATTCTACAAAGCCACTCCAACGCCTCGTCAATCATCGATTTCTTACAAAGGAATCCGATGAGAATATTCCACGACGTAGCATCAAGAGCACCACTTTCTAACATTTTATCGAACATACCTTTCGGGAAAATGCCATTCTTACAATAAGATCCAAGAATCATATTATGCAAGTAAGGATCAAAGATGCCATTCTCTACCAAAATGTCCTCAGCTTCAGCCAATTTATTCAACTTACACAACCCATCGATTATATCCACATAAACACGGCTCTCCGGCATAACCCCTTTACCTCTCATCTCTTCCAAAAGCTTAATCGCATCATCCAACCGAAGAAACTCACACAAACACCTTATCACAGCACTATAAGTCGCACAATCCGGATCAACATTCGAAGCTCTCATCATTCCAAACAATCTCAAACCAACATCAAGATTCTTCATTCCACAAAAAATAGGCACAACACACACATAGAACTTCGCATCAGCCTCACATCCGGATCGAAACATCTCCTCCAACACGGCAACCGATTCTCCCACATGATCGGCGTAAGCAAGACCTCTTACAACAATCTCAAAAGTCCTCACATTTGGCTCACACCCTTTCCTCCCCATTCTCCTGTACTGATCCATGGCTGTGTCCACTCTCCCGGATTCGAACAACCCCTCCAACAAGTAATTCAGAGTATCGACATTCGGTGCAATCCCCGCTTTCACCATTTCTTTATAAACAAACACCACATCCTTGAAATCACTCTTCTCCTCCATAAGAACACGCATCAATGAATTAAAAGTTTCGATACTTAGATGATGACTGCAACCATTTGAATTCATCGCATAAACAACCCTTAAAGCTTCACTAAACCTACGATCACCAACAAATGAATCAATCAATGACAATAAAGACTTTTCGAAACCACAGCATCTCACCCTCACCATTTCATTGCAAAACCTCTCCATCTCCGACAGATTTCCGGCCAGGCCCAGCTTCAAAATCAGCATCCGATACGTCTCCGCCGTCGGCCGGAACTGCTTCTGACGGGAGGCCCATTTGAATAGCTTTATGGAGGAATTCAAATCGGGGGTTCCCTCCAGCACCGATATTAAGGTAGCTGAGCAAAGCTTGTTGTTCTTCAATCTCTGAATCTTCGCTTCCAAATCGGGGGAATTCGAAGGAATACAATTGTCGGATTCTGAGGTGGGGTGGAGGTAATTAATTGCGCAGGAAATTGAAGAAAGATTGGCTTTCAGAGAAACCCAATTGGGGATTCTCCTGGACACTATTGAAGATGAAAGTTTCACAGCCATTGGAAGCGCCGGGAATTCATCTCCGAGGTCAATATATATAGACGAACAAATTAACAGAGACTCTCAGACGATCGAAAAATAATTAGGGTTCCCATTGAATCAAATTTAGGGCATAATAATAATAGTAGTTTTCGGAGGATTAGGGCATGTTCTTATAGAATTCGGCTTGGAATACAGAGAACGGAGAGTGTAGGAAAAGGACACGAGATTGATCGAAGCAAATACTGTATCCAATGAATGGAGGACGATCTTGATCATCCATCAATTTAAACTTACAGCGGCGAACTGAGAACTTATGATCTCACAAGAGGCACCTGCAACATAGATAGGATAAGAGAGAAATAGCCAAAAAAAATAAAATTCCCTAGGTAGAATTTACTGAATACTATTATTATTATTATTATTATTATCCATGTTTTAGAATTTGTTTTTTTTTTTTTTTTTTTGCCCAAAAATACCATATTTCTACTCTACAGATTTTCGTTATTATTATTTTTTTTTTACAAAATATTTTATCATATATTATATTAATATCAAATTTAAATTAAATTTTTTTTTAAATCAGTAAAAAAGAAACATACCCTTAATTTTATAAAATGTAAGTTGAATGAAGGATGTCGCGTAAAAGGAGAAGAAGAGAGAGGAGAGTGGGTAGACGGCTAGGGTTCGGGAGAAGAGGCAAAAGCACAAAGTTATTACACCAGTTGCCTGCACTATTTTTTTTATAAAAAACTATAAATATATATATATTTAATTTTTTTATTTTAAAATAAAAAAATGCAACAATTTTTTTAAATCTTTAAATATATTTATTTTACTTATATCTAACTTATCATTATATTTAACTTATCAATAATAAAATTGTTCTCTAAGTATAAAAGAAAAATAATATATTTATACTTTCAAGAGGCATTAAATACCATTAAATAGTTCAAATTCGTACAAATTACAAATTATATACTGTGGAAGCATTTAAACGCGAAACTTAAAATATAATAAATTTGAAGCAATTTCATAAAATTACATATAAATTTTTGCTTTTATTTTTTACTTTTTCAAGTCGAGCACTTCCTAAAAAGTTGCTCATTCTTAACTTCAAAATTCTATGACATCCAGTGCTTTGGACTGCTATAGGTTGTGCCAAAGACTTGTCGAAGTTGACATGTCAAAGTCAAACACAACCTTTGCAGTTCTCGTCGTAAGTTAAAACAAGAAACTCCCATCATAGGCGGATTCAGATATTGGAGTGTTCTTTCTTATTAACCACCCTCTTGACAATATCTCGTGGATAAATAGAACTGGAATTAGTAGTTGCCAGTTCTATTTATACTACAAAAAGATTTAATACCAACAACTAGGCAAACTGATATCAGCATAAACCAAATAGCACAACAAACAGAATTTCGACATTTAGTTTTGCATAAACAAAAAACAGAACTAACATAAACGGTTCTTCTTATCACAAGCAGCATCACAAGAGGTCTCAGCATATATTTACACAGTTTTAACAAGCAGGAGACGGTGATGACGATAAACATGATAATATGAAGGCAACAAAAATACTGCGACAGAATGAAACCAGATTTTGATATTAAAGTTTATACCTTGCACTTGATCTGCTGTAATCAATGCCATCTCACCTCAGTTTGTTTCAGGGTGGCAATGCAGGTTGTATCAAGAAGGCTGCAAGGAGGAATAGTACTTTGATCTTCATGTCTAGCAACTGATTGTTCCAAACGTAATCGACTCAGATAAAAACTCGGTGTTAAAAGTTGATTTGGGTTGCAATGTCTTCTAGAAACTATACTGCTTCATTGCCATGCCATACTAAGTTCTTTGATCTCCCAATCAAAAAATTTTAGTTCCATCCTGTCTCAATCTCTGTCTCCCCCGTTCCTGAATCTTTCGTAATCATATCTTAATCCAGTGCCAAATCTAGCAGAATTCTGTTCATTATCGAACCTCAAGTCAAATTTTCAGTCCAGCACAACTTCCGGCTCTCCAAGCACCAAGCCAAAACCAGCAAGTAAAGGTTTGTAACAGCAAAATTATCTCCCAGCTTTAGTTAACAATAGGATCTTACGGAATCAGATGAACCCTTGTACGTTCAACAACATACTCGTTTGAAATTTTATGCGTTGCTGCTGTATCAGAATTTCAATATTGATATTCCACAATGTACCTGGAAGGAACATCTGATGATTTATACCACAGAGTGCCCACAAAGGTTGCTGATGCTGTAGAGAAGCCACATTGATGAGCAGATAAAATAAAGCAGTCTTGATGTTCTCTGACCTCCAATATATCTCTTGTTGGGAGTGCTTCGGCGTTATCCCAAAAAAAACACTAAAGAAGAATATAAACCTACTACTTTTCTATCATCCACGGCTGCTTCATCTGCAGCCAAGTGAAAGGGAAGAAAGGGCTGCCACATATAACACATTGTTCACTGAAATTTACTCGCATGACACACGGCAAAGCATTGCATCCTTGACCCCCTCTCCCCTCCCATAACAAAATGCTTTGTGAGCTTAGGTAGCAGCGGCCAACCCCATGTCAGGGTTGATCTCTGCAACCATAATTTTAATGGGTTTCCATCCAGTCTGATAATTACATACTATCCATTTTTTAATGGTAATTACCATATGCAAGATCTGGAGTATTTCACCCAAAGAGATCTCTTTTAAGCACATCTGTTTCAATACTGTAGCTGCCTCGTACCTAAAACAAAAAATAAAAATATTGAGAAATGTAAAGGTTTGTATGGAAGAAATTATACAGCAGAAATAGACAGCCAAAATGAAAGATGAAAACACAACAGGACAACACACCTGCATTGAGCATTCAGCAATGAAGCTCGTCCTTCAGAGGATGAAAGAAATTTGAGAATTTCATCCCATATTGATTTTGCATAGTGCTTCTCATTACCGGCGATTGGATTGACACATTGCCATAGTTTCTCATTTTTTCCAACAAACATCTGCAGAGTACCTAACTGCTGTTTTACTACCAGCTGCTGCTCAACAGCAGATGCCAAAGCTTTCTTAACATCGGTATTACGATGTCTAGGATCTCCATATCTAATGCAATCGGTGATATTAGCCTCAGTTGGCACAATCTTCTCTTTCTTAAGGGTGTTTAGAGCAAGAATAATAACCCCTATAAGACCTTGTACATATTCAGAAGGTTTAAGGCATCCAGGTGCTCCCCAAACACTATTATCTGGCGGGACAGCAGCTTCCAGTGCAGAAGAAAATGACAGTGTACTTTCTAGCATAACTTGGGATGACAGACTGGTCTGTATGTCTTGATTAAAAGGTTTGCTTTGTGTGTTATAAGCCTCATGTGGACATTCAAAGCCAAAGGGAACTGAAGATTCACTAGAAGCTGGTCTTCTCTCCCACCCACCTTGTAATGGTTGGGAAGCAGGAGGATGCCATTCATTTCTAGAGTACTCGGAGATATTTAATTTGCCAAAATCAGTTAAATAAGTTGAAGAAGCGCCAGAGCCCAAGTTCTGTGAATCTGGCCTGTTAGGCATTGCAATAGGAGGACGCCAAAGCGGAGCAGTACTTGATGAGTTAACAGGCAGCATTGCAGGTTCAACAGTGACTCCATTTCCCCCTGCTGCTGATGGATGAAAATGATTTTGATGAGATCCATGAGAATTGGAACTGTTATTCCAAGAAGAATCAGAAGAATTGGGAACAAAAGAGGATCCTGGCCCGCTAGTTGCAAACTTAGGGTTGTAAGTACCATTGTTGAACGGTTTAGACTGTCCAAAGGCCAGTTTCCGGGGGTTGACATTGTTATAATCTTCTTCAGATCCACCCATGGTATTTGAGCTTCTTGGCATACTAGGTTGTTGGGTGAAGTTTCTACGATGCAGTTTCCCTTTATATTTTGGGTCAACTCCTCTCGCCATATTTGAAAATTTCTGATTTCCAAGATGTAAGCTTTGATGATACGACTCCATGGGTTGGGTTGCCTGAATGGATTCCGCACCTAATGGCTCAGTGCCTGCTGCAAATCTATAACCGTTGTTTAGAATTTGGGAAGAATCGACATTTTTAACTGGTGGTCCTCCAGCCACTAAACTTGTCCAGAGCCAAACACTCTTTGCAGCAGCAAGAAGTGGGGCAGAAGCTTTATGTGGTTGTGCTAGAAGAATATTATAGCGGCGCATGCGAAGCTGGTGAAGAGCATTTGAGAAATCTCGATCTCCGGAAATTAACAAATAATTTGCAGGAGCTGGATTGTCAACTGCCCAAAATAACATATCCACCAGAATTTTCTTGTCACTCGCATCCTTGGCACCTAAGCATGGAGAAAAACTGTAAGATCAAATTGAATCCAAATAAATTCACAAATTAACATGTGATATTTCACGAAAACACTTCCAAAAGCAAATAGGCCATCAATAACTACTCGACAAGAAAGGCTACGTCACATATTAGTTGCAATTTTCTATTATTTGAAATAGATGCTCAAAAAATTCCAACAAACCGCTAGCGACAAACTCACACTTTCAACCATAATTTGGGATTCAATATGCATTACTATTTCAAGTTCCGGATTCCTCATAGCATGTGAAAATTGGATAAAGTTGTTGTTACAAATGCAAATATAGAAATCTGCAGTGGCTTGGCTCCAACTTGATACCAACTTCCAAAAAGCCTCTATCAATGTCATGGAAATACGAATTTACTTACACGAAATTGAAACTCATCATCAATTTTTTACTATCTATAGAATTATTGCTAAGGAGCAAAACAAAACATGAATTGCATAAAAGTACTGCTCATAACACAATAAAAACACCATGTTTAACAAATCCATCTTCCCCTACACTAGCATAGCAACAAAAAGTACACAGAAGTCCACCAACAATAAATTAATCAAAATAAAGGCTACACATAAACATAAATCGCAGTTAGAAACCACTCAATCCCACTGTTAACACTCACCAGAACAACCCAAATATCAAAAAATAATCAACAGCACAATAAGCACAAAACTACTACAAATCTCAAAGTCACCTGCAGGGACGTGATTAAGCGCGATTCCAGTGCTATTAAGAGCCTGCTGAACGGAGGAGGAGATCCTGGTGGTGTCGCCGTAGGCAGAGACGGAGACGGGCCCACAGTAGTTCAACTTGACTAAGGCGGAGCTAATATTCTGCGCGATAGTGTGGGGATCGCACGCTTTCGGCACGTGACAGTTCTCGATATCCCACCAGACCGAGATCTTGGCCTTCACGTACTGCTCCTCCGCCACATCCGCCGCTTGTTGCGTCTGCGACTGCGCTCCGCCTCCGCCCATCCCCGCCACCGAAACGATTACAGTTTTACGAAAAGATAATCCACAAAAACAAGAAGGCTCCGATTAACCAAGAACTATCAATCAGTGCGATGAAGTGACGGAGAATCTTAGGGGCAGACGGTGGGAGGCGGCATTGGAGTAGGCGAATTTGGATTTGGTGGTGGTTGAGGAACGGAATTATTGAATAGGGTATGGAAGGGAAGGAAGAGTGAGAGAGAAAATATAGAGAGAGAAAGGAAAGGGATTTTGGCAATTATTTCTGCGTCGATGAGTCTTCGCTGCCCAGTGAGTAACTGAGGGATAATATATATATATATATTAATTATTATAGATCATATCGACTGTGCATAATTGGAAATTTGGGAGAGAAAATCAAATAGTAAGGGTCCGTTTACATAACTTTTTTTTAATGATTTTAAACAATTTATTTTTTAAATATATCTCTCGATACAGAAAGTATACGTATTTCTATTTTGGATCTCCAATTACAAAGTAATTATTTTATTAAATACTTTATTTTTCCATAAATACCCTATATTTTATATCACATCATTACTTTTATACCAAAAAAGTAAAGGCAAAAATGTCATTTTACTACTTTTACCTGCCCATTGTAATTAAAATACTATTATTCCTTATTCTTGGCTCAAAAGTAATCGTAAACTTTTAGTTTGGACCGAGGGAGTATTACATTAAATATTATTTATTTTTTTGGTAAAACATTAATTAAATCTTATTTTTTATTTTTATATTTTTCAAATCTCTAAATATTTTCAAAAATATCGTGTTTAAAAAGTTTTGGTTAGGTTTGGTGTTAAAATAAAATTTATCAAAATTTTCATATTTAAAAAATCGTCAAAATTTTTTTTTGTTCCATAAACTATGTAACTAACCTTCGATCGTCCTTATTTAACAGTGTTTGATTTATCCATGCTTAAACCGCGAGTAGATTTTAGAATTTTTATTTCTAAACCGGAAAAATTACGAATATAATTTTTTTTTCTTATATTTAGTTAAATAAATGAATATATTTGTAATTTTAGAAATTTAAAAATTGGGATAAAAATCTATTTGTAGTTTGATGAGTTAGACGCATCAGCAATAAATTTGACACAATTTTTATATTACACGTGAAATTATAGTTGAATTATATACAATTTTATTTTAAAATAATATTCGATGAAATATTTTGTCAATTAATTAAATAAGATAATAAAAGAAAGAAGTGTATATTTTTATTTGAGTGATAAAATTTTAAAAAAATCTAATACTATATATTTATTAAAAAATTAATTATTTTGTATTTTAAAAATATTATAGAATATACTACTATAAGACAATTTTTTAAAAGAATTATACTTCGTCAGTTTATTGCCATTTTTAATTTTTGTCCGTTTCATAATAAAGTTGCATAACAAATATTTTTAAAACTTAAATTATATTACACAAATATCATTACTTTTATATTACACAATATTAATAGGAATATTTTTGTCTTTTTTACTACAATCAAATATAATATTAATATTAAAAAATTTATTTGAAAAAGTAAACAGTAACTTTTAGGGACGGAGGGAGTATTACATTATATATGGAACCAAAAAAATATATTTTTTTAAAAATACATTTATTTTTGGTAAAAAAATTCAAATAATAAAATTTAAAAATTCTTGGTAAAATATTTTAAAATATTTGAATTCAATATATATATCAATATTGAAATAAACATCATCTTGTTTAAAATTGAAAAAAAATCAACAAATTTATTTTTAGGATATTAAAATTAATATATTTTAAATTTTCTAAATAAAATCAGATAGTACTCCCTCAATCCTAGGTAATTAAAAAATATATTAGTAAAATTAATTATCATATAGTAAAAATAATTATAAATTAAAATAACTAAATAATTTAATTAAGATTAAAAAATTTTAAATTTTAAAATATGATTAAAATATATAATCAATTTTTTTTTTAAAAAAAAGAACAAATTAAGTAGAACAGACAAAATAAAAGATAAGAATAAATTACGTAGGACGGAAAAGAAAATAATAAATATCCTCTTTGAATAAAAATTGAAAGATAATCAAATCTTAAATATACTTGTTTTTTTGTTTGGGGAGTTTTATTTTTGAATTTGATTTTAAATAAAAATAATTACTTAATGTGATATAAAATATATATTAGTGTAATATTTTAAATATACAAATAAATATTTCATATGATACTTTTAAAAGAAAAAAAAAATTGAAAATAGTAAAAGCACAACCCAAACCATTATAAATAAAAATTTGAATAGAAAGATTATTAATATTAATTTTTATCAAATAAAGAATGCAAAAAAAAAAATAAATGTTCCATAAATTATTTTTACAAATATCATATTCAAACAATTATTTTAAAAAAAAATAAAATAAAACACTTTAGAATAAAAAAATTGTGCAGAAAGGCCGGCCAGCTGATTGAATGTAGCCATAAAAAAATACATATGAATTTGCACAAATAAATTATTAAATATTCTTTTATATATAAATCACATTGCCGAGTAATACAAGTTGAAAAAATACGAAACGATCTAATATTGTAACAAATGCAAATTTAATAATGGGTTATACAATAATGAAATGCAACCAATTTATGTATACTTAAAAAGCAATGATATTAAATACTACTCCGTCATGCAAATGTGTGCTCATTTGACTGAATATGAATTTTAATAAAAGTGACTAATAATTGTTAATTTTTCATTTTATAGTAAAAAACAGTACAAAAAAAAAAATTCTTACTTAAAAAAAATAGAATATTTTTCGATAACTAACCTAAAAATGAAAATGAGCATAGATTTAAATGACGGAGGAAGTACAACCTAGTGCTGTCTAGTGTAAATCACGTATCAGTATATTATGAAAGCTTAAATTCACAAAATAAAGCCATGAGTAATATTTTGTTGCCAAAGGAATTATCATTCTAAACTACATCATTAATGTTTGACATTATTAATCGAACAATAACTTTAAAAATAAAAAATAAAAAAATATCACAATAAATTTGTACTATTTTCAAAACATTTTAAAACTCTAAAATTCCAAAAACCCTATATGTAAATGGAAGTTTACATAACAATGTAAAGAGAGCCATTTTATAAAGCACCAAAAAAAATAAAATTTGATTGCTATACATGGTTCTAAGCAAGAAGCCCGCATGAGTTCGATTCGAACTAACTGCAAGATACCCTACTAAACAGCTTGAGAAATGAATCAAAATGATTAGGCCCAAATCACCTTTGAGATGTCATTGTTGTCCACAACTCATCGACAAACTTGGTCAGATTGAGGGTAGTGTCACCTTGCCTCACCTACATTGCACGCACAAACATAATATGTGAAGCAGCATATATTTGATATGCAAAATATGCTGATGTCGAAAAGAGAGAGAAGAAGAAGAAGAAAAAGGGTGTTTTGCAGTGAAATCATGCGAAATTCTAAAGATATGAACAGCACAAAATGTGTTGCACTCAAAATTACGCATATGAAAGAGAGCAACAACAAAACACTTGGAAAACATGTTGCCCTTCGATTTAGGAAACTTTTGTATTATGCATGATGTTAGATGAATCCATGTATGCTTGTTTGTAGGAAACTTCAGGACTAAAATGGTCTGGAATTCCTCAATCCACTGTGAACAATAACATGTAGAGTCCGAGATTCATGGCCCCGAAGGCACAATGATCATCACAACATAACATGGAATCACACGTGGAGTTTTGAGACTCCCAGCCTCAAAATGCACAAAACATCATACATACACCAACCCTAGGCACAAAGCCTCGAGACCAATATATATCATAGCATCCGTTATTCACTGCCTGAGATACTGAATCTCGAAGGCAACAAACATCATACCACAAGCCATTCACCATCCTGAGGTGGATAGCCACAATGTGGGAAACATCATGATAGTAAAGCTATTATTGTTTCCGTGCAAAACCATAATTTTTAAATTTTATATAAAAAAATAGCACCTCCGCCCCAGAGATAAAAGTTGTGTTAATAAGCATGCATTACAAACCCCAATCGTTGAATACATATTAAAAATACATTTACTATTGTCATGCATAAGTATAACCTCCCATCAGATGACACATATTAAAGTAAGTGTGTAAACACATGTTACGGCAATTACAAAAATTGTAGGTTTTTTTCCTTCAAAAAAATAAAATAAAAATATGGATTCATTAGAAATATAGCAGGATGTAAAACCATACAATTCCACACAAATAAGAAGGTACAAATGCATTATATATCTATGTAACAGAAGTGAAATATTTAGTTAGCATCTTCAAATTGCATTCAAATCATTTACATGAGTGAATCTACTTACCTGGAAAGCTAGAAAATGGGTTTTAAATCATTTGACCTCGAGCTTGAGTCCACATCTCATTTACAGTGCAATTCTATTCCTATAAAGATAATATCATTTTGTAGGCATATAAAATACAAATATTCATTCTGAAACATTCATTCATTTGAAATCCACACAACATAGTTAGCACACACATAAAATAGCTCTAGAGTTGTTACACAAACCAACCCGTTCGTAAACTTGACTTAATTCGACTCGGTTTAAACTTGTTCGCGAATGTAAACTTGTCTAGTTAAACAACATAAATACTCATTTTGTTACTAACAAGTTCAAGCTTTGTTCTCAAATGTTCGTTATATATTGTATATATATGAAATTATTAAGTTTGAATTAATAAAATAAAATATCATATATATCCAAACGAGCTTAATCGAACCGAACACGAATATGTGCTCGAACAATAAAATGGTTTAGCAAATCGAACACAAACAATACAAACGCGTTCAAATGCTTAACGAACAAACAACAGTTTCGTAAATGTTAATTTATACCAAACCACTCGCTTCAGCCCTAGTTACTTATGTGATTCAATTTCATGCACATAAATGCAAACTTCGCTTCATAAGCATATATGATGCAAAAATCATTTGCGAATACATCCATTCATTAAAAAAAGTAAAAATCACAACATGCAAATCCATGCACTTGCAAAATATAATAAAAACACACATACTATATAGGCTTAACTGAAATCCATAATGTGAATGTAAATGTATAGACGTAGGACATGAGTTCAAGTCACCTATATGATCACAACTCTTTGTGCTTGCGCTCAAGTAGGTTTACAGGCATATCAAATACTAGAATCCCTAAAATGAGAAAAAGAAAAAATAAAATTCATTTGAAACATAGAAACATGTAGACCCGGTCCCACACAATCACATAACAAAATAGGCATGTATCTACTATAGATCTATGTAAACTTACATATAGCTTAGAATCTCTATCTCGGAATGTGAATTTGAATCATTTGGTCTTGTGCTTAGGTCCAAGTCACCTACATAGTTCAATTCCACCTACATTGATCATTTCACTTTGTGGGCATTATGCTAATAATAATTTTAAAAGATACATTAATTCAAAACATCGGATCATGCAACCCATGCAATTGTGCAGAAACAAACATGCATGCAAATACTATAGAATCCAAAGAAAGATAGTATAGAGATGAAGTCATTCTAACATCTAAGCGAGAAGTTTAAGTGCAAAAAAAGACTTGCTTGTATCGAACATGGAATTACCCTCACTAACAGCCACATTCCCTGCCTGGATCATTGTGGACACGTTCCTCGGTGCAGTATTCTGTTGTTCCTTTGCTTGATCACAATTTTTCATCACATGGCCCGTCTTGCGGCAATTGTAGCATAGTCTCTTTCGATGTGAGACGGATCTACTAGAGTGGGACTCCTGACAAAATTCACCACCAATCTTCTCATGTTGGGATGCAGTATTCTGTTGTCCCTTTGCTAGATCACAATTTTTCATTGCATGGCCCTCTTTGCCGTAGTTGAAGCATAGTCTATTTTCATGTGGGGATGTACCGGAGTGAGTCTCCTGACAAGGTTCGCTATCAATCTTCTCATGCTGGGATGCAGTAATTTGCAGTTCCTTTGCTTGATCACAATTTTTCAACGCTTGGCCCTCCTTGCCGGAGTTAAAGTATAGTCTCTTTTCATGTGGGGATATACCGAAGTGTGTCTCCTGACAATGTTCGCTACCATTCTTCTTATGCTGGGATGCAGTATTATGTTGTTCCTTTACTTGATCACAATTTTTCATCAAATGGCCTTCCTTGCCACAGTTGAAGCATAGTCTCCTTTCATGTGGGGATGTACCTGAGTGGGTCTCATGACAAGGTTCGCTACCATTATTCTCATGCTGGGATGCAGTATTCTGTTGTTCCTTTGCTTGATCACAAGTTTTCATCACATGGTCTTCCTTGCCACAGTTGAAGCATAGTCTCTTTTCATGTGAGGATGTACCGGAGTGGGTCTCCTGACAAGGTTCACTACCAATCTTCTCATGTTGGGATGCAATATTATGTTCTTCGTTTGTTTGATCACAATTTTTTATCACATGGCCCTCCTTGGCGCAGTTGTAGCATAGTCTCTTTTCATGTGGAGATGTACCCGAGGGGGTCTCCTGACTAAGTTCATTTGTGGTGAGCTGAACCTTTAGAAAATTGGCTTTCTTCTTCATTTTTTTCTTCTTTATTTTTTTCACTGGAAGAAGTAGGCATTTCTTTGAGGAGCCGCACAATTGAGAGCTTTTTGCCTATTCAAAACCCTGTTAACAGCACCCACGTGAAGGTTTGCTTGAATGTTATCCAGTGGCTGAGGGTTCAACGGGTATTCATAGACATTGTTTACAGTTTGGGAAGACTCAACACTTGTAATAGGTGGCCCTCCAGCTGATAGACTTTTCCAAAGCCATATGATTCTTGCAGCAGCAACAAGTGATTGAGAAGCTTGCTCTGGCTGAGCTAGAAGAATATTGTACCGACGCATGCGCAACTGGTGAAGAGCATTAGAGAAATCACGGTCTCCAGAAATCAACAAATAAGTGGCAGGTGCAGGATTACCAACTGCCCACAACAACATATCCACCAGAATTTTCTTGTCGCTTGCATTTTTTGCATCTGATCATCAAATATCTCATTATAAAAATTGCATCCAACAGAATAAATAACAATAAAAGAACACTTCATGAAACCACACTTTCAGGAGAAAAGTTATAATTAATAACTCACTCGAAAATTACCGGTATACCAGATATTGGCTACACACATTCTCACAAAGATGTTAACAACAAGCTTGCACCTACGTCATTGATTGTAAACAGCTAGATCTGATTAAATATAGGAATGGACAGACAAATATATATAATAAATATTGCCCTAAAAGACTATGAAGATAAACTAACAATCAATAAATTCTGTTTTAACCAACTTTCCGAAAAAACCAACTTGTCCAAATAGTACTCAGGGACAAAAGCTTACACCAACCATCAAATGCAATCCTTGTAAAAAAATTACAATCAATCAATCAATTATATCCATTCAAGGGAACATACACAGTGTAAGCACATCATCTTACAGAAATATAAGCAGTGATTTTATAAGCATCATCTTATGACATATCAAGAGAATGAAAAATAATATGCAGCCACTTTCCTGGAATCACAGGCAATCACCGTTGTATGACAACAACAATTTTTATTGCACAAACACAAAGGCGATGACATAATACAACATTGAGTTTAATACAACAATATTCTCAATGCACAAAGCACAAAAACAAACATCGGCTAAGTGCCGAAAGTGTACAGAACTCCCCGAAACATTAGTTCATTCAAAGAAAATACAGAAAATCCATTTAATCATACAGTTAGAAACCAAAAAATTAGCCAAACCACATAATTCAAGAGAGAGTAATATCGAAGTTAGCAATTGCCAGAATTAACAAACTAACTAGTCAAGGGGCACAGTATAATCAGTTAAAAAGGAAACATCACAATCCTACAAATTTTACAACAGCTCTCTACTAGAAACTCACCTGCCGGGACGTGATTCAGTGCGATTCCGGTGCTATTAAGCGCCTGCTGAACCACCGGCGAGAGACTAGCGGTGTCTCCGTAAGCAGAGATAGAGAGTGGCCCGCGGTAATTCAAATTGTATAGAGCGGAGCTAATACTCTGGGCAATGGTGTGGGGATTAACTTTTTGGGGGGCGGGCAGTTCTCAATGTCTCACCAGACCGATATCTTCTTTTTCCCGTACTGCTCCTCCGCCGCATCCACCGCCGCTCCCGGCTGAGCTCCTGCCCCGCTCTCCTCCATGGCCATATTAGAATTTATAAGCTGCTGCAACTGAGACTGTACTCCTCTAATCACCTCGCAGTTAATCAGTTGCTGCTGCGTCATCCCATTCATCCCTTGCTGCTGCAACGGAAACTGAGGCCATCCGCCGCCCACCACAACCGGACTACGATTTCCAAATTGGTCCACGCCGCTGTCGCTGCCGCTCAGAACTGGCGGCTGCCGCTGAGATAGACACAAACCTCCGCCCATCACCACGCCCGGGTAAAAACTCCTCGGTTGCGGCACATAAGGCCAAGCCCCACCTCCGCTCATGATCCCGCCAGGAGAAAAACTCGCCGGATGCTGCGCGTAACCACCTCCGCCGGTTATCCTGCCCGGAGTCCAATGCGCATCATCCTCGTCTAGATCGTCATTCTCCAAAATCGACAACCGACGATGGCTTCGCGCATATTAGTTTGCAACACTGTTCGCAAATCGAAGTAAATATCAAAATTTGATTCAATTAACTAAACAAAGAAGATGAAATCGGGATTTAGCGCACAGAAGAAGTTGCAAAAAATATGAATTCAATCTGGTTAAAGAATCTAGGGTTTGTACGGTCTTCGCGATATCCTACCAATTCCATGGCGCGCCGAAATAAAAAATGAAAATCTTATTTATAGCTTTCACCATCAACAGAGCCGTTGGATGGCCCATGTGGCCCAATACTCAATTTATTAAGCTCAGCCCAAAAATAAAACAACAAAAATATTAGAGAATATTTTAGTTGAAAAGAAATTTGGTTTGAATTTAGTATTAAAATAATATTTCGATGAAAAGTTTTTAAAGAAAAAAAAATATTTTTTTTTTCAAAAATGGATAAATGAAAGAGTAAAAAACTGTAAATTTTTGGGTAAAGAAACACTACCAGTATTATATTTTCAAGAAACATTTATTATTATTATTATTGCATTACCCATTCAATTGATTGAGACAACCCTAAAACATTCGGGCCCATTTCCTCTGTAGGCCCAAATATTATAGGCCCATCACAAAAGCTTTTAGATTTGCCGCGCCATTGTCATCCGAGCCTACTTCCGAAGCTATCATTTTTCGTATCACTTGAGGCTCGGATTCTCCGAACCTCAAGTTCCGCCTTTTGTCTTATCTAGCGTGATTCCCGTCTCATTCGTTTCGGCAATCTCCAGCGTCCGTCGTCAAATCGACGGCAATCGGATCATCGCTAAATTGTGAAGAGTTAGGGCATGCGCCACTGCCATGTATTCCAATTTAACTGTACTATGCATTGTTAAATCACATCATAGTTATTATTGTACGTATATCACATCACTATTGTTATATCATATTTATTATTGTACTATTTATTTACATACTTTTAAATATTATTATTATTATTATTATTATTATTAGTATTATTTATTTCATATAATTTAAACTATAAATACCCTATGTTGGTAAAAACTCAACACTATACTTCACTTCAAAAAATATTTGTAACAAACAACTTTATTACAAAAAAAATGTCAAATTCATCTCAAACAATTTCGAGTTCAGACTCCAATGAGAATGATGTGATTTCTTTTAATTTGTGGATGCAATTTCAGCGTATTCAAGATGTTATCACTAACCACGAAGAGAAAATCAATCACACCGAAGAATATACATTGAGAGAAATCGTAAAGAAGGTCACAATCATTTGTTCAACTATTATTTTTCTGAAAATTCTGTCTATACAGATTTTCAATTTCGTCGTAGATTTCAAATGAGGAGGCATGTCTTTATGCGCATTGTAGATCGTCTAACAATAGAAAATGAGTTCTTCCAACAACGTCGAGATGCAACGGGAAGACTTGATTTATCGCCATTACAAAAATGCACGGCTGCTTTGCGTGTGTTGGCTTTTGGTGTAGCTGCTGATGTTGTAGATGACTATATCCGTATTGGAGAGAGTACAACAAGAACGTGTGTAAAAAAGTTTGTTGAATGAGTCATTTCAATATTTGGTGAGGAATATTTAAGAAGGCCAAATGCAACAGACCTACAACAATTGTTGTATGTTGCAGAATAACGTGGTTTTCCAAGAATGATGGGAAGTATTGATTGTATGCACTGGGAATGGAAAAATTGTCCAGCTGATTGGAAAGACCAATTTTCACGTGGAGATTATGGCAAACCAACCATCGTATTAGAAGCTGTGGCATCGTATGATCTATGGATTTGACATTCCTTTTTCGGAGCACCATGTACATGGAATGATATTAATGTACTTATTAATCTCCGATTTTTAATGACTTGTTGAATGGTAGAAGTTCAGAAGTAAGTTTTATTGTCAATAATTACCAATATAATATGAGGTATTATCTTACGGATGGAATATATCCTCCATGGGCGACATCTATCCAATCTATTCGTCTGCCTCAAGGACCTAAGATGTAATTATTTGCACAACGTCAAGAAGCTGCTCGAAAAGATGTAGAACGTGCTTTCGGTATTTTGCAAGCTCGATTCGCTATTATTCGACGTCCGTCACTCATTTGGGATATTGATTTGATTGGTAAGATAATGAAAACATGTATAATTTTGCATAATATGATAGTTGAAGATGAAAAAGATACATATCTACATCATTATGATGTATTCCAATTCGAACAAGTGGATATCGAGAATTTAAGCTGTTCAAGTCAGAGTCAGACATATTCTGCAGATAGGCATGCTGGAATGATTGAGTTTCTAAGAAATAGAATGTGACTTCGACACAGAGGAGCACATCAACAACTCAAAGCAGATTTGATTGAAAACATATGACAAAAATTTAGTTCGATGAATAATTAAATTATTTGTTCTTATTTTAATTTTAAATATTTATATTGTAATTGCAATGTAATATAATATAATGTAATTTTTTCTTCAAAAATTTAATTATTATTTTTATATTTTATTTTTTTAATTAATCAATAATAATTAGAACAATAAAAATATAAATTTGATATTAAAATTAAAATTTAAAAATAAATTAAAATTAAATTTAATTAAATAATAAATAATATAACTTTTTTTTCATAATTTTTTAATAATTTAAAATATTGATAAATAATAATATAATATAATATAGTATAATAATTAAATAAATAATTAATACTATAAATTATAATTATAATTAAAAATATATATATATATATAATATAAAAATAAAACTTTATTAGAAAACTAGGAAAAATATTTTATTGTGAATATAAAATAGAAAAGAATATTTGAGCTGAAGTGAAAGTGAGCGAGGATGTGACGTTAGAAGAAAAAGTAGTGGTAATACCAAATGCATTTGCATTTGCGGGTATCTCCGTGCGGATGTTGTTACAGCTCGATCATCGTTGATGGAGAGAGAAGAAGATGACTTCGTTGTTGATTTTCCACTGTCAGTTTCACTAGTATCTCTGATGCGCAGGCGGATGTGAGCTGGTCGATGAGAAACGGTTGAAGTTCCATCTGGAATTGGTGCTGGAATCTGCAGAAGCCTTTTGAAAGCTGGATGCAACAATTGTGCGACTGTGATCGATTGCCTCGTGGTTGAGTAGCGATGCTGCTTTCTTATTCAACGAGATTTATCACGAGGATAAATAATTTATTTCTTCAATATTTTTCGATTCAAGTTTCTCGAGTATTAAATGCTGCCAGCAACGTGTTCACATGGAGATGGATGGATAGGGGGGATTGCAGGGGTGGGCGGGGTTGGCGTTCATTAAATGCAAAGTGAGAATCAAAATAAATACAAGCAGCGGAAATGGTAATTCCTCTTACGATTTCTAGGCGCCGAGTTATGGTAACCAATTCTTCACTTCATTTTATAGGCCTTGAATTAGTGAGGAATTTGGTAGGTTTGACCGGCGATGATTTCCGAAAAAGAGGCTGCTAATTCTTCTTCGTCGTCGTCGGCGGCGGCTGCGCGGGAGGTTGATCCTTTGCTGAAGGATCTGACGGAGAAGAAGCAGACCTTTCGCCGGAGCGTGGTGTCGCTAGCGGCGGAGCTCAAGGAGGCGCGCAGCCGCCTCGCTTCTCAAGAGCTGGCATTCGCCAAAGAAACACGAAGTAAACAGGCATGGAACTCAGTTCATAGTTTGCGTGCTTATCATCCAATTTTTATTTACTGTATCAGATGATTAATCCTTAGTTGGGAACATAGATACAGATTTGTTTGGCTCATGTTTCAATTCTACAGGAAGTTGAAACAAAAGCAAAGAACATGGAGAAGGAGATAGATAGGTTGGAGAAGAGCATAAAGGAGAGAAATTCTCAGCTGCAGGCTTCAACATCTGCTGCTGAAACGGTACTGCAGTTTTTCCCCCTTTTCTTCTTTTCATCCTTTAGCTTTATGAACTTACTTTATCACTTTTTGTTCTCATTTGTTCTGGTTTTTATGGAGGCCACAATTTGCTTTCTTGATATGCTTTTGGCCTTTCTTTGTCTGTTGTGTTTGTGAATTTGGGACTTGAATTCAACTTTGTCATAGTATTGTATTTTAAAAGGATATAGAAACTTGTCTACTGTAAATTATCCTGCAGTTGACCAAGATGAGTCTGAAGCATTTATGCATATGAATATTGGCTACTTGTCCTAGTGAATATACCATTTTCGACATTGAAATTTTGGATTCTTTATTTGATAATGGATAGTAGAAGCTTTCAAACTTTTGCCTCTTTAGACTTTCTGTTCCATAGGTCGAAAATCCCCAGTAAGAGTCAAACTTCTGCATAGGTCGAATGTCTTGAGCATACCTGCTTTTGTGCTTGGGAAAATTTTGGCTTTTTTGGTTGATCTTTCCGGAAAGCGAATAGCATGAGGTTCGAAATTAGAGGGATCCCGTTGGTTATCATCTTCATGGCTTTATTGTTTCTTTATGGAGAGAGGGAGGGAACTCCTTATCATAGTGACATACCGAGATTTTCTCAGCTTCGTCATCTTAAGATCTTCCATGATAAATTGCTGCAGTATGTAAAGGAATTGGATGATCTAAGACTGCAGCTTTCAGCAGCACAAGCGACTGCAGAGGCGAGCGCTCGTGCTGCACAATCTGCAGAGCAGCGGCGTTCTGCGCTGGCGAAGGAGTTGGAAGAAAAGAATTGGTCTCTGAAAGAGCAAGAGGGTCGTGTAAATAAACTGGCAGAGCAATTAGAACTACTACAGAAGGATCTCCATGCCAGGGAAGTTTCCAATATGCAGTTGAGAGAAGAAGTCAAAAGAATCGAGTATGAAATCATGCAGTCAGTTGCAAGGGCCGGGGAAGATATAGATGGCGAGCTTCGCAAGATTCTAGATGAGTCGTCCCTGAAACATATCGAAAAGCTAAGCAAGCTTTTCTCACTAAAGGATGAGGAAATTGATAGACTCAGAGATGAAATAAAGATTATGTCTTCCCATTGGAAGCTCAAAGCTAAAGAGCTCGAATCTCAGGTTTGTCTCTCCATCCATTGCTCGCCTCGCCCTTTATTGATTTAACTATCTGCAACAATTACATTATTTCTTGCGTAGCTAGAGAAGCATCGTAGGGCGGATCAGGAGTTGAGAAAGAAAGTTGTGAAATTAGAATTCTATCTTCAAGAAGCTCGAGCTCAAACTCGCAAGCTGCAACGAGTAATCCTGATTTTCACTACCCTTTACATCCAACAAATAGGCTCAAAGAACAAATTCACACACAAGCTTATTATAATCACATTTGTCGATCTTTTCTGGTCTTGCAGACGGGAGAAAGAAAAGATAAAGCATTAAAGGAGCTAAAGGATCAATTAGCAGCCAAAAAACAGGCTGCAAATAGTGACAAGAAACAGAATTTCTGGGATACATCAGGCTTCAAGATTGCGATCTCAATGTCGATGCTGATCATGGTAATGTTCTCAAAACGGTAATATATATCCAACCTTTCTGTCTTGTACATTTTGATCCAACGGCTTACGGTTAGTGTAGACATTGAGTAGTAGTAGTTGAGTAGCTGGGGTACCCCCCCCCACCTCCCTGTTTCTTCTTGGTAGTAATTAGATACATAATTGTAGGGTCACTTTCAATGTTGAATCTCCCTCAATTATATAAAAGGAAGAGGTCGGCATTGAAGGGCCATAACTGAAAATGAAAGTATGGGTATTGCCATATTCATACTTCCATTTGAATAATAATTCTTTCATTAATTTATATGTGATATGCATGTAAATGATGTCTATTCTACATTTATGAACATTAAAATTATGCATATATTTTGTGACATAGCATTTTAAATTTGTTATAAATGAAAGTAGACTGTTATGTTATCCAAAGGATGCACGAGCTTCGGTTAAAGTATTGATTGAGAATTTATCAGCATTATATTGATGGCTCCAATCAACACGTAGAAATATATTAAAAGAACATATGTAATATAATAGAGATAGGATATATTGTATAAAGTATTAATATGTGTTGGGAGTACTATTTTATATGTGTATCGAAAATTTATATATAATGTATTGTTTAATATAGTATATTATTTTGTTATTACTTATCAACATCCTAACTAAACCTGTCAAAACGGGTTAGTGGAGCGGATTGACCCACAACCCACTCTAACTCGAAAATAAGGGGTTGTTTGTTGGTCAATCCGCGATGGGGCGGATCAAAATTTCATCAGCCCAACCCAACTCAACGACGGGTGGCGAGCTAAGCGGGCTAGCCTACGGACTTTTTTAAAATATTAAAATAATATTAATATTATAAATATTTTCATAATTAATATTTAAAATTAGCTAAAAATAGTTTTATTATAGAATTTAAGTAATAAATATTTTAAAATAAATAACAAATATAAAAATTCTCAATTCTAAATATTGTTAGTTGACGTATTTAAAGAAATTAATAATAAAAAATACTCTATTTTAAAAATAAATCATAATTAATTTTATGAATATGTAAAATTATAAAATAATAAAAATGGAAGACGAACAAAACAAATGATGAAAAATTAAAACAAATAACAGTGACATGGATAATAGAGGTAGAGAAGAAAAACGAGCGTGTTATTTAAGCTAATGATAATAAAAATATTATTTTATTCGTCTTAACTTAAAATATTTCTTTTCGATAGATTAAAAATAATATTATGTGATTTATTAAATAAAGTGTACAATATGATTTTGATATTTTTTACTCTTTTATGTTATTTATAAATTAATTGTATTTATAATAATATATTTGTAGTTTATATAAAATTAAAATATATTATGATATTAATATTTAATTCGTTTTATTATAATTTTTTAATGTGATAGGTGAGTATTAATTATTATATTTACTTAGCTCGCAGGCTAACTCGTCCCATTGCGGGCTAATCCACCCTCAACCTGCGGCCCACATGGGTTGACCTATTTAGGTCCGTATTTTAACGAGCTTAAAAAATCATAACTCAACCCTCCTTAAAACTAAGGCGGGCGCCGCCAACCCGGGCTCAACCCATTTTTATGGCTCTAATCCTAACCAGGGCATATATATATATATATATCATATATATACATATGTGATATCTATTCTAGAATTTCAAATTTGTTATAAATGGAAGTAGACCGTTATGTTATGTCATCTAAAATGCCCTTCTTCAAAGGGATTCTGAATTTGAAATATTTTGCTTATGGACATTTATTGGTATCTTACACTTTCCTGCTGCCATGTTTGAAAAGCTTTGTGCAATAAATAATACTTTGTCTTAAATATTCTGCAATTTTTTTTTTTTTATATTTCAAACATCTGCAATATTTTTAATAGTAAATAATTAATTATACTTAGTCTTTATCCTCACATCATCTAAATAAAAGAATAAAATATACATTTCTCTTTCAATTACATCACCTAATTTTCAAATTATCTTATTTAATACTACCCACTTATAAAAACTCTATAAAAAACAAATATTGCATATTGTTTTAGACAGAAGGAGTATACTGTTAGTCCGGGAAATTTAGCCTAATTCATTTATATTTTTGCAAAAAAATAAGATTAAATTTACGGGACGGAGTGAGTAAATCATTTTTGAATGATTTGTTGCTAATTTGACATATTTTAATTGCTACGAAAGGTTGGAAGAGATTGGGATATGTTTTGTTTTGTTATTTGACTTTCAATAGTAAAAATTTTAAGTTGGGATTTGAACAGTAAAAATTTTGAATTTGAATAGTTGTATGATGTGATATAAATAGACGTTGATGTGATGTTTTCAATGTAAAATTGATTTTTAGTATAATATAAAAAATAAAAAAATAGATATTTGATTTGATGTTTTTGGAGGAAAAAAATTGGATTAATAGTGTAAATCCAATCCAATTCCCCAAACAAACACACCGTAAATGTTGTATCGTATTCAAAGAAATGATATATGTTCATACTAAATTATAAAGGTAAAAGTTGCTATTCAAGATAAAAATAAGAAAAAAGAAACATACTATTTATTTGGTTTTATTTTCAATATTTTATTTAAATAATATTTTAATATAATATTTTTTCTTAAAAATAAAACATTATTGGTGTGTTTGTTTGTTGTAATATTTTTTAAAAGAAAACAAAATTAATAATAAAAATTTGTGGTAAAATTTTTTTATAATACAATCTATATTTTTTAATTGAAAATTATTCATATTAAATCATTATAATTTTGATTAAAAAAATAAAAACCAACCGGGACTGTGCAGTATGGGCTGATCTTCTCTTCTTCTTCTTTTTATTATTATTATTATCATTATTATTATTAACGCTCGTTCTGAGTTAAATTTTAATAGTAAAAATTTTGAATTTGAATAATTATATGATGTGATATAAATATGTGTTAACATGATGTTTGAATATAAAATTAATTTTTATTATAATATAAAAAATGAAAAATATATAAATTTGATATTTTTAGGAAAAATAATTTATTGAATAATAAAAATCTTACAAAATCCTCCAAACAAACACACCAAAATGTCTTTTTAATTTTAACAGTTGGTTCAATCATGAGATATGCTACTTTTTCTAATGTAAATTAGGGTTTTATTTATTTGAAATTTGTTTATAATTTATTTATTATGCAAGTGGATTTTATTATAAATTTATATTCTCTTTAGCATGTAAAAAATACTCTCTTCTTTCCCGATACAATAATCTTATTTATCATTTTTGTCTATTGTAAAACAATAATCTTATTTTTATTAATAACTATATCACTGTAAAACTACCCCTACTTTTTTTTTTATTACACAATTGACATTACTTTTTACAATAATACATTTACAAGGACAAAAAAGTCTTTTAGATATACTTTTTACCAACTAGCAATATAATATCAATATTCTTTAAATGTCCGTGTCAAACTCAATTAAAACTATATTTATGGGACGGAGGAGGGAATAAAATATTTTGTTACTGCTTTTGTTACTATTATAACCTGTTTAGACATATATTAATTTTGTTTGGAGAAATATGCCTATTTATTTTGAGTAAAAGAAGACAATTTTTAATTTTATAAAATATAAAATCAAAATAGTATTCAAATTAATTATCTTTTTGAAAAAACAAAACTAAGGCAAAACGTGAGCTAAAGCCAAAGCACAATAATCATTCGATTTAGAATTCCTTGAAGTTTTTCAAAGAATGGTTGGACAAAAAAAAAAAAAAAAAAAAAACCTCAAACCCTAAATTACACATTCCAAAACTCAAAACCTATAAAAATGCAAAATCTCCCCAAAAAATGGATTAACCTTTTTGTCAAAATAGAAACACATAAATTATTCCTAATGGAAAAACCTTCCAGAAATTGGGAGGGAGAATTTAGACTTTCTAAGATATATATTAAAAATTCAACTGTCAGTTGAACTTAATTATTTGGGCCATGGAAATAATAAAGAATATAATTAGGATTATAATGCGAGGTTTAAAGGTAGCATCCATTACTTCCCATATTTCATGGCGGTAATAACAGTAGAAACTCTAACGGTCTTTTTTAGAAAATATTGCGTTATAAACTTAAAGAACATAAAATCTTCGATTACAGATGTCGTTGGAGAAGTCTGCCACGCCAAAGACAATGGAGAAGTGGAAAAACAAAATTAAAAATAAATAAATAAATTTACAGATTACGCCTCCTGGGCACCCGAAACACATGTTCAGAGTGCATGATCGAATTAATCCAAATCGCGCACTACACATAGGAAATTGATATGTTTCTTTAGCCTAGTTTTCTAAGATTTTACTATTTAGATTTTGAGTTTCTCAAAAAATATACATTTTTTCCTCTCACAAAATATCCCATCAAATATTATTTTCGTACCAAACTCAAATCAATTTTTTTCCAAACTCAGCAAAAGAAACACACATCAACAAAACAACCACTCTTAACCATATAAAATAAATAAAAAATAAAATAAAATTGGCATATTATATATATATATATCTACATTATACATGATTGATTATATATATCTAGCTACTAGCTAGTTGTGCATACTAAGAAATTACTCCTTCATCAGAGAAACCCTAATCCTCTTCTTCTTCTTCTTCTTCTGCTGCTGCTCGCACTTAATTGAATAATCGAATGTTTTGAAGGATCTCATCACTCTCTGGTTACCACGCAGGAGTACACCTGCAATGATATCGCAAAGAACTCGGATCTCTACCTACAATCCCCAACCTAATCAAATCTCATATAAATATACATATACATATATCGATATGTCTGTATGTATGTACTTTCTAGAGTAGTGAATGCAATGCAATGATCCAGCTCTAAACAGCACTGATGATCCGCCCTGCGACGATGGATATCACGGTGATGATGCAACCGGTGAGTGGCTGCGCGCTGGCCGTCGAAGTTGCGTTGGCACCAAACCCTAAGCCTGCCGGGGCGCCGCCCATGTCAGGGCTGCTTGCATTCAAGATGTTTGGTGAAATGCCTGAACTGGTAAATTTCAAACACATAATACTTAGTGCAGTTATATTGTTAGTTACCTCGTTTTGTGCTTAATCAATTATCGTCGTCAAATATGAATCCAAAATGATAGACTATAAGTGTGCCTAATATAATACTATCTCCTATTTGATATTTACACCTATTTTTTAGACAATTAGAGTTTTTGTTATAAAATAATAAATTTGCCCTTAATCTTGTGTACAGAAAATAATAGAGTAAATAAAGTAAATATAAAAGAATAAATTTTGTGTATAAAAGTAGAAAGAGAACAATAATTGTTGAACATTTCAAATAAGAAAGTAGGACGTTAATTTGTGGATAGATGGAGTATTAATGTATATTATAATATAAATATACCATATAAATTAAAAAATACTTAGGGTAGGATGTGTTTTTTTTGTCAAAAACATCCAACATATTTTTCTAAAATGAATTAATATATAATATAAACTCATTATTTTTATATTACCGATTTTGTACCTGACATCAAATTTATTATTTTTCCTTAAATTACAAATATATCACACTTATAATTAATTTATACATAAAGTACAAATAATAAAAATATCAAAATTATTTTACACACTTGGACTAATCAATTTACGTCATTCTAATTATTATTTATCATTATAATTGTACTATTTTTTCATATATTTAATAAAAGAAAGTAAATAAACGTTTAATAAAACATATAAGTTGAATATGACATTTAAATAAAGAGAGATTTTCAATGTAATATTGGGATGCCTACATATACATATTGAATATGGCCTATAGTAAAAATATATAAAATAATGAATAATATGAAAACGAAGTTGAAAATATATGTAGATAGAGCCATAAACTTCTGTGTAATGTTTTATACCTTGGTGGTGAACATATGTAAATTTTTAGTATAGTTTTTAATAAAAAAATATAGTTTTTTAAGGATTTTAAAAGTAGGTTAAAGTAATAATTAGAGATAGTTTGAAAAAGTAAGAATAATTTTGTTATAAAGTGGGGACCATGGTTAATAAATAACGAAACAAGACAATTATTTTGGGATGGACAAAAATGGAAAAATAAGACAACGAGAGAGTATTTATTTATTTTTACAAAATATTTTACTCTCTCCGTTCCATAAATATAGTTTTAATTGGGTTGGACACAAAATTTAAGGAATATTAATATTATATTGGTACTTTGTAAAAAGTATAGATAAAAAGACTTTTTTGTCTTCTTATTACAGTGGCAATAATAAAAATGAAAAAGTATGAGTAGTTTTACAGTAATAATATGATTATTACAGTGACAATAATAAAAATGAAAAAGTATTGAGTAGTTTTATAGTGATATGATTATTTATAAATATAAAGACTATTGTTTCGGAACGGAGGGAGTATTAAAATCCTATTTAACAAAAAAAAATTCAAATCAATATTTTATTTCAAATCAATTTTAAACTAAACCAAACAAACCACAAACCGATTTTCTATATAATGTTTTATATGTACCTCATTGGTGTTGCTCCGGTTGAAGATGAATCAGGCGGAGCCATTCCGAAAGGCGGCGCCATCGTCGGATCCGTCGCAGCAGCCGGGGGCGTCATTGTGGTTGGAGACATCGTCGTTGCCGGTTGAGTCGAAGATGCCGTAGGAGGAGTCGGAGCTGCCATGGTGGGAGAAGACGAGGACGTTGGGAAGACACAAGACCCTGTGCCTGCAACAAGCAAACATCAAACACAATCCTATTAGATATTCGATTCTATCTTAAAATCAATTGGTAATAAGAGAAGTTGTCTTTCATTCTTCAATAAAGGTCCCGGCATATTTCTTACTCGGATTAGCACTGGTGATCATGGCCGCGCCCCCAAAGTCGCAGCTCATAGGCCCCGGATGCTTCTGGTAGTAGCTGTTGAAGGCAAAGGAGGCGTGGTTCTGAAGGGTGTTGGGATTGTAGCAGGCGGCGCCCTGCTGGATTGCCGAGCAGTCGGCACCTCCGATCCCACAGGCGTAATCGAGGGCCACTTGAATGCTTGTCTCCGGCACGCCGTTCTTGGCCACGCACCAGCTCTGCCCCTGCCCCTGCCCTCCGGTGGAAACAGGGGGAGCTACTGCAGGGACGGTACCGGGGAACCCTCCGGTCATCGGGGTGGGGGGCGGGACGGGATTGGTCACCGGCGGGGTACCTGGAATTCCGGTGCCGGGAGTGGTGGTTGACGGGGGACCGGGAATGCCGGTGCCGGTGCTGGGAGTGGTCACGGGATTGGTTACCGGTGTCGGTATTGAGGGAGTTGTTGAGGGGAATGCGGCCGGAGCTTCCGGGGGAATGGGGATGGAACCGGCGCCGGCGCCGGCGGTGTCCGGAGGGAGTGTAAAATCGGTGGGGACGAAGGAAGCTAATCCTCGCCGGGAAGAAGAGTGTAATAGGAGCTTAGTTTGGAGGATCTGTTGCTTCATTGAAGAAGAAGAAGAAGGCAACATTGCTATTGCTATTGCTGCTGCATGTAATATAAATATTTGACATTAGTTTTAAAAAAAAGTATATTGCGCTTACAAAATGTAATAATAAATTGAGCTTAATATTTTTTTTATTTAAAATATTATATTAAAAATGTATGTTTTCGTTGAATATTGATATTTATTTAAGTATTATTGAATACTCAATTTTACAATATTCTAAAAAAAAAAATTCAATGTTCAAAATTCCTTTCGAAACAAGCATTTCCAATAAATTACTGTGAGTAAATGAAGGATGCAATAATCGTAATTTTAATTAACATCAAAACATGCATGGCGGCTTGCACGCTACTATAATTTGTATATAGCAAACCCTTGCATGTATTTAGATTTTTTTGGGTTTTTTTAATAAGTATATGTTAAAAGTATTTCGAATAATTTAAGAACTAGTAAAAATAAATTTAAAATAAATAAATATTTATATTATATATATAAGTGTTAAGAGACATTGTGTCTAAATAATAAGTTTTTAAAGAATAAATAATTAAGATATATAACTTGAAAACATATATATATATATATAAATAGAACATTGCTTTTTTTTTTTTTTTTTATAATAGTACAAATATAAATTTTAACAGATTCATAAATATTATATATATTTTTAAAAATAATTATTTGATTACCAATATAAAATAGCATTGAAAATACAAAGAGATCTTAGCTTGTTGTTTGTATTTTTTTTTTTCTTTACTATGTAATATTTATGATTACACATAGACTTTATGTAAGGAATTTGATACAATAATGCTAAAACAATTTTCTCATAATTAAGTAAACTCTATTATGGCACTTCATGACATGCATCCTAATAAATGAAGTAGTGCAGCATTCTTGAGTTGTATAAAATGGATGAAAAAATTATATATGGCTTCCATAATTACTAGTAATTTCTAAAGTGTTACACACAAAAAATAAATAAATAAATAAATAATTATTGGGTTTTGGATATCTCTCAGAAAAATCATAATTTCTAATTAAAACCACACAAGACAGCCATAGATTTGTACTACATACCTGAGGAAGATGAAACAATGGAAATAGAAACAAAGAGAACCATGGAAGCTGCTGCTGCTGCATCCATTCTAATGAGAGAGAAAGAGAGAGAGAGAGTTCCAGTTCTTCAATGGCAAATATGTCAATTAAATATGAAGATTTGCAATTGAACTAATGCCTGCAATGCATGTATATGCATATATACTACCAGAAATACAAATACATATATGTGTATTTGGGGTGAGAGAATGGTATGAAAAAGTTGGCGGCAGAGGAAAAGATGAGAGATAAAAGTAGGGATCAGAAAAAGCAAAAGAGAGAAGGAATGTGTCACTGTGATGAAAGAATACCACTTTCTTGGTCATCAAGAATGAAATATGAATAAGTATTGCCTCTTTATAACGAAAAGGAATCGACTAACTTGAAATTAAAATTTACATAAACAACATTTAAAGACAAGTCATGAACATAATCTGTGTTTTTGAGGATGTGATCAAATCAGCAGATATAAAATATTGGGAAACATGAGAGAGATGGTATTAAGGCACATTGACAAGTAATCCATAAAAATTTAAATACATTGTATAATAATAATAACAAAAAAAAAAAAAAAAAACAGGTTTATAAAGTGAAAGATTGAGTTTTATATTGTGTATCTTACACCATGTGAATGCATGTCATTGTGTTATTCTTTTTCTAACATAGAAAGCTAAACTTAAAGGTAATAAAGCTATACCATTACACATTAAGGGGAAAAAATATAAAAAATTAATGCTTAGCAAGTTCTGCAATATAAATTTTTTCTTTTACAGCACATGTAGTAAAATGAGCATTTTATTCTGAATTAATCTAAGCAACAGACAATCAAATAAACAGCCATAATGTGTAGTATGAAATTTAACCAAAACCCACAGTTATTTCAGTTTAAATACATTGGAATTGTGTGTGTTCTTGAAACTTAATTACTGCTTTTGTTACTATTATAACCTGTTTAGACATATATTTGTGCATAACAAGTTTTATGTAAAATATATGTCATATATGTAGTGACAGGAACTTCAAATAAAAGAATGCAAGTACTTTCCATTTAATAAAAAACAGACATTTATACCTCAGTATCCTTTTCACCTGACTCATTTTTCGAATTCGTGATTCTTTATGGTTGCCTCAACCTAAACAGAATCTTGCATGTACACAACACATGCATTCATAAAAAGGCTTTTGGGAATTGATAAACATGCATGTAACCAAAGATGAATCTCAAGAAAAAGAAATTGAAACGGTTGATATAAATCTCATCTGGCCTTCCAATTCTCATACAAAAACCAAAAATCCTAATCAATTTACTGAACACAAATTAAGCACTTCATATAAACCCTTTTAATCTACTCTTTCAATTAACTAACTCAAGCTCTAAAAATATCATTGAAAAATGTTGCCAAACTGGCAACATTTTAAATTTCTACTTTTCGATGCACTACTGAAATCGTGGACCACTCATCATAAGGTTAGGATTAACGGCAGAAAGACTTTTTTTTTTTTCATATGGTCTTTACAGAGCTTTTGTTCTTTCTTCAAGAATCAACTCAGATGCATGACACACCCTATTGTTATCTTATAATCTATTAGGCCACATTAAAGGCCCCCCAACCATGTGGCCTCATCTATTGACCTCTTTTGAAAAGATACAAAAGTTTCTCATATCTGACTGGATTCTCACAAACAATAACAGATACGTATAAATAGATAAGCATCGGCAAAGTTTTCTTACCTCATGGATTGCTTAGAGATAGAACACTTAATTTATCTGGTGAAATAGTAGTGGGCTGATATAAGCATCAAATTCAAGTTTGATGTGATATCCCATACTTATCTAGATGACAGCAACACAGTGACGAGATAAGTGTCCCTACTCTCTTCTTACATGGTGTCTTTGTTGCATGCCAGAATGACGAAAGCCAACACAGGATATCTAATAACAAGGGGTAATCCATATTTCCATTTACAGTATTATACCTGAAGTGCATATCCTGCTATGCATGCAAGCTTCATGATTCTTCCACCAGCAAGTTGCTGAAGAATGAATCGGTAATTGCTTCTTTAGCAGAGCTGTAACTAGTTAAGCGTTTCTTTAGAGACCGCAGATCCCTTTCATCTTTAGAGGTTCTTTCCTGACAGATTAAATTTCATTAGGACACCAGAACAGACCCTTAAGTGAAATGGAAGAAAAATCATCTCTTAAAAACTAATTGGTCCAATCACATTGAACATTGCTAAACTGAGGTGTAGCTTCTATGGTATTTCTTTGACAGAACTACAAAGAAGCCAAATATTATTATGTCGAGTAGTTGATTGGAAGCTTACATAGGATTTCTTCAACAACAAAATGTCCACCAAGTATTGCAGCCACAGCACGTTTGTCTTGGGGAAGCTGTAAACCAATAGGATTGAGAGGAAATTAATATCTGGATAAAGGATAATAAAGAGTTTCTTTTGCATGGAAACCAGATCATCCTACTTTTCTAGCTTTAGCACCAAATCAAGAATTCTTAAATTTTCCATGGTGTTATTATTTGCAAATATTTGCGATTCATTTAATATAGATAAAGCAGATTTCATATGGTCAAAAATCCCTAAAAGCAACTGGTTCTTTGAATTTCTATGCATGTTTGAGGCCGAAGAGAAATCATAAAGAAAAAGGAGAAATGTAATTGAGACAGCAATAAAATAGGATATATGATATATGTTGAGTCAAACAAAGTCACAAAGTGTCACCAGGAAATTCTTAAAAAGGATGAGTCACTCAGAAAGATTCCATTATGTAAACTTCTCTACTATGCTTGGATTTCAAATCCTAGTGCATGTCCTCCGCGGTATTCTATTATCGTTGCTAAGAAGACAGTTAACGAGGTTTTTGAATAAGTTTTCATGATATTAAATGCTAAACCAAGTTTGTTACATTGAAACTGTGTTCCTTCGTTCTCAACAAAATCCTTAATTGAAACCAAACATTAGTAAATCAGTTTCAATAGCATTTCATGGTAAAAGGAATTCACTTTTTTACTTCTATTGTGTGCTAGACCTTAGACTGAAGTTTTTGAAAGAAAAAGTACTGCTCATCTTGATGATTTTCATCAATGGTGTAAAGTTGTTTTCTGGCAAGCTTAGAGTCTTGTTCATACTATCTAATTCATATTCTTCTTTTAACTCAGTCTTTGTGTGTAACTACACTATAAACTTTAAAATGAATATGGTTTAACCTTCCCTCCCAGCGATCATCAGTGACATTCCTCATCTTCCTGTAAGTATCTGCCTGCACAATAATGTCATTAGTCAATCCTAAAATATTGGACCAAAAAAAGAAAAGGACTGAAAAATAGAAAGATCTATGACTCTGGATTTTTTCTTACTTGTTTATCTCCCTTTGGACCCTCAAAAAGTTCCGGGTCTGATGATAGATCCAGAAAAAGTATATCCTCCCCTATTATTTCAATCATAGTTTTATTGCCTTATGATGCTTTCTGGAATCTGAATGGTAAAGTGGAAAGTTTGGAAGAAAAGTAAAACCTGTATTCATCCTTGAGAGTGTAAAATCAATTATGGAGACAACCAATCCAAAACTTTTGATTTGTAACGTCTTTCCTTCAAGAATGAATGGCAGAGAAGCAGAGCCTTTCCGACTTAAGAGAATGTTTCCCCTATTTAAGATAAATTCACAAGTGAATACTTTTCAAGGAACAGAACAATTATAAGCTGCAGATAACTAGAAGTATAAGAACAGAACCAATGCAAATCTCTGTGTTCAAACTCATATGCAGCCTCTGCTACAGCCAAAGCTGAAGTGACCTGCAATGCAACAGTTTTAGCTTGCTATAAGACTCTAAGTGATTTATAGATCCTATAACCAAAAGACGTATATAGAAGATATTACCTGAACTAACAGACTTCGTGCTTCGTCAAAATTTAGAAGCACAAAGCTTTCAAGGTCCCGACCACCATGTTCTTGAACAAACATAACATAGCACTGGAAACAATTTGCTTAGTGATTTTAAGAAGATTTCGTAACATTATGTAGAAGAGCACAGCTATCATAAATAGTGTTTACCACTTGCCTGATCAGAAGGAAATTCCTTTGGATGGTCATTTTCTGAACTATGCTTTCCATCCCACTCCTCCCATGCACTTACTAGAGCAGAATCATAACTTCCTTGGCACACCCTCAAACTACAGGAGTAAAAATCCGTAATAAGGGGCCATGCCAACATTGTTACATAGTTCATTTTCAGATCTTACATTGATCCTAAAATCTTCGGTTTTAGCTCAATATATTTATATACCTAGGAATTATGTACATAAAAGAGAAACGCTGGACCAACTAGCAAAACAAGAAAGCCAACAAGTAAAACATGAAATAGACCACATGGTTCTTACTTAAGAATAAAACTATTTTGTTTTTTATAGCATCACTACAAGTAACTACCATGTTCAAACAGTAGCCATCACGACAATCGATGACAGAATGACTACCCATTCTAACCCTAATAGTGTATTATTCAGACCAGCAAGAATCCAGAAAAAATAATGGATTGGGACGAGAACTGATAAGCCAAACTTGGGCCACTAAAAGGCTGAGAAACAGTAATTCAGATGGTAGATCAGTACAGGTGTCATGGGCATCCTGCTCGAATTTTAATAGTAGAACAAAAGAACATATACACATTGACAGTTACCACAAGGAAACAAAAATGCTTATTGTAGCTTTAGCAGCAGACCATCTTACTTTACTAAAGATTTACTGCAGTAACATTGGAAGTTATAACCACACTATTTGAGAAGTACCTGTGTCTATCTTTAGACAAAGACAGACACAGTTTCTCTAGTCGTACCCTTCCTACCTGTGATCATGGTATAGCCAACCTTTGGTCATTAGTTTTTGGACTAAATATGAGATCAGGGGAGTAAGAAATCTTACTCTATTGTTTGTATAAAAGTAGTGCAAGCATTATATATGTCACCCTCATGTCCTCTGAGGCGATTGAGAGTGCAGGAAAGCACAACTTCTTCCAATAGTTCTTCTGATTTCTGAAGCATGACAAGGTACCACAATCAAAAGCCACAGGTTATGTTCTTAACATGTTAAATTGAAACACAATGAGAAGAACTTTGTAACAAACTTTGTGTTATAACAAATTAGGAAAAGGAAACAAGCAGCCACTTCATTTGTAATACTTCAGGATATAGATTTTTGCAAGAAAGACTTGAGAGATTACCAGAGGCTCAAATTCAGTAATTCAGAAAATAGAGAACAGCCATTACTACAAGAAAAACAACTCTAGCTTTTTAGAGCTGCTAGAGCATGCGAATAATGACTTAGTCCTTATCTGTTCAATCAAAAGGTTACCAGCTTGCTATAACAATTATAACAGATACCTTCTGCACTTCTCCATTGACTTGCAAATCTCCATCAAATGGGACAATTTTACAAACATAATCTCCAACCTTGAAAGCTTCTCCATAAGTTCCTTCTCCAACCTTCGTGATATTTTTGCAATCACTGATTTTTTGTGTTGTAGGATCCCATAATGATGAGAAAACAAGAAACACATAAAACGTAAATGAGAATTAGATGAGGAAGCATAGAATAATAGTATTTGTTTCCACAATTACATAAAAATGGTCTTGAAAAGCAACAAAGATCATACAAGTTCAGATAACTACAATCATATTATATGATTAAATAACCATATGTAAAATCTTCTGCCCTCAACAATCATAACTGTATGAAGTTAAAAGAAATCAGATTTCAAAATCTGTCCCGACTCATTCCGTCCATTTCATTTTTGCAATATACAGTTGTAGATTGTTTTGGAGAAATGATTTTAAAACAATGGATAATGCAACTTTAAAAAAATTTTATTCTCTACAAGAAATAGATGGGAAAATGTGATTACAAAAAGAGCATAAACACAAACCAAATGGAACACAGTTATAATTATGCAAGAATGACAAGCAATAGGCAGAGGTTAAAGTTCTATTCAAACGACTTAATTACTATGTGAGATCATTAAAATCAATAACGAGCACATTATGCCTAGTTCAACTGCATTCAATAATATGGGAGGGAAAACAAACCAGTAGCTCAATAAAATTTCTGTCATTGTTGAAGGAGCTGACTGACCACAAGCAGTCAGAAGAGCTGAAAAAGAATTCCAGCCCTGAGCATCAAGTGAAGGCCTTGAAGTCAAAGATAGTTTACCAACTGCAGCTTCAATTTCTTCACATGACTCTTCTACTGCCATTTCAGAATCGTGTTTATTGCTCAGATGTGATTTAGGACTTTGTTGGGTAGAATGTGAGCTTGAACAAACTTCCATATAGTCTTTTTGGTGCATTATTGTAGCTGAAGAGGTAAAACTATCATGGAAGATGGGCTCCTTGGATATTGCAGGGGTTTCCAATATTTTAGAAAGTGATCCATGCAAAGAATAAGTAGGATTTAACTTCCTAGAGATCAGCCATTTTCGTAATACTGAGGATAAATGTGGTAAGATAACATTTTCAGCTTCGGTGTTCATTATCCACGTTGCAGGCTTCTTGGGTGAAGGACTCTCTACAAGCAATTCAAAGGCATCAACGTCCTGAAAATAAGCCCGCTCTTTGTCATAATTGTGAAGTTGAGCTGCTTTTCCCTGTTCAGACCCATCAGAAGATTTTGAGAACCAATAATATAGTGCAAAGTTTCATTAGAGACTATAATATATTCCACTCTAGTAACTTGGACATTGTTTATTAACATTATTGGTCTCCATTTAGCAATGCATCAGTAAATCTACAATACCAGAGGCTTCTCCCTCTGCCAATAAAATAAATATCAGTAAATGTTGATAATGCCACTAGAAGAATTCTGAAAGGCAACATATCAGTCCCTAGTACAGTAAGGGAATTCAGGAAAAGAAAGGTAACAAATCTAAATTAGCCATACTCTTGGAACAGGTGGCTTAGCATTTCTTCTAGGCTTCCTTTGTTGTGGCTGATGTTCCACACATGCAGTGGCAGCAATGCTAGTTCTTCCTCTGTAAATAAGAAATTTTGGTTCTTAAACTGTTAAGATGGCCATTCATTCGTCTTTTATGATATACGAGATAAGGTTCAAGGTTTAAACTTAAAATTTGATTTGAAAAGTAACATAACATGGGTCAAAATAAAGATTGCATCTAGAAATAAAAAGTAAAGCTATCACAGTCATTCAATATGCATATTGAGAAACCCCAATGTATTCCAATTGTCATTAATCTTCCCTAAATCTAAAACCTGTTACTTCTCTCTTTTCCATGAAGAGAATATCTATGAATACACATCCCTGTGCCACTCCCACATATTCCATGTTAAAAATTTCCCAGGTGAAGTTATGCATGAAAGTCAATGTCTGTGGTTGCGCAAATTTTCTGGATTCCTGGTACCATGGTGCAACTGCAGTATACTAACACTTGACTTGTCAAACTTTTGATCATCTTCTACCTGTGCTGGTATGTGTTAAGAAGGTATTCGGGACTCATCTTAAAGCAAATTGGTAATAAGAAGATTTTCCCTTCACCTAGATAAACATGGGGCGCTCCCAACATTTTATCCATGTGGACTCTTAACACTCCCCCTCGAAATGATATCCATCTCGAAATCGAATCCTAATCAGGATCAATATCATACCCAATATAGGTAACCATGACTCTGATAAGATGTTAAAAGGGATCCCGGCTCTATCTCAAAACCAATTGGTAATGAGAAAAGTTGCCCATCACCCTTACCCTTATAAACAAGGGGAACTCGCAACATTTAAGTTCAATCATTTTCACCCTTCTACTAAGCATGTCCATTTCTGAAACTAAGTTCAAACCATTCATGTGCTTGAATATATCCAAATAGCGGCACAAATTTAATGAGACCCAAATGACTATGTCAAAACAGTAACAAAAGAAAAGCTAACGAACAGATACACTCAAAACTTCAATCCATTTCCCTCTAATCATTGAACATGACTATGTCACAATACTGAAACTATCTCCACTGGGGTAAATTTTTATATACTAATATAATTGCAACGGAGATAGTAAAAGGAAAGGAAATAACATGATAATCAATAACAAGGTATGCCGAGATGATTTTGCATTGCCATAAACAAACAGCTAAAATTCCGTCCATGAAATAGTACCAAGTTCAATGCAACAAAAATGCTGTCCCTATGCTCGATTTCGATGAGAGAAAATAAAAGTATCGACACCAGAGTCCAGAGCACAAACCTGGTAGATAGTGAGCGATTCCAACTGACTCTCTTAACAGATGCAAGGCTCTTCCTCGGCTTATTCCCACTACTTGTATCCGATTGCCTCCTGAAATTAAAACAAGAACATAAGCAAACAATCAAAAGCTTTTTCCCAACCTACCACATCAATATGAAAAGTATATTTACATTTCTGAAAGAGAAAGCAAAAGGCGAACTGCGTAAACAAACCTTACAACGACGTCGCTGCATTTCCTCCGATATATAACAGCAATATCAGGCTTCGAAACTCCCCTCCGTGGCTGATATTCCTCGTCCTCCTCCACGATTTCCGCCCAAAGATCAACTGCACAGCCGATAAACCATTTGAAAATCGAGGTTTCACACTTGTGCTATTCTGCATATGCATTGAAATTACGTACCTCCGATCCGCGAAGCCATTCTTTCGGCATATGCCGACTGTCAAATTCCAATTTCCAAGACGACCTTATTACAGCAGCCGAATTTCGAAAGAGGTTGAGCGGGAAAAGGAATTCGGGTCGGGTCGGGTCGGGTCGGGTCGTTTCTCGAGTGAATAGAATCCTACATATCCTATATAACTATATCACAGGGCGTGGATTCCCAAACTTTTTATTTTCTTGGAGTTTATAAGTTATTTTTTTAATTTATAAGCTTTTTTTAAACGAAAAATAAAAGGCAAAATTTAATATAAGTAATTTTTATTTTAAAATTAATATTTAATAATTTTATAATAGACAGTGGGTGATTTTAGAATTAATTTTAAATATAAAAAAATTAGTTTTATTTTTACATTTAATTGATCTGGATAAATTTTATAAAGGCTGTGTTCGGTTGGCCTATTGGATTTAGAAAATATTGTATAATTATGTAAGGGGGTTTGAATTTTGAGTTGAGATTTGAATAGTAAAAATTTTGAATTTGAATAGTTGTATGATGTGATATAAATAGTTGTTGACGCGCATGTTTTGAATGTAAAATTTATTTTTAAGTATAATATAAAAAATGAAAAATAGATGTTTGATTTGATGTTATTGGAAAAAAAAAATTAGATAAATAGTGTAAATCCAATCCAATCCCCCGAACAAACGCACCCTAAAAATCTCAAACCTAAAACCTATGTCTGTTGTTGATTCATAGGCTTTCTTTTCGTCAGAAATGGTCGCAGTATGTCTTGTCCAAACTTGTTCAGTCGATTTCGAACGGACCGTTGAAAACGTCGGTTTGCCGATTTCAAACAGGCGTCGTCAAACCGAAACCGGTTTTCCGATTTCACACCGGCGGTTCCGAAACCGTCATCAAACCAAAACTGGTTTTGTTTTAACTCAAATAAACAGTTTTTGATTCGAATCGACGGTTTTCTATTTTTATTTTTAAAAAAAATTATATTAACAGGTGGGGAATGAGGAAGGTGGTGGGGCAGCAGGGACGGTGGGTAAAGACTGCTGGGCGAAGAAAACGAAAGAAAAAAAAAAAAAAAAAAAAAAAAAGAATAAATGAGATAATTGGAAAGGAAGAAGGGAAAGCAAAAAGAATTTGGCGTTGCTGGTGGATTCATTGATTAGCACATTAGGATAAAGATATTCATTATTATATATTATTAATTTTTTATAAACTTAAAATAATATTATTATTAGTAAAAAAATAAATAATATGTATTAATGATTTATATTTTAAATTTATAAATTTTTATTATGTAATTATAAAAAATAGAAAGATATCAAAAATATTTGATTTGCTATTTTTGTGTAAAAAAGAATTTTTATAAGTTTTTATTATATAATTATAGAAAATAGAAAAATTATTTGATTTGCTATTTTTGTGTAAAAAAGAATTGAATGAGTATAAAAAAAATTGATAGAATAATACAACAAAATCTGAAAATATAAAATAAACAAATATAAAATTAGTCCAACAATTCAAACCTCCAAACAAACACAACTTAAATATTCATACTTAAAAATCCTCAAAAATTCAAATCTAAAATCCAATCCTCTAAACAAATATCAAAACCTTCAAACAAACAAACCCTTAAAATAAAATTAAAAAAATAAATAATATCTCTAATTTTTTTTAAAAAAAAAATTATTTTTAAAATATCAATTCCAACGCTACTCTTTACTTATCACTTTTATTTATTTTAACAATATTTAAATATCATTTATTTCAAACTATTACGTCAATACGTCACTTTTTTCAATATAATAATAATTTCTTTCAACATAATCGTTACAAAATTCAAACCTTCAAACAATCCCAACTTAAAAATCCATACATACAAATCTTCAAAAATCCAAATCTAAAATCCAAACCCCCAAACAAATACACCCAAAATAAATTCTCATGGAAAAAGAAGACTAGACACACCAGACAAATCTACATTGAAGAAGAAAATCATAGTAGATACATATCATTTATTTATTTTTTTTCTCTTTAATTTCTTGATTTTTTTTATTTACTAAATTATTTGTTCTTACTATATACATATTTTTATGGAGTATAGATTTTGTATATGATGGATGTGGTGAAATCTACCACTACTGGAGAGACTGTGGCCGTTTTTACCAATTTTTCTTCTAGTAATTTTTTTTTTTTTTCTATAATTTCAATTTATTTTAAATTTGGCCGTAAATATAATTTTTTTTATCTGTCTGATTTGTGTATATGTGTATACTTGTATTCATTAGGTAATATTCATTCATACACTACTATGTGAACATAAGAAATTGTTCATTGATTGAAATTGAATACTCTCTCCGTCGCGCAAGAAGGTTGTCATTTAGTTTCTGCGTCAAGTATTAAAAATTTCTTATATTTGAATAATTTACTCGATGAATATCATTGTATATGTATTATAAAAGACTAATAAACATATTTTTATTTTTTTTCTTGATTTGTACTACATATTGATATCATAATTAATATTCAAAGATCAACACATAACTTCTTGCTGGACGGAGGGTGTATAATATTTTAGATAGGTATTTTAGAAAATTTTATTTATATTATTTTATAATATCTGCAAAAAATATTAAAAAAAAAATAGATGCAGATATTCATATATATAGTTCAATTTTGTTTGCATTTTCTTTTTCCAATCTATTTTTCAAATTAATTTTTTCATCTCTTTTTCTCATTTTTTTTCTATTTTATACTTAATTGATTGTATTCAGTTGTCTGTCGGTGCGTTGTCATTGAAAAAATTATCTGAAAATTTTTATTTATTTCTATATATAATGTGTATATATATATATATATATTTTTTTGATTACTAACAATAATGCTATAATTACAAATTAATTTATTTTTTGAGCATATATACAAAAAAAAAAAAAATTACAATGATGAAAAAAATGATAAAACTATTAAAATAATAATAAGATAATAAAATATTAAATTATATAATTGTTTTACATAATTTTTCTAATTAAAAATATTTTTACATATAATATAATTTTTTCATTTATTTAAATCTTAAAATAAATAATAATTATTGACACTTTCAATTGTAGTTATAAATATGGATAGTTTGATATTATAATTTTATTTTATCTATATCTTTATAAGTTTGCTTTATATATTTTTTTTATTAATTATTATAATCTATTGTATTATTTTACTAATTTATTATTATATTTAGGTGATTTATGAAAAATGTTATTTATTAGAAATAATATTTGATAGTTTATGTAGATTAATGTTAGAAAAAATTATACAAAAAGTAAAAATAGATTGTTTATGAAAGAGCTTGAATTGTGGTTATCTATCAAGAACACTTGAAGGATCCACAAAGACTTGTCGTAATAAATTAATCGTTATTTTTCTTGATGACGTGGGAAACTGTAGCTGTCCCGTAAGTTAATATATATATTTTTTTAATATGAACTTTAACTCGAAATAATTAAAATAAATAATAACATGTAACATTACATTCTTTATACAACGTTTTTAATTTTCTATCTTTTTTTAAATGTAAACTTTAACTTGAAATAATTAAAATAAATAATATAATTTAAATACAATTTTTTTTTTTCGTTTAAAAACTGACATATGACGGAAAAATATGTGGATGGACTTTACAAAACACAGCGACGACGTCGTATTGTTAATTGCAAAGAAGACGACAACGACGTCGAGTCATTCGTTCTCACGCGTTATTCCGCTGTTTTGTTCATCCCGAAAAGGGTAAGCGGAGAACACACCAATCGGGAGAAATTGGAATCGGGAAAGATTTTGTGTTTAGAATCCGCAGTCCGTCTGCCGTCGTTATTCAAGGCAAGATATCTGGAGCTTGAATTGGAGGGAGTTTCTGCTGATTTCTTAAGGTTATGTGCTTGTCGTCTCATTGCTTCATTTTTATTACTATCGTGTCTCGCGTATCTTTGCTTTTTTTGTGAGTTTTTATTTGCATTGGATGTAATGATTGCAGATGCGAATTTATGTTATGTTTCGGTGTAGTTGGAATGATTTATGTGATTGATTGATTGATTTTTTTTTTTTTTCTTCATGTTCGCATTTTTGCTTGAAGGTAGAGTGGAATGGAACTCCGTTTCTTTACTATGAACTTTTCTCTGAGAGCTTTGTGATCTTAGGTTTTTTGTTTTTCTGTTTTTCATTATGTGAATATTCAGTTGCATATTATTCATTTTCCTTAATTTGTACACTTCCCCCTATTAATTGTGAAATTTCTTTGAAGTAATGGTGTTTCAACTACATTTAGATTTTAGACTGATTGGTTTTCTGTAATGTTGTGGTGCTGTGATTTCCAGATTTCATTATTATGTTGAAAGTGGAGCTTGTACCGCAGTGCTGAAGAATGTTATAGTATTCCATGGAGTACTTCTTACATATTAGAGTCTTGCTGGTGCAGAGTTAAAGGTTGTGTTGTGTCGGTAAGGCAGTTGGATGGAAAAGAAAAAAGTGGACGAACAAGTGGCTGCTCCTGTTGCACAGCCGAAAGTTGATAGATTTGGATTTCTTAAGCTTGAATCGAACTCTCCTGATGGGTTAGCAAGGAGCAGATCACCCCTTGAGTATCAGAGGTTTGCTGCCCTTCTAAGTGCTTATTTTTGTCATATAATTGTTTTCCTCTGAAATGCTATTAGTTTAGCTGTAGGTTGTCCATAGTAGCCTTGGTATCTATCCTGACTCATGTATTCAGATCTAAACTTGTTTGGAGAATTTTGACACTGTATCCTAAGAAGCCATAATGTGCTTTGTTTCCTGTGGAACTTGAGATCTCAATGTGGTTCATAGTAAATAAGAAGGGCACTTGGGCATGCATAGGAATTTTCAGTGATTTTAGACAGAATTAAGAGATAAAATTTCATGGAACTCTCTCTTTCTTCAATATAATGAAGTTCCACAGACTAATGTTGCTCAATGCCAAGTTACTTTCTCTTTCATTGCAGATAATAATTGTTTTTCCTCTTTTTGGAGGATTTTTATTTATTTATTTTCTCACCATGCAATAGCTCTTTTAGGGAGGAAAGGAAAATTAGAAAATGGAGAAAGATGATAGGGGCTGGGGGGAGTGATTGGAAGCATTATGCTCGGAGGAAACCTCATGTTGTCAAAAGGAGAATAAGAAAAGGCATTCCAGATTGTCTACGAGGGCTAGTCTGGCAATTAATTTCTGGAAGCCGGGACCTGCTGCTAATGAATCCAGGTGTCTATGAGGTAATTGAACGATCTTCTTGTTCTTTGATGATTAATGCACTTATTAGGCATTGGGTGCAAAATATGCATTGTTGAAATCCGTTTAGCTATCTTTCACATTTTGAAGGCATACTATAATTTTGAAGTACATTATCCTGATTGAGAAGCTGTGCTGTTCATCACCTTTGTTGCAAATCTGATTTCTTTTCATGTTTTACCCCGTTCCAATTAATTGCACTAGAAGCAATAAACTAGAAGCAATATTATATTATACTATTTTTCATGTCTAGTTCCTCCTCTCATGAATAATGGAGAAGGCATTTGTTGTGGTGTTTGAGATCTTAATTTTCTTTTCGCAGCAACTAGTCATATACGAGACATCTGCTTCTGAGCTAGATATTATCAGGGATATTTCTCGTACATTTCCTTCACATGTATTCTTCCAGCAGAGACATGGTCCAGGTCAAAGATCGCTCTACAATGTTTTGAAAGCATATTCTGTATATGACAGAGAGGTTGGATACGTGCAGGTTTGTACCTTTCAATTTTAAGTATCCATCCAGCTACTGGCTTCTGACCCGTATGCTAATATCATGATAATACTGATTGCAGGGGATGGGATTTGTGGCCGGTCTTTTGCTTCTTTACATGAGTGAAGAAGATGCATTTTGGTTATTGGTAGCATTACTGAAAGGAGCTGTCCATGCCCCCATGGAAGGATTGTATTTGGTAAGTTTTAATCAATGGTGTTTTTAATATTGTGTTGATAGTGTAATGAGTTTTTAGGCTTCGGATCATAAATTCTGAAATAGAAATATCTTTGTATCTCCAATGATTTATTCATATTTCTAATGAATTATACAATCTTCATTGATTCAAACACAGACTTTTTCAACCTGTTTAATGCTTAACTCTGTTAGGATGTTTCTGTTTAGGGTCTATGAAGGAGTTGTTAGTTTATGTAGCTATATATTTGAGTCAAAATTTTCCTTGTATGTTTCCACCCGTTAATTTTCTTCTGTAGTTGACTGCCCTGCAAGGGAGTCTTTCTAAAATGTAGATGGAAATAGAGTATGGTTAATCTTTGATTTTCTTTAAACTAGAGCTTTATCGGTAAACAGTAGTCCTTGAATTCTTATGTTTGGAAACATATGTTAATGAATCATACCAATTTCAGCCTTTATTGAGAAGGCTGATCATAATAATGAACAGCTATCATATAACTTTTAATCCTTATGTTGAAAAAAGTTCATTTTACCTTGTACCTATAATCATAACCATTGATCTTAAAAGTCAAACTCTATTGCATGAATCTTCTATAAGCATGCTAGTCTATATTACATTTGAGAAATGACGTCACAATCTGAGGAGGAACTTATAATCGACTTGTATATTTCCATTTGTAGTATGAAGTGGTTACACATACTGGCACAGTTTTTAGTAAGAAGTCCTTATCCCTTTTTTGAACTTGATCACATGCCTTCAAAGGAGTTCATGTAATCACTGGCCCATTGCATTTGACGGGTAAATAAGGCAAAGTGTTCTGTATTCTTATAATTATTGTTTTTTCGAATGTTTTTTTGGTCCACCTGAAACCACATCTTCAGGTGTTGGTAGGATTCATAGAATGTTGACGTGATTTTTGTTTATTTATTTATTAAGATATGATAGATGACCAGGTTTCTTTGAAGCTTGTGTTCTGAGATTAATTGCACGATTGCATCTCTTTGATGTCCTATGTGTGTTCATTTTATTATATCATCATTGCCTCTTACTATATATTATGACATCAATTTAATTTTGAAAATTTTATGTGTTTCGCCGCAGGTTGGACTACCTCTTGTCCAGCAATATCTTTACCAGTTTGACCATTTGGTTAAAGAATACATACCAATGGTGTCGGAGCATTTTACAAAGGAAATGATAAATCCAAGCATGTATGCGAGCCAGTGGTTCATAACGGTTTTTTCATATTCGTTCCCATTCCATTTGGCTCTTAGGATATGGGACGTTTTCCTTTACGAGGTTCATTCCATCTACAAGATTATATCTCAACTTTTGCTTAAACACACACATTCAAGTCATTTCAGATTCTTAATTTCTTATACATCTTTTGTCAGGGTGTCAAAATTGTTTTCAAAGTTGGTTTGGCGCTATTGAAATACTGCCACGATGATCTGGTGAGATTACCTTCGCTCGCGACTAAGCCCTCCGTTTTCCTTTTCAGCTCATGTCCTCAGTAGCATTTTAATTACATTAACAGGTGAAATTACCTTTCGAAAAACTTATACATGCATTGCGTAACTTCCCCGAGGATGCAATGAACCCCGACACATTACTTCCAATGGCCTATTCCATAAAGGTATGATTCCATCATTTTCTTCTATACCAAAGATGCTGCTGCGCTGTGATCGATCATTAACACCACATCACATCTTGCTCTAGGTGTCGAAGCGATTGGAGGAACTGAAGAGGGAATACGAGGAACAACACGGGAAGCTCTCCGAGCGCGTAAAACAGGCTGCAGCCATCTTGAATGGCTCCTCCAACTCCAACTCCAACTCCAACTCCAACTGTGAGTAGAGTTGAATTCTGTTCTTTCATTCATTCATGCTTCAATTTAGCTCTCTAACCACTGTTGTATATATATTTTTTGTGTGTGCATATATTGTTTTTGTTAATTGATAAAATAGTTGCCAATTTATTGATTACAATACAAATCGAATGAAATATCTATGTCTAAAAATTGTACTATATCTATTTCGTTTGATTGGTGTTTATAATTAAATAATTGAATTAAAATTTTTTAAAAAATATAAATTATAAAATTTAAAATGTAATTAAAGTGTATAATTATATTTTTTTTTTAAAAAAGGAAAATAATAAATTATGTGAGACAGAAAGTATAAGTTTACGCTATAATGCTTGATAAAAAATGACAATAAATACTCGAGTGTGTTCGTTTCAAGGTTTTTCACCAAATTTTAGTATTCATAAAAGAATTTTTCCTCAAAAATATCAAATTAAATATTTATTTTTTATATTATATTAAAAATTATTTTTATATTTAAAATATCACATCAAAATCTATTTATATTATATCATATAAGTATTTTATATCATATCATATAAGTATTTAAATTCAAAATTTTTACTATTTAAATTTCAAATTAAAGTTCAAAACCTAGAACAAACACGTTGATATGTATGAGCCTACGTATTTAGTGGATATGCATTGGTTTAAACTCTCGTACAGACACAAGTCTTTTGTAATTGAACCAAGTAAATTTCGGGTAGCACAAAATGCTATCCAAATCCGACCCAATTTTTTTTTGGATATTTGATATTTCTAAATTAAGGCATTCTAATTTATTTATTTATTTGTGTCTAAAATATAAGTTTTATTATTTCTTTTAGTATGCATAGCACTTTCGTACATGTAGCATGGGAGATATATTATCATCTTAATTTTGAAATGATTTTCATTTATTTTATTTAAGGACTATTCCCCCCGTCTCATTTCAAATGAGCTTTTGGAGGTTTTATGGTAAAATTAAAGAATGCTCCCTCCATTTTATTTCAAAGAGGTCCTTTGGATTTTCAGAGTTTTTGACATATTTGTCATTTGATTTTATGTATGAGTATATTTATAATTTAAGTAAAAGTTAAAAGATATTTTGGTATTAATGTATGATCACTCTTTTAAAATATAAATGAATATTTTGAAGTATGATATACGAAAATAGTAAAAGTAGTACTTTGAATCGGGACGAAGGGAGTAATAGTTTTGTATTGGTTAATAGAAGTATATAAGGGACTTTGACATTTGACTTAACGAATAAATTAATTGTATGTGTAATTATATATTTGTAATTTAAGTTTAAATTAAGGATATTTTTATATTAATGTATGATTATTTTTACTAAAATAAGAAATGAATATTTTTTAGTAGGACGGACGAACATGAGAAAAATATTTTGAGTTGAGATGGACAAAAATGATAAAAGTGATACTTTAAGTTGAGACGGAAAACATATATTATTAATACCTTGACCACGTATATTAACAAAATATAAAAATACATATAATTTAAATTATATTAAATATATTATAACTAAACATTAATGATTTATAATTTAAATTATATTAAATATATTATAACTAAACATTAATGATTTATCTATTATTATTATCATCATCATTATTATTATTAACAATCTAGATTATAATATTTATTAAAAATAAAATTTGGGTATCGGATTTTGGATATGAATTTTCATACGCAATATTTGACCCAACTTTTTGATCGAGTGTTCAAAAATCAATTTTTTGTAATTTTTAATTACCGAGTCGATTAAACCAAACTCAATCAAGTCGGGTTGGACCCAAAGTATCCAACCCGAACGTCCACCCCTATCTTGCTATATTGTCGTTAGGGGTGGCAACGGGCGAATTCGAGAAAGGTTTTGTAGGTCACAGAATCCACTCTGCTAGAAAATTATATATAGGCTCTACATCCCACCTTGCTACGGTTCAGTCCTGCCCCAAAATCCGCCTATTCTTGAATTCGCCGGAATCGCGGCCAAGTCGAAAAATCGTCTTATTTTATAAAGCATATTTATATATTGATTCTTATTTATAGATTGTATAATAAAATATAATAAAAAACTCATATGTTAAATATTAAGGGTTTGCTTCTTTAGTCACCAAATCCCACGTTTCTACTATTTGGATTGTGAGATTTTTTTAAAAAATACATTTTTTCTTCTCACAAAACATCTCATCATATATTATTTCAATATCAAACTCAAACTAAAATTTTCTCAAACTTATCAAAAAAAAAAAATACCCTAAGTTTTTAAATTTTAATGATCGGAACCATAATAATTTTTAATTGGATCTTATTTATCAAATTCATAACCCATTTCGAATCTGACCGAATTTAAAATCTCAAAATTTATAATTCACCCACTATAAAATTTTGAATTTGAACCCGTTCCATTAAGGACGGAGTCGGGGCGAGACCCGCCCAATTGTGATCCCTAATTGTCATACAAGGATTTGGGATATACATTATACACTTGTGACGTTATATATTTAAATATGAAATTCGTTTACTTCTTCGGAGTTAAGAAATGACGTCGATCTTTATTTATTTTAGAAGATGAATGACGTCATATATTTATTTGTTTAGCTTCTTATATTACTTATGGACTTGCGTTTCAAAATTGAACTTGTATATGTGTCATTGTTAATTGTTAAATAATTGAAACTAACAAATATGAAATACATTTTATTTATTACAATATGTGGTGTGTTTCTCGCAAAGTAGTAATAGTAAAAAGCTAATTTTGGCAAAAGAAATTTGTAGATAAGTTACGAGGTATCCTCGTTTGGGAGTGTTAGATATTTTTTAGATATTCAATTTTAAATTTAGTAGATTTATATTTACATTTGATCGTATCTATTTTTTTGAAAAATAATAAAATTGTCTTATTGAGCATCAAAATATATATATATATATAGTCAATATAAAATAAACTCGATATACTTAAATCTAATTAATTTAATCTATAAATAAGATCAAATTTAAATATGAATATCAGAAGCTTCAACTCAAGTTCGATTTCTAGTGGATGTATTTGTGGAATAAAAATAAAATACAAAATATTGTACTCCCTCCTTTCATTAAAATTAATTCACAGGGAATTTAAGAGAAATTAATATTTTATTAAAAAGTAACAGGTAGTTGGAATTATATTTGAAATTTTAGTTAGAAATTAAAGTAAACGGAGAGAAAATGTAATAAAGTTTGTGATATTTGTTGTAAATAAGTTTTGAATAAAGAGTAATAATTAAATATTAATTTGTTGATTTTGCCAAAATTAGTAATGAAATAAATTTAATAGACGGACTAAAAAAAAAAATAAATTTGGTGGACGAAAAATATATTTAATAACGATTTTAAAAAATAAAAATAAAAATCACTTAATGCACAAACCCATTGGGTGGGTTTGTTCCCAGCGATTGGGAGCTGGAATTGAAATTATATAAAATACAATTTTAATTTATATAATTATTTGATATAATATATGTATATATATATTAATTTAATATTTTAAATATTAGATTAAATTTTTAATAATAGTGAATAGTATAAACAAATTTCACCTATGTGTCTATTTGCGTTAGTGGGGTTTTAGTTTCACACCTAAAAAACCACATCAAATGGTTTATTCATTTAATTTTTCATGATTTTATTTTTTCAACATTATTTTTTAATTACAATTTGTTAAAAAAAATAATAATAATAAAAAAAATATTTTACACAAAAGTTAAAAAGTCAAAATATTCATTATAAAAAAAAATTTAAAAATTATTACAAAAAATCAGATATTTAATTTAAAATAATATATCATATTTTTAATATAATTCTCTGTATCACACACACTAAAGATTATGTTTATTTAGTTTTTTTTTTTCTAAAAAAAGTGCATCAACTATTCATATTGTGTTCTTTTAATATTTAAAATATTTATAATTAATTATTAAGAATGGTAAAAGTATTACAATATATGTTTGTATTGGTTTCTTAAATATTTTTTTAAAAATATATATTATTTATAAAAAAAAAAAAATTATATGTAATTTTATTAAAAATTGGATCAATAAAAATGATAAAAATTAAAAGTAAACCCACTGTTATTTTTATTATAAAAATAATTTATAAACAATTATTTAATCTAATTATTTAAAACCCCAAAGACTATAGAGAATAGAGCTAGAGCTGGATGGTACATGCATGCATCTTCTATAAAATATTTACTAATATTATTTCTATTTCCAATAGTTGACCTAAAATATATTCCTCCCTAAAATCACCACACGCATTCGTCACTTATAAATATTTTTGTATATTTATTTTGTTCAAAATATTTTGATTATTTTTTATTTTTAATATGAGGCCTTCACAGCCTTTTTTTTTTTTTTTAATATGACGTGAGAATCCACACTATCCGAGAATGCGCACTGAATAAACTCTCGGTCGAGCTTAATATCCTACAAACCAAATTTGACATGAAAGTCACACTAAGGGAATCATGTGTGACAGACAACCTAGAGGCTCTTTACAACTCTTTTATTTACACAAGACTAGGTTTATTTATTTATTTATTTTTACCTATCTACAATTTATAATAACATATCAAACAAAATGTGAGGATAAAATATTAAAAATGTAATTAAATTTAAATTTTTAAATTTTCAATAAAAGATATAATAATATATTTTCTACATGAGTGACATAGATATGGTGAGTAATAACATAATAGTGAGTTGAATAGATATTAAATTGAAAAATACAATACAATTAAAAATAAAAACTAATAAAAATGACAAAATTATAAATTTATATAATATAATTGATTATATAAATAATATATTATTAATTTTTATCTTTACTAATTTAAGCGTATTTGAAATGAGGCGGAATCGGGATAGATTTTTTATCAAAAATTTAAGTTCGAAATTTACAGTAGCATGTGCACAATTGTGTAGATATCATTGCAAAACAATTATTTGATAATTTTAATAATTATAATTTAAAAAATATATACAATATATATATCATTTTGTATAAAATAAATTCTTTATAATACAAATAAATAAAAATAAAAATATGAAAAATACTCATATGCATAGATATAATATAGATTCGACCTAAAATCATTACATTATAAATTTTAAAATTTTAAATTTAATACATATTTTTATTATTTATTACTCGTCTAATCAATATATATAAAAAAAGAAAACCACATAAATTCAAACTCATTTTAGAGTTCAAATCAAATCAAAACTCCAACTCAAATTTTCTTAAACCACCCTAAATAAACACCCTCTAAATATAAATATATATTTATTTTTACTATTTTTGTCTATCACACTTCAAAATATATATATTTTTTATTTTTAAAAAATAATTATATATTAATACAAAAACATCATTTAACTTTTACTTAAATTACAAACATATAATTATATTATATACGTAAAATAAAAAATAAAAAATATAAAAAACTATTATTTGATTAGACCGTTGATTTGGGACAAAAGAATATTAAAAATTAATTTTATATTAAGAAAAAGTATTATATTTGAAATCTTACGCCCCAAGCAAACACCCCCAACTGAACACCCATACTTGAAGTTTATTTATTTATTTTTATAATTCCACCCCTCAAAAGTCCACCAATTATTTGATAAATAAAAACAAATAAAAAGCCACCTCGCCGGCTCATTTCATGGATTCAACGGCAAGCAATGACGTATTGTCTTACCTATCATCCCTCATCAATAATGTTAAAATATATTTACGGCATTTCTAACCTATAACTCCATTAATGGCGCTGACTCGGATATACTTTAGTAAGAGCATTTCCAATAACGTTGTATTTACGATATTTCAATGTCATTTCTGCCGCCACGCTGCTCCAATCCAGCGCCATTTTAAGCTCCAATCTTGGAGTCTGCAAAACGCCATTTATTTTATTTTATTTTTCTAAATTTTGAAATTATAAATTTAATTTTTATTTTTTAAAATTTTTTAAAATTTTAAATAAAAAGTTGTTTAAAATAATAAGAAAAATTGAATATTTGAAGAATAACAGTGAAAAATGGAGTTATGATGAAGTAAAATTACTGTAGCAACTGCATATTTGTAGTTAAAACTGGATAAATGGAGATGATGGATTGTAGATGACATAATATATTATATTATGTTTATAGTAGTTATGATTCTTACTTTATTAGATAGTTTGTATATAGTTATAAATATGTACAAAAGCATCATGACAGAATCCACGCCAACGGAACTTCAATTCCATTAATGGAGTAGCTCCACACAACACGGCACAGCAGAATCAATACGATACATTACACTATAATGGATCAGTTCATCGGCAGAGAAGAGATAGAGTCGTTCCGAATCGAAGTCTCCGAGCTCCGTCGAAGCTTCCGGTCATCCTTCCACCGCCGCACCGATTCCGCCGTGAGCTCCGTCAATCTCGACGACGAGACGGCGGCGCAATGGGCGGCGATCGATAGGCTGCCAACATTTGAACGGCTGAGATCTTCTCTGTTTGATCAAACCAGAGTCGATGAAGACGAACCTAAGGAGAAAAAGGTTGTCGATGTTACCAAACTCAACGCCTCCGAGAAGCATATGTTCATCGACAAGCTCATCAAGCACATCGAGCACGACAACCTCAAACTCCTACACAAAACGAGGAGAAGAATCGATAAGTAAGGAGAGGCTCTTAATCCAATTTTGTCCATTCTTACTATTTTCAGTCGTCGTGTATTTATAGGTGCAATTTATGTCGATGTAGAGTTGGAGTTGAGCTGCCGACTATAGAGGTTAGGTATTCGAATCTGCGCGTGGAAGCCGAGTGCGAGGTCGTTTACGGGAAGCCTCTCCCGACACTTTGGAACTCTCTTAAAAGCTTGATTTCGGTGAGTGATGCTTAGTTTGTTAGTTTGTTAAATGCACATTACGTATTAGTAGAACTGTAAACGAGCCGAACAGAGTTAAGCTTGTCATGGTTGAGATTGACTCGTTTAGAATTTTTTTTTTTATTCGTGTTCGACTCAACTTGGCTTGTTAAGAGAATTTTATTTTATTTATTTAAATTTTTAAAAAAATTAATTCAACTAATAATAATTATAATTTTTATTAATAAATTAAAATATAAAATTTATAAATATATATATACTTATTAATTATAAACTTATTAATTTAAACTTTCTAATAAATACTGTCGAACGCCCGTGAACAAGTTAGAGCTCGTTCGTGAATAGGACGAGCTATAATTTATGTTCGTGTTCGGCTCGTTTAGCTTAACAAACGGGCTCTTAGCGAGCTCAAATGAGCCGAACCAAGTCAAGTTCGTGAACTGTTCGTTTGTTTTACAAGTCTACGTAGTAGTATGTGATATATGGACTATTGTTAGGTATTGTCGTTCATGTGATCTTTTTGAACTCTTTAAAAAATTTGATTTTAGCGTGCGATTCTTAGTTTGTTAAATGCAAATTACTTAGTATGTACTGTATGAACTACTATTATGTGTTGTCTTGCATCTGACATTTGGAACTCTAAAAAGCTCGATTTTGGTGAGTGATGTCGGATGTCTTGTCTGGACTACTGTCATGTATTTTCGTTTCATGTGCTCATATATCTTGTGCTGTTGATTTATATTTTTATGTGCTGCCAAAATATATTATATATATATGTTGTTAGCAATGTACTGATTAATTATAATTAACAGCGGTCAATGTATATGTTATCCATTTCAGCTATTATTTTGAGACACATTTGGTTTCCTATTCAATCCTTGTTTGATTCAATAAGTTTTAGTTCTTGCTTTGTTTATGCATTTCAATCTTTTTTCGATAGAATATCACGAGATTGCCGGGCTTGCCGCGAAAGGAGGCTCACATTGGCATCATTAATGATGTGAGCGGTGTCATCAAGCCGGGAAGGTAAAAAAAAAAAGGCTAAAAAGTTCGAATTGGCATATGTATTTTTATGAAAAATCATTTCATAATATGCAATTTTTCTTACCACGTAGCGTGTATGATTCACAGAATCACTCTACTTCTCGGTCCCCCGGGGTGTGGGAAGACTACATTGTTGAAAGCTTTATCCGGGAATTTAGACAAATCATTGAAGGCGAGGTCTTCATTTGTTCATAAGTTTTCACATGTTGTTTCAAGTCACATTTCAGTTTTGGAGCTGTATTCCTACACTGCAACAGGTTACCGGAGAGATTTCATACAACGGATATTCACTCGACGAATTTGTGCCGCAGAAAACTTCAGCTTACATTAGCCAATATGATCTGCACATCCCTGAAATGACTGTCCGAGAAACGTTAGATTTTTCTTCTCGTTGTCAGGGCATTGGCAGCAGAGCAGGTATGTAAGAAATTCACAAAAAAGTCGAGTTTTCTACTTCAAAAATGTTTTTTTAGTCGTAGAATGATGTTCTCTTCATCCCTCGAAGAAATTATGACTGAGGTCACCAGGAGGGAGAAAGATGCCAAAATTGTTCCTGACCCTGATATAGATACTTACATGAAGGTAGTTAAGTGCAAATTTGATTGAATTTCGGCGAAGATTTGCTTGTGGTCGTAATAGCTTCTCGTTTGTTCAGGCGATTTCTGTCGAGGGACAAAAAACCACACTTCAGACAGACTACATATTGAAAGTATTTCAAATTCATTACGCTTCAAACTATTATGTCTATTACAAATTTCATGTAGTAGAGCACCTTGTGCTGACAGTTCATACTTACGTATTTCAGATTCTTGGACTTGATGTATGCGCCGACACGATGTTTGGAGATGAGATGAGAAGAGGAATATCGGGTGGTCAGAAGAAGAGATTGACAACAGGTAATCTTTACATAAATGTTTTTTTTTTCCGATGCTGATTTTCCAAATCATTAATAGACGTACGCCAAATAGTTTTAACTAACACAACATATGCGCTGTTAGTTGAAACTATTTTCTAACCGTTCTATTTATAAGGTGCGCCGTATGAATATATTTTATGCGATGAAACAAATAGTAGCATGTGTTGTCAGTATTGTGCTGAATTTTAACTGCAGTAAGTTTTTCAACATAAGCGAGGATGAGTAAGTCCATATCGATAAAAAAATGCAGGTGAGATGATCGTTGGGCCAACAAAAGCTTTATTCATGGATGAAATCTCGAACGGTCTTGACAGCTCGACTACGTATCAAATCACTTGCTTCTTGCAGCAACTAGCACACATCACGGATTCTACAATACTTGTTTCACTTCTCCAGCCTGCACCGGAGACCTTCGATCTCTTTGATGAAATCATTCTTATGGGAGAGGGAAAAATCGTCTATCATGGACCTCGAAGTGATGTTTTAGAGTTTTTCCGGATCTGTGGATTTAGGTGTCCCGAAAGAAAAGGAGTAGCTGATTTTCTCCAAGAGGCAAGTACATTACTTATATATTTCGTCGATAGTTAATCTTTTATGATTAAATAGCTGATTGGTTTTCAGGTGATTTCAAGAAAAGATCAAGAACAATATTGGCACAACCCCGGGGCTTCATACAGCTACGTGTCGGTTGACATGTTTACGCGCAAATATAAAGAGTTTAAGCATGGAAAGAAGCTCAATGAAGATCTTTCTACGCCATTTGATAAGTCGACGGGACATAAGAATGCGATCAGCTTCAGCGTGTATTCCCTTTCGAAATGGACTCTTTTTCGAGCCTGTATGTCGCGCGAAATCCTTCTCATGAAAAGGAATTCATTTGTCTACATATTCAAAGCTACTCAGGTCAGCGGAACTCATCCTTTTTCTTTTTTTGGCAAATCATCGATGATCTCAACTTGGTTTCGCCATTTCTGAAAATCCAATTCCTCTGCAGATTGTCATCATTGCAGCTGTGACGATGACCGTCTTCCTAAGAACACAAATGGGAGTTGATCTTGTCCATGCCAATAACTACTTAGGTGCTATCTTTTATTCCCTCATCATTCTTATCATCGATGGGATGCCGGAGCTCTCCATGACAGTTGCTCGCCTCCCGGTTTTCTACAAACAGAGGGACTTGTACTTTTATCCTGCTTGGGCATATGCAATTCCAGCTGCCATTTTGAAGATCCCTTTGTCATTATTAGAAGCTGTAGTATGGACTGTTCTTACCTATTACACCATCGGGTTTACGCCTGAGGCCGGAAGGTTAGTAGATCACTAATCAAACACTCATTACCATGCAAGAAACTTCATATCCTGTGATAATTAACATCGTGGCGTGGCCTTTTTTTTCAGATTTTTTCGACAAATGATGCTGATGTTTGCTGCACACATGGCCTCAATGTCGATGTTTCGCTTTCTAGCATCTGTTTTCCGGACTATTGTTGCAGCTACAACTGCCGGTAGTTTGGCTATATTGTTCCTTATGTTATTCAGCGGCTTCTTAATCCCAAAGCGTACGTATACTTTATTGATATGTCTCACTTTGCGCCGTTGCATTCTTTTTTTCTTGCGCATTCGACGTTCTTTGAAGATGTACTTAAGAACTGAGTTGTGTTGCAGCATCCATGCCTGTGTGGCTAAAATGGGCCTTTTGGGTTTCGCCATTTTCGTACGGGGAGATAGGACTTTCAATCAATGAATTCCTTGCTCCGAGATGGCAAAAGGTGTTTAAACTTGACATTTCTTCCGCGATCTTAGCTCTGTTTAGATAGAAATTTTTGAAAAAAAAAAATTATGAATAGTAAAAATTAGTATTTGATAAACAAAAGTATCTACGTAAACAGAGCTTATAAGTTTTTCTTGCTGACTCTTAACTTCTTTTCTAAAGGATTTTATCGGGAATACGACAATAGGACATCAAACACTTGAAAGCCGGGGGCTAAATTACACGGCGAACTATTTTTGGATATCATTCGGAGCACTACTTGGCTTTGTGATTGTCTTCAACATTGGGTTTACATTGGCTTTAACGTTCTTGAAGCGTAAGAGCATCGATCACTATAATGTTGTGTAGTAGTCGACATAGTAGTTTAACAATCGATGTTTTGATTATCGAACACCATTTTTGAATTGCAACAGCTGCTGGTTCCCGCGCCATCATTTCGTCCGAGCAATTGTCTAATCAACAAGGAAGTAAAGACTCAGAAAACAATGCTAATGCAAAAGAACCTCCTAGCAAAACATCTCATACAGGTTCACAATTTGACTTCAATTTACTTAGAAAAGTTATATGATCTTCAATGTTGATGTGCTTTTTATCTGCTGCAGATCGAATGGTTTTGCCATTTGAACCTCTAAGTATTGTGTTCCAAGATGTACAGTACTTCATCGACACTCCCATGGTAAAACTTTCAAACTTATTCATTCATATTTTCATAGTTATACTTCAGAATTGTCGGGAATATCCTATAAGACTGGTGGAAAATGGTAGAAAATACGCTTTCTTTATACACGATATGTGATTTAAAAAATCGTATGTTAGATAAAAACAAAATAATACTGAAAATTTAGGTGAAAAGTTGTTAATATGTATTTCATGCTGTTTATTTTTTCGAAAATGTGATTTGAAATTTGAATCCAAAAATATATCTTTTTGTTGAAGACACATAATTAATTTTATATTTTCAAAAGATACAATCATTCAATATGTATTTGCCAAATTAAATTTAAATAAGTTTAAATCTAAGAAGATTTTATGTAGGAATTTATTTAATATAGTTCCTAATTTGAAAACTATAAATTTCAAATTGTAAACTGTTTTTTTTAGACCCTTAACTGGACCCTTATCAGTTGCACGTCGCAAACTAGTCCCAAGATTTTCGCTGTTTTAATCCTCCGGCGCCGGAGATGCCTGCGTGGCTCGCCGGAGGTGACGTGTCCGTCAAGTGTCGCTGACCTGGCGGATACGTGAATTTTTTAATTTTTTTTAATTTTTTAATTTTTTTTAAAACTTATTTTTATTTTTTTTAATTTTTTTAAAATTTTTCTAATTAAAAAAAGTTAAAAAAATAAAAAAAATAAAAAAAAAATCCACGTGTCCGCCAGGTGTCGACGGGACACCTGGCGGACACGTTACCTCTGACGCCGGAGGACTAAAACAACGAAAGTTTTTCACTTATAGGACTAGTTTGCGACAGACTTCACCTACGGAACGAAAATGATAAAGGGGTCCAGTTACGGAAAAAAACAGTTTACGCTTCAATTTAATAAGGTAGTTTGAAAATTACAAAAATTTTCCCAAACTGTTAAATTTAAAGAATCATTTCCATAATCAAGAAAGTGTGATGTAACTATAATTGTTTTGACAGTCATAAGTGTTCGTTTGCCGGTTTGGATTTGAATTTGAATTTGAATTTAAATAGTTAAAAATTTAAATTAAAATAGTGGTACGATCTGATATAAATAAACGTTGAATTTAATATTTTGAACACAAAATTAATTTTAGTATAATATAAAAATAAAAAAGATGTATTTGATTTGATATTTTTGGAAAAAAAAAATTAGTGAATAATAGAAATTTGGCGAAATTTGTTTAAAATGAACACACCCAAACAAAGTCTCATTGTTTGAAATTGATTTGAAATGAGGTGTTAATTCGAATTTTTGTTTAAATAATATTTTGATGTGATATTTTGTGAAAATAGTAAGTATATTTTTATTAAAAATGATGTGAAATGAATTGGGTTGATTTTGATGTGAAAAGATAAAAAAAACTAATTACTTTAATTTATTATTTCTAATTTCATTCAATGTTGTATGGGGCTTAGATATTTCTCATCTTCGAATGATTAAATAACAACAAGAACAACTGCTTTACTTTGTTCCTTAATTTCTCCTCAGGCAATGAAAGAGCATGGCTTCTCTCAGAAAAGGTTTCAGCTTCTATACGACATCAATGGCGCTTTCAGACCCGGTGTCCTTACAGCGCTAATGGGCGTAAGCGGAGCTGGAAAAACAACTCTTCTCGATGTTCTTTCTGGTCGAAAAACGAGTGGCATTGTCCAAGGAGAAATCAAAATCGGAGGCTATCCTAAAGTTCAAACTACGTTCGCTCGAATTTCAGGCTACTGCGAGCAAACCGACATTCATTCGCCTCAAATTACCGTGGAGGAATCTCTTATATTTTCTGCATGGCTTCGTCTAGATCCAAACATCGATAAAAAGACAAAATATGTATGGTTAACATTTGTACTCCAAGGATTCCATCACAAAGAATTCTTTAAAATCTTTGCTTGTCTTGCAGGAATTCGTCCGAGAAGTTCTTGAAACCATCGAACTTGATGGCATAAAAGATGCCTTGGTAGGCTTGCCTGGCGTCGATGGCCTGTCAACCGAGCAACGAAAAAGACTTACAATAGCTGTGGAGCTCGTTGCCAACCCCTCCATCATTTTTATGGATGAGCCGACGACTGGACTAGATGCTCGAGCAGCAGCAATTGTCATGCGCGCAGTAAAGAATGTTGCGACTACCGGTAGAACAATTGTTTGCACCATTCACCAGCCTAGCATCGACATTTTTGAAGCATTCGACGAGGTAGTCAATCGCCGAGGCGTTTTATTTGTACTTATCTTTAATTTGATTTGTTGCTAATAAATCGTTGGTACCTGCAGCTGCTACTCTTGAAAACCGGAGGTCGAATGATCTACTGCGGACCCTTAGGTCGATGCTCGTCTGAAGTGATAAAATATTTCGAGGCAAGTCTTCTCCATCAATTTAATTTTTTACTCATTCGATCCGAATCTTGATTATCGTTGCCTATGTATTACTCGACAGGGTATCCCCGGCGTGCCAAAAATTAGAGACAATTACAATCCGGCGACTTGGATGTTAGAGGTCACATCCGCATCCTCAGAAGCCGAGCTTGCGATAGACTTCGCCGAGATATACAAAAACTCTACTTTGCTCGAGTGCGTCGACAATTTATATCTTTCTTATATAACTACAAAATCGAACATCGCCTAGTATAACATTTCATTTTCTTTTTTCTGAAGGACTAACAAAGAACTCATCCGAAAACTAAGCATTGCGCCGCCTGGTTCGAAGGACTTAAATTTTGCGACCCTTTACGCGCAAAGCGGCTGGGGACAGTTCAAAAGCTGCCTGTGGAAGCAACATTGGTCGTATTGGCGAAGCCCCTCGTACAACTTGATGCGCTCGATTCATATGCTAATCGCAGCTTTTCTTTACGGCTTTTTATTTTGGGATCAAGGCAAGAAAATGTAAGTACTTTTTGTCGCGACGACAAACCTTAAGCTTCGATCATTAGTTTCTATTAACAAAGCTCTGTTTTTGCTAGACATAATCAGCAGAGCCTATTCACTCTGCTTGGCTCGATGTACAGCTCGACTCTCTTCTGCGGCATAAACAACTCCTCGTCGGTTCTGCCATACGTCAGTAAAGAACGAATGGTTCTTTATAGAGAAAGGTTCGCCGGAATGTATGCGTCGTGGGCTTATTCCATCGCGCAGGTAAGTGTTGTTACTGTTGGATTGGTTTTGATGCGCAAAAAAATTCATCGACTGTATTACAACAACAGGTGATCATCGAGATCCCGTACCTGTTTGCACAAGCCTTAGCGTTCACGGTGATCACCTATCCGATGATCGGATACTACTGGTCGGCGTACAAGGTGTTTTGGTACTTCTACACTATGTTCTGCACACTCTTGTCCTTCACTTACCTCGGGATGATGCTGGTGTCGATCACCCCAAACTTCCCGGTCGCGGCAGTTTCTCAGTCGACCTTCTACACGATGTTCAACTTGTTTTCGGGATTCTTGATTCCCCGTCCTGTAAGTGCTACTACTATTATTACGTATTCACTTCTAGACTCTTAAATGATCATATCACCTAAAAACTTAAATTTTTAAAAATTATATCAAATGACTACATCATCTAAAAATTGAAGGTTTTTTGAAAAAAACATTATGTTAAATAATCTATTTTGCCTGAAAACTTACTAATAGTAAAATGTATGGTTAAGATCAGCTGATGGTCCGGTCAAGTCAGCATAGTGCTGATTTGACCAGATGAGCATATGTTTTAAGAGTGATCAACAATATTTTTACATATCTCAATATATTTGTAATACAATATATTCCCTCGGTCCGCCTCTAATAGTTACATTTACCTTTTGAATCATTGTACTTAAAATTAAAAATATCCTTATATTTGTATAATTTTTTTTTACAAATGTCCTTATATTAGTATAATAAGACATTAATAGAAGTATTTTTGTAATTTTTTTTTAATTTGTACTACGTTTTGACATAATAATTAATATTCAAAGATCAACACGCAAAAAGTAAATGAGATCTTTAGAGCCGAATGTAGATAGTATATTATATTATAGCTCAGCATATGTCATCTTATAACACAACATATGCTGAGATATATATAAAAATATATTGCTCACCCCTATAGATTCGATCAAATTAGCATAGGATGAACCGACAAAATGTATCATTGATTATATATTGAACGTCATACCCCTCACGTGGAATATAAATTTACATCACTTTTAGCTGAGAATGGTCTTTTAGCATAGTATCAGAGCAGAAGGTCCCGTGTTTAAGTTCCATCGTCCTTCTAAGACGGTCATTTAACATATAAACTAACAATCATCATCGTATTGCAGCAAATTCCTCGGTGGTGGATATGGTTCTATTATTTGGTACCGACTTCGTGGTCGTTAAACGGGATGCTGACCTCTCAGTACGGCGACATCGACACGGCGATCACGGTGTTCGGAGAGACGAAGTCGGTGGAAGCATTCTTGAGAGACTACTTTGGGTATCGGCATGATCGGCTGCCTCTTGTTGGTGTGATGATGATTTTGTATCCCATTGTTTTTGCTTCACTATTTGCATATTGCATTGGAAAGTTGAACTTCCAAAAGAGGTAAAAGATCAGTTTTTAGGTTTTTCACAAGCATCATGTAATTTACATAAAGTAACCTTTGTTTCGGTTGTGTTCGAATAGGATAATGTTTTTTTTTAGAATTTATTATATATTTATCAAGTTTTTAATGTATAAAAGATTTTAAGCAGCGGCTTCAGCACCACGATGACGGTCAGACAGCACACTGTATGCATTCATATAATACAAATACAATACATAAATTAACATAAATACAACAAATAAACTAACAACACGTGCTATAGTCTTACGTAACACAAATAATAGTTGATTACAACACACCTTATATTGTTGTATAACACACTTATAACACTTGTAATTATGAACCAACATCACATGTCTTTATTATACATAAAAAAATTTTAAAATTTAGTACTACAATAATTGCATTTTATATACATTTTATATTTATTTAATATATAATGTGTATTTACTAAATGAGATTAGAGTGTATCATATTATTTTATCGGACTTAATTTTATTTTTACTTTAATGTATTAAAACCCTATATAATTAAAAGTTCATTACAATTATATTAATTTATAGAGTTATTAATACAATCTAACCCTTAGTATTATTTAATCTTTCTTATTAAATTATCTAAATTACTCTTTCTCTTTCAACATTAGAAGCATTTTGTATAAATATAATAACAATATTTTTATTTAATATATTTTATTTCATTTGAAAAATGTAATTTATTTTTATTTTTTGTATAAAATTTTTTTAATTAATAATATAGAAGTAATAAGAATGATACAAAATATGTTACTAAAATATAATTTATAATTTTGATGAAAAAAATTAAATATATTTAATAAATAATTAAAAAAATATATCAAATTATATATATTATGTCATGACAATATTACAATGTAATTTTAATATTGTTATATATTATATTGCTATAATTAGAAAGGAACATATATAATAAATTATTTTTATACTATTATTAAAGATATTTTGGGTAAAAAAATAATAATCATACTATATAATCAAATAAAATAAATATAATATAATTTTATCTAATATTTAATCACACAAAGTAAACGTTGTTATATTAATTAATTCATTGATTATGTAATCTATTAAAATAATCTAAATATTATAATACAATCTTTCACGTAAACGCACTCATTATATATTTAGCCTAATTTTCAATAAGTTATTTTAAATTCATTAATTAATTCAAATTCTTGTTTATTTGGTAATTTTTTTTTAAAAAAAATATTAAACATAATACTATATCAACAAAATAATGAAGTATATTTTTATAAAAAAAAACCTAAAAATCTATCTATTTATTTTTCTACATTATATTAATTTAATTTATATAATATATTCTATTTAATAATTATTCTCATAATATAATATTATATTATATTAATTTAATTTATAACATTATATTAACGAGGTCATGGGTTCCGACCTCATAATATAATATGAACTCATAACTATAAATAGTTTTACTTTGATTTTTATTTTATTTGAAGAATAATTAAATATAATATTTTATAAAATAAGATAATTAAAATGTATGCTTATAGAAAATTGTAATTATTATATATTCCTTTCGTCGTAATATAATAGTCTTGTTTACCATTTTTGTCCGTTTCAAAATAAGAGTCTCATTTCCATAAATAACTATATCACCGTAAAACTATCTCTACTTTTTCATTATTACACAATTACCACTACTTTTTACACTAATATACTCACAAGGGCAAAAAAATTATTTATCCTTACTTTTTACCGACTACCAATATAATATCAATATTTTTTAAATCACTTGTCCAACACAACAAGACTATATTTTTGGGACGGAGGAGTATAAAACAATTAAATTAAACTTCAAAAGAAAATAGAGCGATAAATCGGAAGATTTGTTCTTTCTATATTTTTTTCCGCATATTTTTCAAAAAAATAATAATAATACACTATATGCATTTATTATTTTTATATTTCTTATACAACTTTCTATACCTCACATAAATTATTTTTCTTTATAACAATCTCACAAAACAAACAAATATTTTTTTATTTGAGGTATAAATAATTAATTGTGTCGATAATATAATAAATAATATTTTATATTAAATTTTTATTTATTTTATAAGAAAATAAAATTTATATATATTATATATATTAGGTGAATATGTGCAATAATATTTTTATATGTATTAATATTGTTCTATTTTAGTACTTGATAAAATTATAATAAGACTATCAGACGAATTTGCTACGTTTTAAATTCAAAAACAACAATTTCATTTATTTAATTTATTCTCTATTTTGATTTTTCTTTTTCTTGTTTAATTCTTATACTACAATATTGTGATTTTCTATATTAATATACTCTCTCCGTCTTATAACAACGTATTCATTTTTTTCGTTACAAATATCTTTACAATTTACAATATATTACACAAATGTCATTATTTTTATATCATACATACTAATAAGATTATTTTAGTCATTTCTACTTTATTTTACTATATCCAAATATAATACTAATATTTTTAAAATGACGTGAAAAAACAAACAATGACGTATAAAAATTATCTCAAATATTAAAATACAAACATAAAATAAACACACGTCTTGCTTTTTTAATAAATATTTATTTATTATATTGCAAGAACCAACAAGAGTTGACTTATTTTAAAAGATTTCATGTGCCTGCCGTGCCCCCTAAAAAAAGTATTAATAATAATAAAAAAAAAAATAGCCAAGATTTAAATTTCAAACTAGTGATTTTATGGGTTTATTCTTTTAATTTTATAATTTTTAATAAAAAAAACTATATATTTAATAAATATATATTTTTTTAACAAAATATTTAAAGTAATTTAAATTACTTTTTAGCAATATTATAATTCACAAAAATATTTTTATTTAAGTTTTAATTTAAATGATATATTAATAATATTTTATAAAAATTTAATTATTTTTAATTTAATTGATGTGATAGTTATAATAAAGTAAAATTCATTTATATATTTAATGTTTTACAAGTGCAATAAATATTAAGTGATTTTGACATAAATAATTTTTTTTATTTGTAACAATACTATTTTTTTTAAAAAAAATTAATTATTTATAACTAATTATTTTGCAATTACTTAAACTATAAATTTAAAACTAATGTTGTATTAAAAATATCACATCAATTTATATTTATATAATATCAAGCAATTATTCAAATTAAAAAAATTTTAATATTTAAATTTTAAACTCTCAACCAAACATACAGTTATAGTTTATTTATATAATTTTTTCTTCTAAAAATATTATATCAAACTTCTATTATTTTTATATTATATTTAAAGTAATTTCATATCACAATATCACATTAATACATATTAATAACGATTTTTACTTTTAAAAAAAAAATCAAAACAAACTCTTATTTTTATTTATTTTTATATATTTTAAAAATTAATTTCATCTTCAAATTATAAAATCAATAATTATTGATATAATATAAAAATAATATTCAAATTAAAAGTACTGTTCAAAATATATTCAAATTAAAAGTACTGTTTAAAATCCAAAATTAAAATCTAAACCTTAATGAAATACACATTGAGGGTGCGTTTGTTTGTATGTTTTAGTTTTTGGGTTTGGATTTTTGAATAGTAAAAAATTGAATTTAAATAGTTGTTAGATGTGTTATAAATAGAAGTTAGATGTGATGTTTTGAATGTAAAATAAATTTGTAGTATAATATAAAAAAAAATAATTGTTTGATGTGATATTTTTTAAGAGAAAAAAAATTTGAATAGTAAAAACTTTAACACCGATTTTTTCTTTCTAAAGCTATCAATTATTTTTTATTTTTATATTACATTAAATTTAATTTTACATTCAAAATACCATTTCAATACATATTTAATAATATATAAACAACCTATTTAAATTATTATTATTTTTTTCAAAATTCAAACCCTAACCAAACATACTCTTAGAGTCTATTTACTAATTTTTTCTTCTAAAAATATTCAACTTAAACTCCTATTTCTCAATTTTATATTATATTAAAAATAATTATATTAAAAATATTGTATTAATACATATTTATATTACATCACAAAACTATTTAATTAAAATTTTTATTATTAAAATCGCAAATTCAAAATCCAAATATCAAACTAAGTACATCGTTAAAGTTTCTTAATTAAGAAATATATATATATATATTTTTTTTCAAAAATTCAGTTTGGTTCGGCCAAATTTCGAATTTTTATATCATGTCCGAATCAAATTTTCAGATTTTTTATTCATATTTATTTTTTTATCAGTTCTAACTAAACGTTATTAAAAATAAATTTTTAAATAATTGTGAGTAAAAAACCTGTTATGAGAAAACGAGAAAGAAAACAAATAAAGAACACAGAGGTTTTTACGTGGTTCGGTGACGATGTGTCAACCTACGTCCACGGGCAGGAACCGGAGAGATTTTATTATACTGATTCAGAGATTTACAATGTGTCATCCGACTAAGAACCATAGTTGTCTATTTATAAGCGCCCCAAAACACCCTAAATCCTAAACCTATTTGTTATTAATTAGGATAAGCCAAAAGGAACTCTGCCAATTGAAACAGCCATTTCGCTTTGGTTTAGGGTCGGGTAGACCGCTAAATCCAAGTCACGTTTCAACAATCTCCACATTGACTTGGAGTTTCTCCAACCGCCAAAGGTTCGTCAGTATCTCTCAGTCGTCTCTTTCCTGCCAGATGCCCCGAGAGGGCTTTACCTCCTACGAATATTCACCAAGTTCAAGCAGTGCTCAAACTTCTCCGTCGGTAGCGCCTTTGTCAACATATCAGCTGGATTGTGCTCTGTAGCTATTTTCTGAATAGAAAACTTGTTTTCCTCCAGAACATCACGGATAAAATTCAACCTTACATCAATATGTTTGGTTCTCTCATGATACACTGGATTTTTAGCCAAACTCAAAGCACTTTGACTATCACAGACTAACACCGGTTTCTCCACCTTCAGACCCAAACTCTGCACCAGACCATGTAACCAGATACCCTCCTTAATACCTTCAGTCATTGACATGTATTCCGCCTCAGTCGTCGACAGTGCAACCGTAGGTTGTAAAGTAGACTTCTAACTGACT